CAACACAAAAACAGTATAAGATTTTAGAATATGTGAAATTCCATATTTTCTATTATTGTAAAAATCACATTTGCCGCTACATGACCCCAACATGACTATGAGACAATAGCAGGTGTTATATTCAGGAGATGAACTTACAACAGCGCAGTGAACACAGTGACATGTGCAAAGAGGTCGACTACTTTTCTGCAGACCCTTGGGCTTTAAGCTAGTATGAAACTCACAGACTCATGTACTAGAATAACTTAGACCAGACCTGCTTCACAAATAACTTCAAATTAATTTCATATTAAAATAACAAGATTTGATTTTATTACATTTATATGAATCTCTATTAGATGTGGTCAGAGCAACAGCTTCTCTCCCTGGAGTCTACCATAAACATAAAAACATACAGTAGATAATACCGCAACAACAATACATTAAATGGATTTTTTTTAAGAGAATACAATTTTATATAGATATGAGAGCTTTACTAAAAAAGAAGAGATTTTAAATAAGAGACGTATTCAGAGACGCTGTTGGTCATTTCATAGACTGAACTACAAAAGCTGGATAAACGGCCTTTAGATGAGTTCTGGATACAATCAGAAAACCCAACTGAGCTGAAAGGGTATGCAGGCTTGTAGGAACTAAGCTGATTTGTGATACACTGAACATATGCAGCTATAATAACTATAACTCTCTGGTTGTAACATGACACCACCATGATGGATAGTGAGGTTCGTCAGTCATTGGTACAGCTATTACGTTGTTCACTGGATGTGAAGTTTAGTGATCTCTGCTATTATCTAACCAAACCGAATTGTGACTATTGATTTCATACAGGCCAAAAACTGCACTCTCATGAATTCAAGTAAAAAGGGCTTCCTGGCAGAAAGCCCTGAAGGCTGCTGTTAAAAACCACATTATTTGGTGTCTGACTCGCACATAAAGGCATAAAACACACTTTCATTTCAATATGTTAGCTTGAATTTTTTGCAGACTGACAAATATTGAAGGGAAATTTAAAATTCATGACTTTTATCTTGTATTAAAGTTCATATCTCACTGAGGAAGCTCACTCCGCTGAATACATCGTAACTTCTGCATTATTTATCTGCTTTATTACAGTATGTTTGATCCATTAAGTCAATTTTCATAAATCATTTGGACATAAAATGAGGATCAAAGGACTTACATTTCACAAATTGAATTTTCAATTTTAACAATTCAAGACTTACAGAGCTGCTTAATCAATGTATTTCTGCTTCTCTGTACATCACCTCTGCTCTCCAGTAACTCAAAAGCAAAACTTCTCTGTTCACAACTGAAACTTCTCCTAAATTCCCCAAGGAGAAAGGAGGACTGGTGAGACTAAAATACCAAAATAAAAGCCCTCTTTGGTATGCAAGTAATTAAATTATGGCGCTGATCAAAGGCAGGCCTGGGAGAGGTTTTGTCTTTCCTCTTTTTGTCTTTTTTTGTACACTTTCCCAGCATTTCTTTTTGCATTCCTTTGAAGAACCAAAGTGACTCACTCCTCCTTTGTTAAACAAAATATTCGCTGAATTGTTCTGCTTATGCAATGCTTAAGCTTGCTGGCAGAACACGAAAGAAACAGAGGAATACATTTAAACACTGTTAGCAGAGGCCTCGATGTGCACAGGTGTTAAATGAGATGATGCTGCCATCTTGTGATCACAGAGGGAAGTAGAATCCTGACATCAAACTCCACGTTTACCAGTTTTTAACCCAGAATCGGGATTTCTCTGCGACAGATGATGCCGCCTGCCCAGAGGTGATGTTTAGTTTTAACAGAAGACTCTTTGATGTGTTAAAGTGCCGTCTTTGGACCTGTTTGGGCATGCCAGATCTCATATCACCACTTTGATCCCTGCTTGATATTCCTGTGTGTATTTATAAGACTGAGAAGATGGTAACGCCCCACAGACTTCTGAAGGGACATTTTGCATCCATGAATATGCACAACCCTACTACAACTGGTATTTCTAATCACTTCTGACAAACTCTCTTTCGCACACCTGCCTCTGTACGAAGTTGTCCTCTTATGGGGTTCAACTGGGATGTTGGCAACATGAAAAAGTCACTCATGACAACAGATAAGTATAGTTTTGATAGTTTTGCTTAAATACTGTGCACACTACACACTAAAACTCATTGTCAATGACAGACATGTGGCTCAAAACTGGAGCGAGAGGAGCCTTCCACTACTATTGGCCCTTTGGTCCATCAAGGTGTTGTGAAGTGGGTGATCCATGTTCATAAGAATAGTCTCCACCTTCCTCAGTGTAGATCTCTCCACCAGCTCCTCAACTGAGTCCAGCGTGAGTCCAACCACAGAGCCAGCCTTTTTCATCATTTCATTCAGACGTCTTGCATCTTTTTGTTTGATGCTTCCTCCCCAGCAGACTGCAGCGTAGAACAGAACACTTGCCACCACAGACTGATAAAACATCTGCAGCATCTTACTACAGATGTCTATTGATCTATGTCTATTGATGGCCTACACTGTACAAACACTTGAATCAACAACTTAATTTCCAACTTCCATCGAATTCAATGCTTCGCCGTAATCGTCATTGTCACGGCTGTGTTTGTTGCGCTTCCTTTGTGAATCAACTTGCTCTCCGATTGGCTATCCGCTGAATTTGTCCTTAGCTGTTTTCAGGATTTTTGATTATTAATGTTGAATTAATTTGATTCTTAGAAATTGAAGTCACCTTCTAAGCACATTAGGTTGGGTAAAAACCCCTCATATGATGCCTCACACAACAGGAAAGTTTGGGGAAATCGTTGTAAGAAATTTTAAAAAATCAGGCCTTGTTGACTTTTGTTGAAAGTGTGATGTGTTGTTGCAAATGACTTGACCCTAGCACCACAATCCTCTTACATAAGTACGTGGTGTCCAAAGATTCTTAAGTAACTGACTTAATTACTTTATCTTTGAGTGTGGTTTGACTTGTTTTATCTTTGATTTCTTTTGCAATAAAAAAAGCAAGTTGCAAACAGGACTTGACAGAAGAAGGCTTTAAAAAGCTGCATTAACCACTTCTTTTCTGACTGTAGCTGTCTGGTTATAAAACACCTTCTATGGCCTGATGTCTCACAGTAAATGATAACAGTTGAAATGATTTCCTACCCTGAAAGAAATGCTTGCAAAAATTAATTTGATGAATTCTCTTCGTATGTTCAAGCTCCATTCAAAGGTATGCAGATATATCTGAAAATGTCGTTTTTCTCTTTGTGTTATATTGGTGGATGTAGCCTCCATGTGAAAATATATTCCCATCCTGCCACAGATGCATTGCCAAACTGTGGGAAGCAGAACTGGATGCAAACTGCCATTAATCTGGGTCCTGAAGGCATGTGACAATGATTGTTGGATGTAAAATTTTTGGTGTATTTTTCACTATCTGTCGTGTTTGACCCAAAGGCTTACTTTTAAGACGTCTCTTATTATGGGCAGCTCAGGAGATAACACTTCTTTTCTTCATCACACTTCTCTTTGTGTGTTTCTTGAACTGCCTCCCTCCACAGTGTGTAGATCCGCTCTGCACTCACAGGTGGAACCGATGTAGAATTTGTTGCACACAGCAGAACTACAATCACCGGATTAATAGGCCGTGAAATCAACACTGGCAGCGGGTCGAAATCAGACTCATGCCCCTCTTGTTGGTCTCTTGACATGGTCACATGACAATTAGGATAACAAACAGGCCAAACAAGTGCACAAACAAGGTAAGAAACAAAGCGCAGGTCTGCAGCTGTGTCAGATACTGGACTCGAAAACATCTTACATCACTTCTTCTTCACGGCACTGAGGAGCACTGATTGATCAGACCGCACACTTTCAAACCGGCTGCCTGTTTGTGCGTTTCTCTTCATGTTTACTTTGTGATTCGCCGTGACGCGCATCCCTGACAAGTGACGAGCACATCCAATAAATGAACACAACACGCTGCAAATGAACAAATCAATCGCTGACTCGGACTGAGTCTGACATCGTTGGAGAAAGTCGATACTCAGAGGCAGACAACCTGTGAGCTGATAAACCAAATTTAACTCAGTTTATGGATGATTTTGAGCATCTTTGCAACTGCTGCTCTCTTTAATTGAAAACATCTTATCAAATATTTATTTGTTATTAGTGTTTCAGCAGGGATCTTTTCTGTCATGATGTCGGCAACCAAAATTTACAATCTGAGCCTGTCAGTGGAAAAAAAAAGACTTCAAATAAATGAATCACTAAGGAATTTTGCAGACCTGTCTGCCTGGTTGTCACGTAGTTGCATTTATTAAAGGATATGCTACTTTTAAGTATTTTAATGCAGGAAGTGGATCAGTTTGAATAGTAAAAAAGGCCTGAGAACACAGGCAACATGACAAAGAAACAGAGCTCAGTGTAAGGTGTAAGTTGTAGCTGTGAATTTGAGTCTATCTCTTGGATGTCAACAGACTCCCACACAGGAGCTTTAAGTTCCTTTAAACTCAACAGAGGAAGAGCAGTATGATAAAATCCTCTTCCCTGGTTGTTTGATTTCAGACTGGAGGTCACAGCTGGACCCACCCTCCTCTGTTTACCTCCTCATGGCTGTGTGTTACATTAGAAACATCAGGTGTAGTCTCAGTCAGCAGTCAGAGCTCTGCAGTCAATAACGTGCTGTGCCAGGAGGGGTTCAGCCGTTCCTCTGGATAAACAGTATGCTCTCTAATGTAAATAGAGCAGCCCTATACCCAGCCCTCATTATACACTCTGCCTGTGTGTTTAAGGCTCCTTCAGGGCCTGCAGGCGGCTGAAACAGAAACACACAACAGCACACAGAGGCTGCACGGCTGAACCAACGCTGCTCTGAGCTGAACAGTCAACACAAAGGAGAGCAGGGGAGGATATAGAGTCTATGGAGACTGATTTAAGACGTTAATGACCCTTTTCAACAGGAACATGCAGGTGTTTCAATGTCAAAAGACTTCTGTTGGTGTCCTAATTTGACTTTTTGATTTCTTTGAGTTGGAAAACTGCAGCTCCTCAGGAGCTGTTGAGCATAATTCAGCAGCTCTGTCCTGCCTTTTCTCTCTCATTACATCTACTTCAGTCTAAGATGTACTTGCGGTGAAGGTACAAGGTAGATGTACTTGTAGCTAGGTATCAAAAGTCCTTTTTGAGATTTTTAAGCATCTTTGTGCTGTCGTTCAGATCTTTTCCTGCTTTGCCCAAGTACAGGTCAAGCCAAATCTGAACTTCAGGAGGTAAAATCTGCAAGTGAAAAGCCCTGATTGAACCTTCCTGTCTTACCTTTTTTCCCCTGAGATGTGTAGTTGTAGCAGACGTTTCTTCTGTTTTCTTGTCCACCTGAAATTAAATGTAACTGTAAGATTTAAAATATAAAGATGATGCCCCATTTGTAAATATTTGGAAGCTACAATTAGGTCAATTTGGGACTTTTTAGCACACTTTTAAAAAAATTTCCTTAATAATTTTTTTATTATGTATGCATTAAACATAGCAGCAGTAGCTTTGAAAAAGAAATCTGCCAATTTATAGTCATAGAAAGATTTCCCTACAACGTTAGATCATAATCATAATAGTAATAATGATAAACCAAATTGCATTTTTTAAAACAAGGTTCCAAAGTGCTTTGAAAAATAAAATAGATGAGAAATGTGAGGAAAACAATGACTGAAGATTTAAAACTTTGAACTAAACAAAAAATGTGTAACGCAGATTAATTGATAAAAACACATAAAAGATAGATTCATGGCAGAAATGAGAAAGAAATAAAGTAGAACAAAAAGTTTTGAACTACCAAAACCGAAGACCACCCTAAAGAAATCAAAAATACTAATATATAAGAGGGATTAAAACAATGTCAGGGGGGGAAAAAAAGTTAAAAATAGAATAGAAATACAAAATAGTCTGTTCCATAATGATCAATGTCTACAATAAAAAAATCTTAATTCAACTTTACATATTTTAAATTGTAAAAAACTCCCCTTGTTTTGAATTTACCTTCAGGGATAAATAAAGTCCTTATTCTTATTGTTTCTTCCGCTGCTGCTTTGAGTCCAAGTGCAGCTCCCTCCAACTCAGATCTTCTACCTCTAGAGGTCAGTATAAACTCAATCTCCACCGTTCAGTCAGTGACCTGGCTGATAGCTGAGCATGTGGTGGTGATGTTATCATGTTATTATGAAAAACTGCTCATTCAGAGCAGATGAAGTAGAAAATAAGATAAGATAGATGTAACTAAAACTGACAACATAATCTTGAGATTATTTGCAGTTTTAATCAGGAGATAACTCTCTGTTGTTTATAGTCAAAGTACTCTAGGATGTGGTGAATCATGAAAAACTTGTTGACACTTGAGTAAAATCCCATTGATATCTATACGGTTTGTTGTCAGAGTGTAAATTGTTCGCTGTTAAAATAATTTTCAAAGCTAAAATGGACATCTGTTTTAACACAAGACCACAAGCTTTGGTTAGTGCAGACATGATCAATGTAAGATGTATTCATCATGAGTAGATCACAAGAGAGTAAAAAGTGAAACCCTATCTCCTTAACTCGCCTGCAAAAATAACTTTTTTCAATGCTACTTCTGTTAGTTTTGAAATATGCTTTGTTTGGTTTGTTTCATGCAATTCGATTCAAAAATCTGAGAAATATACTTTTATGTCGTATGTGGTTTAATTTAAATGATCATTAAATATGAAAATCCTACAAATCCAAGTGTAGATATAAAATTATTTGTTGCTTGTACTTTTTGGTTTTGTTTTCACTCATAAAATATTCAAAAAGTACAGTCTAGCTAAAACTAAGTATTTATAAATAATTTATTTAAACTCATATTAATATTCAACATTTATTTTCTTTGTTTGATTGTATGTATTGCTCTGAACCAGCAGACTGAGGTTAGTTTGTTGTATGAGAAACTTTTCTGATTTTTCATGATTTAAAAAAAAAAAGGTTCTAAATAAGCCTTTTTTTTTAATGAAACTGTGGAATCACAAAGTGAATGGTGTTCAACTTTGAGCATCGATGAATATCAGCAATAAAAGCGTTTGGTATCTCAATGTTCCGTCTAAATCAGGATCTATATTTTATTTTATTTTATTTTATCTTATTTCTACTGTTTTTAATTACATATTGAATTACATCTGATGTAAATAAAAAGATTTTTAAAATTTGACAGAGCCAGCGCCATGGTAACTGTCAGGCTCAGTGATTATGAGGACTGTCGCAGGCTGGACTGATCTGCAGCAGCACAAACATCCACCCGGTGAGGTCAGATAAGCCCGGCGGGCGGCGCATTGCTACCTGGCTGGGATCCTGCTCGGCTTCCCACACAGAGTTTGAGAAGTGCTTTGGACTTCCTGGTACGGGACCATGGACATTTTCTAGCTCCAGTTTGTCGGGGGATATACTACCTGTCGCGATGTGATCGAGGAGGACCCGTCGAGTTTAGAGCAAAGGTAAGCCTTCTCCCCGGTGTTGTCGGTTCGCGTTGGGACAGATGGAACTTGTCGAGTCCGAGAAATGCATCTGTCAGAGCGAACGGTCGCGGTACTGCGGGGCTGAATGACGGTGGCTCATTAACGGTCGCTTGTCAAAGTGATAACGAACATGGCGTCGCGGGTTTTGAGACTTTTTTGGAGGTTTTTGTGGAACTGGTTGGGTAGTTTTACGGTTTAACAAAGAGGTTATAATGGGTTTTACCATTGTAAACTTTGTGCTTATTTGTATTCACCGAGGCCTACCTAGCCAAACCCACCAACGTTCAACAGTCGGAGCACAACAGGGGGGCTTCCGGTATCATCTTACAAAATAAATGTCTCATTCAAACGCTAGTTTCAGTGTGTTTTAATGGTTAAAACTTGATGTTCTCGCAAAATATTGTGTGTTTATATCAGAGGCAAGTCATTCCAGCAAGTAAATTGTTTCAACCATGGTCTTTAAAGTTCAATATTAAAACTGTAGTGATTAAATTTAATGTAAGTATGAGTGTAAACATCAGCGAGAGGTTCATTCTAACTTCTTTCAGACAAAGCAAGAATGAAAAACTAAAAGTAAGCAAAAAACAAACAAACTAAAGAGTTGCGGCATCATCTGAGCATAAAACCTAACCGTAAAATAAAATGAAAACACAACTATCATATCCCTGAGTTGGCATGTACCTTGTTTTTTATTTTTTTTTTTTTTTGTTATTTTATTTTTGGTGCAAGTTTTCAAGTACAAACAAACTGTCTGAGAGCTCAAGTTTTTCTTTTATTTTTTATTCATCAATTTTAGAATTCTTTAAAAAGGCTAGTCACCCATTTTTGCAGTTTGCGTAACTTCTTTCAGACAAAGCAAGTATGAAAAATTAAAGTAAGCAAAAAAAAAAAAAAAAGGAAGAAAAAGAAAAAATCCTTAAAGTTGCAGCATCATTGGAGCATAAAATATAACTTTAAAATAAAACAAAAACACAACTATCATCCCTGATAGTAGGCATGTACCTTGTTTTATTTATTTATTTTTTAATTTTAGTGCAAATTCTTAGGAACAAAGTTTTTCTTCCATTTTTTCTTTTTATTTATTTATTTATTTTTCAAAAGAAGGCTAGTCACCCATTTTTGCAATTTCAATCGTTTATAAAGTGAACATGGGCCATAAATACAACTTTGGATATATGAGTGATTATCACCCTACGCTGCTAAGTGAACAATAAGAAACACAAACACGGCCCTTTAAACTAAAATGGAAGGAAATCAATCATTACTTTATTCAGAAAGATAAAAATGATACCTCGCCTTATGCCAGTTATTAGATTTGAGTGCAAGGCTTTATGGTTTTATGTTGAAAGTCGAGTCGCTTTAAATCCGGTCTTTTTCCAGTTGAATGTTTAAAACTTGACGCCCCCGAAACCCCCAAGGCTGCCTCCCGCAACGGAATCAATGTGGCCGAAGTCCCAACCACGGCCTCCTATTGGCTGTTGCCCTGAGCTCCGAAGCCTCTGATTGGTTCTGACGGTCCATCACTCACTTTCATGATCTGGGAGCTGCTGCTGCTGCAATTGTAGCTCCTGAATGACCGAAACGCTTGTTTTCCTATGTTGAAATTAGTGAAATAACGCGGATAAAGGCCCGGCAGCACTCTCACGGGATTTTAGACGTTGTTTCAACTAAAGTTAAGCGCATTAACTTGTATTTTGCCCCTGCGAGAGTGGTTAAGAGTTACCTTTGCAGCGAGGTGCGTTAAACTCAACAAAACTACTTTGTTAGCGGATGTGAGGCGATATAGTTTTCAAAGTAAAAGCTGAACCGTGTTGTCACAGTATTCTTTATCAAATACCTATCTCAAGCTATAAACGTTTTTTACTATAGTACATCATCTAGTAATTTAATAACATTAGAAATTTGTGTATGCTCGGAACAAATCGTGTGTTAAGTCTTTCTCAAGGCTATTGTGATTTTATTTTGAAAAGCTTGACAGGAAGTTACATGAATCAATGTCGTGCACTTGATGATGATGTTTCCTCTCTATCCTTCCTATCCCACTTCAGGATAATGCGGCTTATCGCTGTCAGGGGCTTTACAGTTTCAGAATACAAGCCGTGTAGAGCAGCATGTAGAGGTGGCATTAAGGCCTGAAACTGTGTAATACAGAGTCAACCAGTTGTTCTTATGTTTTTGAACCAAATAAACCTCTAGTATCAAGTAAAATAACCAAAAACTTTGAGAAAAACAACTCTCCTGTAAGAGAAATGTGCTCATTCTAACACAAACCTTCATTTTCACGCTATTATTTTCAGCGTAGAGTTGTCCAAGATCTGTTTTTTTGTTGTTTTTCCTCCACATAGCTTCATCTTTGGTATTTAGTGTGAGCCTGCGCTGAAATGATCGGCATGTCAGGATGTGTCAGGGTCAGACTATTTGCTTTATCAGCTCTTATTTGGAGCCATTGTGTCACTGCTACCGAGTTGCTTTTCAGGGATCAGCCCTTTCCCAGCTCTGATACAAATGAAAGAGATAAGAGAGGCTAAGTTTAGGCAACATTCCTGGAAGAGAAGACTCCTGTAACACTAAACTGATGCTGTTACTAATAAAGTAATGAGGTAAACATCAAATAACCGCAGAAAATTGAGGCTATTTGGCTTTGAACCTGAAACCAAGTTGCAAACTAAGCGTGTAAGGCTGGCTTCAGCTTTATAGAGTTCTTTAACATCAATCGAAGCTGCAGCATGTCTTTGACAGTCATCCATATGCAACCTAATTGAAACCCCCTGATGCACCAAACATGAAAATCACCTTGAAATGCTTGCGCAAGGGTCAAAAAGTTGCACCAAAGCCTGGTTTTAACTCCATTTAACCCTAGAACACTATTGCCAAAATAAGAAACACCATCACTATCGCCGGATGAGTTTTACCTGAAATAAAGAAAAAGTACTTATCAACAACATAGGACAATACATGACGATTTTAAGTAGTTTTCTTCCATTTTCAACTGTGGAATGTCCAAAGGGAGAGAAAAAAGTGCCATGAGGGGACCATATAAAAATGCAACAAAATAACTAAAATTAGGCATTCATGAACAAAAAATTCCTAACAAAAAATAAAAAATAGAAACTGTAAACTGAGTTTCTTTTCCACCCATTCCTGGGGCATGTGAATCTTCCCTGGTGAAGACTCAGGGTCCTTGGCACAATAACAGCTGCAGGAGAGAGAACCAAAATATGGCAGATTTTGAGTGGTAAAAACGACCAGCCGACTAAAATATTTCTTATCACTATATGAATTCCCTTGAAAACCACTTCTTTGTGATAGTTATTGATAACCATGGCGCTAAATAAAGATAGCATGCAAATTCCAGGACCACTCTTACTGACCTTATTTCTTATATGCAGCTATAAAATCCCGCCAAACCTACTTTACCCTCTATCACTATTGTCGGGTAAAAATCACCCGAACACATGCCTGTAGGAAAAAGTGGGTTTTGGATCAGGGAAACAAATATGCCTTCAAAGATGTCAAAGGTAATGCTGACGCTACCCAGAGACCCGTGATACTCAGACAAACACAACATAATAAAAATCACGTAAACATGTTTGGTCAGGCGAAAATCCCCCGACGATAGTTTTCTAGGGTTAAACGCTAATACAGTGTGCAATTTCTGTGCCAGTCTTTTCTTCTTCCTCTTCTCCTCTTGTTTTTGCACAGGACTACCCCTAAGTTTATTGGTGTTGGAGCTGATAAATGCTTATCAAAACTGCAATTATTGCTAAGAAGAAAAGACCGGAGACGAAAATCCAATCCCACCTAGAAGACCAGTTGTCTCACAGGGGTTTTTGTCTGTGTTGTTTTGACACTTAGTCACATAAGAATGTGCACATCCTGCTCCATATGTCAGCTTCTGTGTAGGTATGGGGCTGTGCAAACCTTTGGCATGTGCATAGGTTTCAATCAGGCTACAAACATGCAAAACTTGCATACACATTCTGCACTTTAATGTGAGAATCAACCCTCTATACCAGCAGGGAAGTTTACAACACAGAATACTATTCATTATAATAGAATGAAATCAGCGTCCTCCTCAGTCTCACTTATTACTCTGATAGTTTTATACCATTGCTACATCAAATGATGCTTGCTTTGAGGAGGTTAGTTTTAAAACACAAAAACAATCATAGACACTGATATTCCCCTCACTGAGTCACCCTCACAGCCCCGCCATCTTTTAGTTTTAGCCTGTCTCTGGATAAAAACCCGGAGCTGCAGTTCCTCTAAAACCTGATTGGCCTTTGTGTCACACAGCCGCCATTGTCAACACTTGACCTTTTTACATAGACCCTCCTGCTGGGTTTTATACATTGCTGCTGTTCTGTTTGGCATTTTCGAGCATGAGTCAGTGTGAGGCCCCCCCGCTAATAATAGTTAACTACAGCGAGCGATTTCCCTCCAGACTTGATTCGTCTTAGTTTAAGTGTTTAGACTGACATTTAGACAGTTAAGGGCTGTTTCATTATAAGAGCACGTTTCAGTAACAACGAAATCCAGAGTGATTCACACAGAACACCAAAAGCATCGTGACTTAAGAAGGACTTCTAAAGTATTTGCAACAACTCAGGAAAAAGTTGTTTTAGCTGCAACTTTTGCTTTGATATGTCCAACTGTGTCACCTTGAAATCTGTTTTTTTTTCAGACAAACATTGCAAAAAGGACTTTTTTTTTTAAAGAGAAAAGTTAAAAAAGGGAAAATAACTTTGATTTGACAAGCTAGAACTTGCAAACGTTGACATTTGTCCACATTAAATTACTTGAAATGACTGTTTGAGCTCTGATTTAATCAAAAAGTCTAATTAAATCTTTTTTTGATTGAAGAAGGTGCACAGTTGAGTTGAATTATTTTGAAATTCAGCTGAAAATGTCGGACTTCCTGCTGGGTTGTCCTTTTTGGTGAAGGAAGGTTCTTAATCGAGTGAAACCACCCACCAGTCTTTGGTTGGCAGCCATGATAAGAGCAGTTTGATTTCTTTGAAAGATAAGAAAAGGAGCTTCACTGCTTCCTTTATAATCTCCTTTTGCGTGAAATACCATCCTTTAGGAAAGGAGAGAAGGAGAAATGACCCATAACTTTTTGCGCATAAAGTTACGCCCAGCTTGATGTGCATGACAACAAACAATCAGCATGGGAGCAGCTGATCTGAAAGTCACTTTTTGGACTTTTCAGTTACACCCATGACTGTAGGGAACTTTTTTGTAGGTCTGGACTAAATACATTTGCCTACCTTCTTTTTTTTCGACCAGTCAAGGTGCTGAAGTTATGGACGTTTTAAGGCGAGCTACGGAGCAAATTTGCTGCACAAATTCACGCACATATTTCTTCTACTGATGAGCAGAGTGTGCAAATTTTGTTGACTTTTGGGGCGTGTTAGAGTTGCCAAATATTTGATTTATCTAGATAGGTAGAAAGAAAAAATGAGTCCTTGCGTTGCACTGCCTTGGTTGGGCTCTCATCAATGAAATCGCAGAAATTAGTCCCGTACACTAGCTGTCTCGGCAGAAAACGTTCCCTTCCTCCGTGTGATTTCCTGTGTTTAGCCCTCAGGAAATGTCAGACTGGAGGTGACTTTGCTAAATTAGTTTTCTGATCTAACTGTGACGCTCAAATTGGCTAAAAGACATAAAATGTAGGAAAAAGAAATAAGTTGGAAGTCGGAGGCAGCTGTGGGATGACTCCCAGTGACAGACAGGAAATGGAAAAGCCTCGCCGTCGTCGTCGGGGTCAACAACCACAAATGGGTTCATCCTCCTTCTTCTGTTCTTCCTCTCTGTCCCTGTTACAGCGTCTGCACCGTCTCTCCAGAAACAATTCAATGACCCAGTGTGTGTGTGAGAGAGAGAGACTCACACACACACACACACACACAGAGGGAGAGAGTGGTGAAAGTGTCTAAGTGTTTTCTTGTTGAAAGGAGCATTTATTTGACAGGCTGCACATCATCAGGTGGCTCCCAAACTCCAGCGCAGGACTGAATGTCTGTAACATAGCAACAGGGACTTTATCGGATTTCTTTGCACTCTCTCTCTCTCTCTCTCTCACACACACACAGCTTGTGTTATTCTTTTCTTTGAGTGTTTCATCTCTGAACGTTCACAAAGACACCCGCAGTCACAGGAAAATAAACAAGAAAAGGGTGTGTTCAAAGGTTGGACAGTACATCAGTAGGTTTCTTCTTTCTTCATCAAGTTTAGCTGTTTTTCTCCTTTGAATTCAGTGTGTAATAAGCAGTACTTACAAAATAAGCTCAAATTGGAAGAAAAACAGCCCCAAATGTCAACAAACAGACAGAAATCCATCAAAAAATACAAGATAAAACTAGATTAGATGCAAAAGCAGCAATTGGGGATTCAAGTTCAAGATTATTAATTCAGAAACCTTTTCAAAATACAGCAGCTACTTGTTTTACCATATCCCTTAATGCGAAACTAACCTTGCTGCCGGCAGTAGCGCTGTATTTTCTGTATAAATATGAAAGTCTTACCAAATCTCTTCTCGAACAATCAGCAGGATTGTGAGTCAGTGTATTTTGCCAAACTGTAAGAACTTTTTATTTTATTTTATTTAAGAGTCCCAGACTTTGCTTTTCTGGAAGCCAGAGGGTGTGTGAACGTGCAGGTCAGCTAAGGTCTGAAAAGGATTCCTGTACGGTGCGGCTACACAAATCAGGCAGCCCACCCACATACCAGATGTAGTCCACACACTCACTCACAATAAACACACACGCACACTTACACACAGGGTATCTAAATTCCCTCACTGCTGTCCAGGCCTTGGCTCGGTCTTTATTGGCCGCTGATCCCCTGCTGGCTCCGTCCATTGCTCTCTCTTTTAATGCCCAGCTTCAGAGCAGCAACACAACACACACACACACCAGATGCTGAACTGTCCTCTGGCCCATCTGTGTGTGTCCGTGTTTGTCTGTGTGTGTGAGCAGCGCTGGCTCGTGCCCCCGCATCAGATGTAACTAACCTCATGTCTAACAGACACCGGGCCGTTTGGCAGTTATGGCTTTATGGAGGCCGATACAGATAATTTAGAGTAAATCTGCCACCAGCTGCCTGTTTGCTGTCGTGTCAGTGTGTAGTTAACACACTGCAGAGAGCTCGAACCATTCTGAGGTTACACGGTTACTCTTTTAACACACCAAGGCAGCAGTTACACACCCCTCACAGCTGCAGGCCTGCTGAGTTAACAGAAGAGAACAAAAGAGAGTGAGTTTGCGTGGAGGCTTTGTAGTTTGACAGATTTCAGCTTTTTTGAAGGTGTTTTTTATATATTTTTACCCTGACAGTCTGACTACGCTGGTGCCAAAACATTCTCTCACTGAATACGAGAGCAGATTACTTTTGAGTAATGATTGAATCAGCGAAGAACAAGAGCTGACTGACGACGAGAAGCCACCTACGCAGTATTTTTGTAACCAAACAATCAATTTATCAGAGTTTGTGCGTAAATAATATAAAACTGCTTTTGCAGAGTGTGGCGGAGCTAGCTCAAGCAGCCTTTAGTCCTCCTTGCAGGTTTATGTCCACATGCCTGTGTTTGTTAGTGGTTACACGGTACACCTGTCAAGTCCTGCTTCTATATTAGTATCAATAACCTGTTTAACCAACTTCAGGACTCGGCGGTGCAACCGTTTCACTCGCATTTGCGACTAAAAATAGATGTGTGCGAATTGTAAAATTAGCTGAGGCAACAAATGTGAAGTTAGTTTTAGGTTGTCTTCTCCCTCTCCATAACTGGGAATAGCAACAGCAGCGCGGTTAAACCTGGGGTGTTGAATAAGGGACCATCAATAAATTACCGGTTGGTGTTCTCAGAAAAAGGCTGTTTTCCTTCAAAATCTTCCATGTCATGTGACCAATTGACTTAAAATTGATTTCAAGTAATGATACTTATGATGACCAATAAGACACACCTCTTTGTTTCCCTAATTTGTCCTCATAAATTTTTTGTGTTAAATTTAAAGGCAAATATTGAACATTCGCTTCAAAAGCTTCCATGTCATGTGACCAAATTACCTAAAATTGATTTCAAATAATAGCACTTATGTTGACCAATAAGACACACATTATTTGATTGATTTTCTTGTGCCCCTAAAGTTCTTTGTGTGCTCCTTACTTTCTCACGTTAGTCAAGCGTCAGTGTCAAGCCCTCAACTTGTAACTCCTGTGCCAACTAGCAAGGATAAAAGCATTTAATCAACTCTTTCTTGAAAAATGTACACATCACTTGCCACCCCTGCATGAGTTGGAGCCACCCCAGTCAAAAAGTCTAGACACACCCCTGTCCAGTTTTAGTCTAACCCCTGCAGCTCAACATGATTGTTGTATTTGCTGATATGTAGGACTATCTTGCACCTTGTGTCCATCCGTGACCTCTCCAGACATAAAACCTGTACTCAGTTCATCTCCTTCTGACCTCTGACCTCATCTCATTCTCTCTAAACTGGTCCCCGCCTCTCAAAGACTCTGCATTTGATTGGCTGGCTTGAACTGCAGCTCTGTTAGTCGCACAGGTGGACATATGGTGGATCTAATCCTGGGCCTCAGCCTCAGAGCTAATAGCTGTTTCCCATGGGGACTTGCCTGTACTTAATTTCTGAGCGATAAAGCCGTCAAACCTGTTGTTCTCTGACCATTTGTGCAGTTTAAGGCCTTTAAAAACCTCATTTGTGGCTCAAATGGTGCATTCACTTCAGTTTATTGAACATTTCCTTTGGTTTCTTTACAAAAAACCGCAGCCACGATCGAGCTGTAGCTGCACTAAAACGCTGTGTAGTTGTCTGGACTCAATTGTTAGTGATAATGAGAAGCATAACAAAACTCCTTAAGGTAGTGAAGGCTCTAATTCTACCTTAAAAAGTGAAAGCATCTCTGCACAGGTCTGTGCTCTGCTGCTTGTTTTGTTCTCCCTCTGCTGCTGCCGCTGGAGCTTTCTGCTGACCTCTGCTGCTTTCCCTCGCAGCCCTGGAGGAGGATATCGAATCCTCCAGCAGCTGCAGCAAACGTGGCGACATAAAGGAGACAAATGGAGAGGGGGGGGCTTAATTCCTACATCACCTGCATGATTTCCCCTCCCACCTCCCTATTCCTTCACTCCTTTCCTCCTTCCTCATCCGTCAGGCATCCGCAGAGTGATCAAATTACCCATTATTACTGCAAACCATCGGCAGATTACTGTTATTTAGCCCAGTGACCGGGCCTATTTGGACAGATGGATGCTCACACACACACATACATGCAAACAGGACTGTGTGTTCAGCCCTGTGTCCTGCCATTTATATGCTTCTGAAGATATTAATTAGCAGCCCCACACCCTTAATCAACTTTGCACGTGTGTGTGTGTGCGTCGGTTAGCAACAATGTCTATTCCAGTGTCATACAAATCCATCTGTTTATTTCCATTTTTGTTTCAAAACGCCACAAAAATGCCACAGAAGCCTCCAAGATAATGGATGTAGAAGTCTTATTTTTCTGAGTATGTTTAAAAAAAGTGACAGTAATGACATTAATAAACAGAAAAAGGGGTTATGTGTTAAACGAAAAATAAAAAGTGAAGATGCTTAGTAGGGATGTTCCACCATTTAAACGACCATTTTGAAACCAAATATTGGAATACACGAAAATTAATTAACTCCCAGAAAATAGCCCAAATTGAGCACATGTCGATCTATATGGCCAGATATCATCTGAAATAAACATGAAAGCTGTGCTTATAATATTAAAATATGTTACAGAATCTTATTATAGCGCTGGAGAATGACATAAAGTAAGTGAAAGATCAAAGCAGTTAAGCTCCGCTCCGCTGTGCTCAAGCCAAGCAGCCTGCTGCGTCATCGGCATTATATGATAGTTTAGCTAGAAACAATCTGCATGACACTTGTGTGCCATCTTTATCGAAATCAAAATACTCCCAAACTTCGCTCTTTTTTCTCAACGACATCGCTCTGACTGACTGCATGTGTTGATTCACTTTGAGGAAGTTAACCCATGATGCCATGCATACTGCAGGCCAGCGCTGCGAGCCCAGAGCAGCGAGCCAGGCAGAAGGAGTCGCACGCAAATGATGCACACATTTTAGCTTGTTTAATGCACACTTTTATTAAGAAATGACGGTAAAAACGTAATTTTTTTTTTTAATTTCGCTTTTTTTTCCCCTTTTGTTTTTTTTCACAGAATAAACGAATATTATTTACTAAATGGCTAGTAAGGACAGCCCCGTTTACACGAATATCCAAATAACCGCGCACATCGCTAATGCGTAGTTTATATTTTGTTTTACATTTTTTGTGTTCTCTCCGTAGGTCATGAGTGCCTTGAGGAAAGTCGCAGCGGAGAATAACCTCACCTGTCCAAAGCCCCGCCCCACCTGGGCCTCGCCCTGCCCCCTACCCCTGCACTCCCACCATGAGTAAGTTCCTCGTTTTTTTCTCTCTCCTTTCTGACTCTGACTCTTGATGCTGTGTTGTTGTGATGCGAATCTAAAGAAATGTGAGCTTGTTTGCTCTTTTCCAATTCTGCTGTAATGAAATATTTGTCGGTTATTTGTCAGCAGATGGTGTTTTGTGGCTCAGCTAACCCAGCCTGTGCTTAAAGACGGTTTAAACACCCTCATTATTTGGTTTGATCCATCCTTGATCAAATATTTCCTCATATTATTGGGTAATATTTGAAAATCAGAGTCTGTTTTTGTCTGGTACAGCTCAGAGGAGACAGGAGACTCTTGCAGATCTCATGTGTGTTGAACCTTTAAGTGTTGCATGAATTGCCTCCTTTGCCTTCCTCTGCACCTTCATCCCTCTACCCCCCAGAGGCAGAAACATACGGCAAAGAGAGCAAGTGCTGCAACCCTCAGCACCCCATCACTCATCAATCACAACGCAATGCATGATGGGAGGGCAGATGTAGAGGGGTGTGCACTCCATCAGCGCCATCTACACAACATACTTTATGTGTGTGCATGTGTGCGTGTGTATGTGTGCACAGCCGCATGTCAGTGTGCCTGTAATGGCACGGCCACACACGTGGGCTCGGTGTGAGTCATCCAGCGAGGCTAGACTGCAGTATATTCTGTTAATGTCTCATACATTCATACATGCCTGCAACACACACACGCACAGACACACACACACGCACACGTTTTGCAGCAGAAGATTACAACAGGGGGGTGGGTCCTGTGCTCTTCAGAGCACGACACTGCCTGATATGTAGATCATGAGGGTTTGCCTTACACTAGTGTACCCCCTGAGAGTGAAACTCAGTGTGAATTCACATCTCAATTTCACAGTTTATGCGCTTTAAAAATGTTTTTGATTAAAATTAAGAGTCATGATCCAGTTGGATGTTCAAATAAGTGATAACGCTAAATTGCTTTGGCAGATAAGGAGATGTAAATGTTATTCTTTTGGATTTTCTGACCTGAACAGGTGACCATGTGAATCAGATATATAAAGAAACATTTAGAGATAAGGTGGGTTTGAAGTTGCTTGGTGAATGAGGTAGTTTCAGGACATGTTCTTAAATATGTGATGATACCTGTCATGTTTGAAGTGATATTGCGGCGTAAAATTAACTTTGGGGCAAACACACCGTAACACTGAGTTAGACACCCCCTCAAGAGATGAATGTTGCCGACCGCTTGCTTCTCTAGTTATATCAACTTAAGTTGGTACGATAGCAATACACAGCAGTCTGAGGAGCCATAAACAAACCTCAACCAAAACGCCACTCTATAGCCACAAATAATGATCAGAACAGCACCTAACTTCATCAACAGTACATATAGGGTCCTAGCCACAGCACTAGCCACCAAACATCTTTTTAACTTTGCCTGATTTCTATATCAAAGAGACTAAACACAACTCACCTACTCTCTTCCAGCAGCCGCTTTTTTGTAGTGAGACCTCAGGTCAGTTTATTATGGACTGCTGCGAGGTGACGCAGCTCAAGGAAGAACATTTATGATCATTTCTTCATGGAAATGTAATCAGACCCAGACGCTAAGGCAGAAGAACTACTGTATCTGCTGTGCAAAATTATGAATATGGTGATTATTCTAACTCAGTGTTACAGTGTGTTTGACTCGAAATAAAAAAAAAAGTAAAGTAAAATTGGGATTTGTTTGATGCCCATCCCTGGTATTCAGTACAAACAGGTGGCATTTCTCATCCTTTTCTCCAGTGTGACTTCTATTCCAAATCTTACAGTACTTATTTTTAAAAGTTTTTCCTCTTGTGCTCCAGTGGTTTGATTTAAAGTTATAGACTTGGAGAGCTAACTGCAGGTTGACCAAGTCAAAGTGAAAATGTTAAAAGATTTTTCATATTTTGATCTCATTTTTTGCTGATAGGTTGTGGCCGTAATATGAGTATAATGTCAGCACTGTTATTAACCAACATAGTGAAACGATGAGCCTCTAAATGTTTCTAAATCTGCTGCAGTGAGGTTGTCGTCTCAACATTAGAAACTTTAGTGAAAGGTGTTTTGATTGATTGAAAAGTCAACGTGGCAGCTTTTATCTGTACTCTTGGTACCTTTAGCTGTTGATTTTTATTTGTTTTACAGTTAAAGGGCAGACTTTTATCTTTATTAAGGTGCCAGTAAACTACTTCATGATAATTTGCTGTGGAAATATGACAGCAAAAAGTAGATAACTTGTCGGTCAATGATGGAAGCACAGCAATGTTATAACTTTGGAAAACTCAGCCACTTGACATTTGAACCAAACATCTCAATCATATGAGATCTGAGATAGTATCAAACCTTGTCTGGAGCTGCTAGCCACTTTCACTGTGAACATATTTTCTCTCTGATATCAGTCGTGCCCTCCTCCCCTCTCAGATCTCCTTGTTCTTTTGCTGTTTAGCTCACTTCACAGATAAGGTTTGAACAGAAGCCAGCAGTGTTAACTCACTCGGTGCTGGACGCAGAGAGAGAAAGAGAAAGTGTGTGTGAGGCTGTGGACATGGGCTGGGACTGGGTTACCAGAGCAACCCAGCACATGTGAGGCGTTTACTGGAAGGCGATTGGATTACGCCGCTGGAGGGGGAGTGCTGAGAGGTTTAACCAGATTACTGCTTTTTCTTTTGTACACTCCAACAACCATACACATACACAAACAGGTGTGTGTGTGTGTGTGCGCGTGTGTTCGTGTGCATGTCAGGGGAGGCTAGGTGCTCGATCTGATTGATTGTGGGTGATGAAAATGGAGGAAAGCATGATTGATGAGCAGGAAAAAGCCCACCAGAAGCTGGGTGCTTTATGTGCGAGCTGCTTCTCCCTCTGTTCAAGTGTGTGTTTGTGAACGAGTCTCAAAGGCCCTCTTGCTTTTCATAAGAGAAATCAATAGCTAGTTGTGTTCAAATTTTTATGAAAACAGGGGATTGCTTTTGCAAAACCTGCTGCTACAAACTGCTGAAAGTCAAATAAAACTAAACATTGTTAACATTGAATGAATTGAAAACTTATATTTTATTTTGACATATTTTCCATCTATTTTTTCGATGATGTTTGATTTACCTGTAGAAACTAAGCAGTAAAAAAACAAACATGCCATCTTGCTTTTATCAGTCTTGTTTTTTCTTTATTATTAATATAATACGCAGATGATGTTTGATTTTATGCATGTGCAAATAAGGGTTAAAAAGACTGATAAACAACCAACAAATGTTCTTTACAACTTTTAACATCAGTTATTTGTGTCATTTTTAGGCTAGAAAAAATAAGATTGACAAGGATGAAACCAACACTGATGTTTCTTTTAGTAATAGTTATCTCTTTTAGTGATAGTTTGTCACTTTTTATGATCTAATATCTATGTTGATGACATTTGAATGTTTTAATAAATCATGTAAAACATAACCATAAAAGACGATCAACATTAATGTAAGAGTTTGTTTTTCAAAAAAAGACAGTATTGCCTCATATTTCTTGTTATGCTGATGACGTTTGGTTTTACTGGTTTTTCAAGCAGAATGAAAAGATGAACTATAATCACATAAACCAAACAACCTTTGTCTTTTTTGCAACATCTGTTTCATCTTGTTCAACTTTTATTCTCTTTTACGCTGATGATATTTGGTTATATTCACCAAGCGATATGACATTTTAAGAAGACACAAAAAAAAACCAACAAGACTGTTGAGTTTATTGTTTATGTTCCCCTTTTAACTTGTTGGTTTTCTTTCATGTTAATGTCTCTCTTTATTTGACTTTCAGCAGTGTGTCTTGTGATTATATTTTTGCTGACCCAACCTCCTCACTGAGAAAAAACACAAGAAATGCCTCAACCTTAAGGAGAAATGTCCAAACGTGACCTGAAGGAGCTTTGCACTCAGCCTTTCCTCAATAAACTTCAATGTGTTTAATCATTTATATCAACCTTTGATAGACCCGTCCGCCTGCCTGGAGATGCTTGATGATGTTGACATCCCAAGCTAATTGCCTTAATTACCCCCCACAACACACACAGAATCCCTCACACACACACACACATACACACACTTTGCCGACGGGCTGGGGCAGGGCGAGGTCAGTTTCCGCTAACGAGCCTCCTAACGAGGACTGATGATTTACTCCAGCTTGTGTCAATTGTAGAGGGAAAAGAAAGAAAAGAGGGAACAGGAAGTACCACAGCTATCTTTATGCTGCTCTACTCATCTGTCAAGGGAATATTTTGGGGATTTAGATTTGTGATTTCAGCAGGAAATTTAAATGCTGGACTGGGATTATGTTGCCCATTTGCTGATTATGCTGACTATATAAAGCAATTGTTTGGCAGTCCTAGTTTGTGTGACAAAAGTGTCTCAAAGATCTAATTTTGGAAGACTGGAAATGATAGTGAATTGCTTCAATTTGGAAGTACTTCTCTGACTTTGGATGCATGTGGTGCAGGAATCACAAAAATGGTAACCTCAGTATGCTTTGGCTAGCAATTAACTTAGCGAATAATCTGCATTAGAACATCTATTAGCTCTGGAAATGTATCAAAAGTAATTCATATAAGGCAGAAAGTTGGCTGAGTTAATCCAGTTGTTTAAAGGACACGTACTTTCATGTTTATTACAGCACCATAAAAATATCCAAGTTATATATCAGTTTGACCTCTGCACACTACATTAAAAACATTAACAAATCTACCTACCCACCTATGTTTATGTATGTCTACCTTTAATCTATCAACCTTTCTACTTGCCTACTTTCTTACCAACCCATATTTGTGCCAACCAAACTACAGATGGCCAATCTGTGGACCAAACAAACTGCTGATCAACCCTCATGGCTTTCTAAATCACCAACTTACCTCTTGACCAACCTTCATACCTGCACAACCTACATCCAAAATCTGCCTTTTGATCCATTAGCTAACTAACTAACTTACCCACCTGCCCACCAATCTTTTTACCTTTCCACTGAACAACCAACATATCTACTTACCTTTCAATGAACCCACTTTCCTGCCTACATTCCAACAAAGCTACTCATCTACCACTCATACATACTGATCCACCACACACCTACAATTCTACCACTCTAAAACACCACCAACTACCAACCCATTACCAACCAAACTATACTTATAATCAACTTCCCCTTTTAAACAAACCACCCACCGAACTTTCTACCATCTTGCCTCCTTGTATACCCACTTCCCAACCTTCTCCTCTACTTAATCAATGACAAATTAAACCCATCAGTGGAACATATTTATAGAAACCTGATCTTTAGCTCGGTCTGATCATAACATTTCTACATCCCTCCAGGCTGGATGTGACCACACAACTCATCCTGATGTTAATATGATTAGAAGAAGCCTTTAGCCTCAATAGCCACACTGTCATTGTATTACCATAACCACTAATAATAGAAAACCACTCCGCCTGAGTCGCTGTGAGTCTCGGCTCGTCCCCACAGTCTGAGCTGTTGTAATAAACAGATTCAGAGTGATAACAGTGAAAGGAGTCCGATGACAAATGAGGATGAGATTCATGAGCCACGGGAGGTTTTATAGGTGTTGTATAAACAGAGCTGCAAGTTAGAGGAGTATAATGAGTCACGGTTTCTGTTTAGTGTGACTACCATAAAAAAAATGAGTCAAGGAAAAGTGGGAGCTTTAATTCATGTCCCTTTAAAAAAAAAAAAGTTTCTGTGAGGTCATGCTCGACTTTTCTAGACAATTTTTGGGTGAAAATATCAAACAAGCAGGTATTACATGTGGATTAACCAATGGGGTTTAAGACATGTACGTCCGTAAATGAAACTAAGGTTTAAAAATTAACTTTGTACTCCTGATATCTTTACATCCAGCCACAAAAACCAGGATGGCAGTGTCCATAAAGCCAGGCTTGAGGTTTCAGAGTGCTTTAATCAAACCAGTGGGTTACACATGACATGTAAAGACTACTTATTTTTTTGCTTCAAATGTATTTTAAAGTATATTTCCTCCAATTCATTGCCAGCCTGTTTTTAGAATAAGACATCACCAACCCCCAAATTTTCTTAACAAGATCCATGTGGTTAAGATTATAAACAAAAAGGTCTTTAAATGCCACTTTTCGACCTCTGCACTGGCAAGAAGTACCTGAGGGTACAGGCATAGATGGTCAGCACTTGAACATATATACACACTTGCACACACACACACACACACCTCCTCCATCCTCCCTGTCAGAGGAAGAGTGATATCATCATGTGGCCTGGCGGGCACAGTGTCTGGGTGTGGTGCCGGATAATTACCTCCTCTTCAAAGCCTCATCTGGCCTCCATCTGCTGGACTCTTGCACAGTTAGCTTAGCCGCGCAGCTAACAGTCTCCTTTAACACCCTGCTACACCTGCTGTGTCTGTTACAAATAGGCTTAGCCTGCAGGTTCTTTTTCAGACTACAACCTGGTAGATAATCACACAGACAGACACACACATTCACACCTGGAAGCAGCTCAACACATGCACACTTTCTAAAGTTAGACATGGAGGAGTCCTGGAGGAAAGTTTGTCTGGGCAGGAGGGAGAGTGTCATTATCTGAACCACATTTTCCAAACCACAAGTCCTCTTGAACATGAACTACAAGCTACTGGTTTCCACTCTAATGTCAAACACGTGGGGTAGATGACAGCTCATGGTGCTAATTGCCTTGCTGCAGAGCATGTTAGTCTCTAAACAAGACATCTCTTTTCCTAGTAGCAGATGTTTGGACATAAACAGTGTTGGATTAAAGCACAGCTTGATAAATGCTGCTTGCTTCAAGTATCACTTAGTCAATGAGGGGCATATTTTTAGATTCCAACATAAACTAAATCCCTAACTTGTCGTCTAGAAAAAGAACGTTGGAAAAAGTTGTGTGATGCTGGAAAATGATACTCGCAGAACATCTCCAAACTCTTATGACTGGGGATAAGAGGGACATTACAGAGAGGCTAAATCTCTGCCTGAGACTACCAGGCTTTGTTATCAAATGTTTTCCATTTAGATGCGAACCATTCCATATGATGCTACTTTTGAAAACAGCATTTGTTGATATTTTTCTCGCTAATCCCTACACCCTGTTGTCACGATGACACATATCCTGGTGTAAAGTGTGTCGCATTACCTCACTCTGGCTCCACATAGTTACAGCCTCTCTGCCCACAAAATGACTCCGAGCTAATTACTAGAAAGATTGGTATTTGTTTGTCAGAAATCACCCGAGGTTAAGAGCACTGTGTCAGCTCGTTGTTGTCACACAGGTCTGGCAGGTTTTCATTAGCCCGCCAAGCTTCCTACGACTACAAGGACACGTCACCCGCTGTGATGCTGTGAATTTGAACTTGAATGGAGATTAAGGATTAAGATTAGTCCAGATTTCTTTGCTGTTAACATTCTGTTTTCATCTTAAGTCTCCCACAGAGGGTAAATAAAGCAGGAGCTGTCGTACTTGAAGGCTTTCTCTGGTGTGACATTAACACTAGAGACTCCGTAAACTCTGTACACTAAGCTTGTTGTGTTTACTCCCAGAATGCCACTTTTTGTGTGTTTTTGGCTTCAACTTTTCCCCACTTTTTCCCCACAGTTCAATTAGTTTTGGTTTCTGCTTTATTGGCATGGCACAGAGCTTTCATAAAACCTCATAAGATGAAGCTGACATCAGGGAAAACTTTCACTGCGGAGGAGAAAGAACATGAATTGATCCTTTTTCTTCAAATTATTGCCTTCAGTTTGTTTGAAAAATACACCAAATTGCTGTGTTAGGTATCAGAATTTACAACGAGATGAAATCTGCAAAATGTTTTGTCAGTCGTGGATCTGTTGTTTTGGCATGATTTGAGGGGCCATGTTTATTTTTCAAGAATTGCAAGAACTACAAAATTTGAAGGTACTGTTCCCATTTAGCCAGGTTGTGGTAGACCACCAACTCCTTAGATGTTTGCCAACAAGAGAAACATGAAAGAGGTTTGTTGTTCAGGGATCTACATAAACTTGGACAGTATTGTTAAGGTTTACAAATCTGATAGTTGCCATTTGATGTTGTAGTACACCACCAACTTTTTTGTTGGTCATCAACAACAGATTTGGTGATTTGAGGGCTCAAAATTGACTGAAGAAGAGGTAAGGTTGGTGAAACCATAGTTTCCATTTGGTCAGGTTGTGGTAGACTACTAACTGTGTTGTTGTGTTCAAGTCTAACTTTCAAAGAGATTTGAAGCCTTATTATTCTCACAGTTTTGTTTTTACATGTTCATGTTTTAGAAGACCATCAACTTCTAAGGTTTAAACTTATAGTATTTTTGCCATTGGATCCAGTCATGGTTGACCATCAACTCCTTTGTTGGTCACGAACAAGAGTGAAATGGGGATTCAAGGACAGTGACACTGAAAGTAATCTGTCCATTTGGTCAGGATATGGTAGACCACCAACTCCATTCTTGGAACCAACTTTGCCAACAAGAGAATCGGCTTCACAGATCTACATAAACTTAAAAGGTTCATTTAAGGTTAACGATACTGAGAGTTTTGTTTACATTTAGTCAGGTTTAGTAGATCAACAACTCCCTTGTTGGTCACCATCAAATTGGTGATTTTAGGGATCATAATTAATGGTGATTCCTGGGAGTATTGTTTCTAGCATGGCTGTTTCCAGGTTTCAGTCTTATTGAAGAGGTCAGCTGATGATATTCTGATTTTTTTTTACAATCAGTCCTGTCTTCAAGTAAATCTTATAGCTAGAAGTTTTGAAGTCGTTCTCAGCTGCATTTGCATTTAAAGTTATGCTGCAGCCATTACAACATTACATTTGTCACTGAGATCCTTTAATGTGTTAAAACAATGGCCCAGTTTTTAAAGATTAAAGATTACCCTTAAAAGAAAACCTCCCTAAAATCTGACAGTCTGGATTTTACCCATTAATTCCAATTCCTCATGTTCTCACGAGATCAAGCGTCCTACTGGTGCCAGAATTTATTTTTCGATATTGAATACAGAGACATGGTGTCATCTTTCTGTCTGCACACACAGGGTGCTGTTTTGTTTTTATCAAGTCTTCTTAAAAAAAGTTATCTGGGCCTCACACAGCTTTGAACAACACTATTGTGCACATACAGTGACACACTGACACATTTGAAAGGAAAGTTTCAGCACAGCGGGGACAAAACTGAATCCAGAATCAGTCACTTGAAAGTGATTCTGGTGTCTTTCCACGCCGTTAGAAGTGACGTCTCCTCTGACTTTCTCTCGTTCCTGCTGTTTGCCTGCTGTCCTTCTTTCCCTCTGTTGTTCCAGCACGTTCTGTTTTATTTCAGCTCATGCAAGTGAGTTTAGAAGATAAGTAGCTTCTGTGTGTATACGTATGTGTGTAAAGTGTGTGATGTGATGCCAGTGGAGTGCAGGAATGCGGTTCTTCCACCCTCCCTCCTGGTCGGTATTTTCTGTCTTTTCTCGCAGAGCTGAATGATGCTCGGATGTCATGTTCTCGGGGACGGGGAGGCTGTGTTGAGTTATTCAAGGGGTGGGGGGAGAGGTGGTGGAGGGGGTTACAGGAAGGAAGCTGTGCTGGAATCTGATTACATCTCCCAGTAAACAGGGCAGCAGTAGGAAATGGATCCACAGACCCCTCTGTCCTCGGGGCATCAGGCTCCACATGCTGCAGCTTCCAGATTTATTAAATGTTACCGAGGAGCACACGCACATCCTGGTGTTTCACATACCTGAGCGCCTCCTCACCTGATCACAACTAGCTTATTAAAAACTAAATTTAGTCCAGGCAGAGTCGTCCTGTCCTGCAGGTTGATTTGATTATAGGTTTCCTGTAGAGTAGTTCTTTGAGGGCTAGTGGGAAAAAATGAACCGAAAAGTTCTGTTGGAATATTCCCCCTGTTTTTAAAAATCTATGGAAACTCTCTCAGAAAGTTGACTTTCACAAGACCTGCAATTTTCACCCTTACTCCTCGAGAAAAAAGTAAAAGTTTAACAACCATCTAAACATTTACCAAGATGTGTGAAGACTGGAGCCTCTCTTTCAACCCAGGTACTTTCCTGTAATCTGGGGCTGTCCATGACCTCACCTACAAATATCGGTCCCTGATCAAGGGTGAAAACGCTCCAAAGCACTTTTTAAATATAAAAAAAGACTTGTTTTGGCCTTTCCAGTAGTCAAACATTTACTTTCAGAAGCAGGAACCTGAAAAAAACCTTGCCTTAGAGACGGTGGAGATTACAACCCTAATTCTAAAATAAGTCAGGACACAAAAAGATGCTGATAGTTTTCGTATTATTGAAACTTTGATTTAGTTGAAAATAGTGCTAAGACAACAAATTAAACATTAAAACTGAGAATATAATCATTACACTTTAATGCAAGCAACAGGTTAAGATGAAGTCAGAACCATTTCAACAAGACTTTATTCATGTTTGGGTACCAAGAGACCAGTTTTGGAACTTAGAGTTACTGTAAATGTTGTGGATGCAGTGTCAAACTGTGTTCACAGACCATAGATTCTGAGAGTGATTCAGAGCCAATGCAGTGACTTCCACTGCAGAGTCATGTCAGAGTCAGGTTGGAAAATCACTGCCGTCCATCGTCAGACTGTCTCCTGGTCTCTTTTTTAGTGTCGTGAGGTAAACCTATAACCATCGTTGCATTGGCTAACAGATTTGTTGTAAAGTGCAGTTTCAATAAAGGTTTGTAGCCCTTCTTTTCATACCTTTTTTCATTTCCTTGGCAGCACAAAAATCTTGTTAAAGTGATGCCAGGAAAAGACCAAAAATCAGACTGATAGAGAGATCCAGCAGAGACTCTTGATGATAACTCAGTGTGAAGTCTCATAAACTTTCTGCAGCCTTTAAAAACGAGGAGCATCTTTTAAAGAAGGTAACTTCAGGTTTTTTTTAAAGCAAAGACACTCCTTTTGGCAGAGTTTGTAGTTGCAGGCCTTCAAAAATGGATTTCTGATTGGACAGATTGATTTTTCTCACTGAGGGGAGCATGGCGGAGGAGTTTTTGAACCGTTTTCAGAGCTTCTGCTGCCGCTGGCTGCAGCTGAAGAAGTGTAACAGGGTTTAGAGAGCCACCTGATTATTCTCACTGCTGCTGGGCAAGTTTCTAAACCACTGCACTTTTATCTGGTTTTCCAGCTATATTATACAGCTCAAATGGGACCTCAGAGTTTATAGAGGACTGGTGTGGCATTTCTGCTTTCTTCATTCCTAATCTCTATTCCAAATACAAGCAGACCACATATAAGTTTGTTTTTCTTGGACGACACAGGTAGAGATAAAGAAAGAAGGAAGCTGCACAGAGAGCAAATACCATTACAAAGCTGTAAAATAAACTATTTGACTTCATATCAGGTTTATAGGTGCTTACTTCTCTTTTCCCCTGCAGCTTTGGTGAAATGTGGTTTAAATCCCTGCAGCTATCTTAAATATTTAAACTGGTGCATTTATTTAAAGTAGATTCATTGATGGAATAATGTAAAGTCAGCGGAAGTTTTCCACAGGCCGATTCAAGCGCAGTAACAACGATTTGAAAAGAAGAGCAGCTCTGAAGAAAGAGCTCCTGGATGAACGCTGTCTTCAATTATCTGCAGTGACACTTAAAGCCAGATTACTGCAGCAGAAAAATTTGATACCAGCCCACACAGACGTCTCCCTCCACTCTTTTTTCTGCTTTCACACACACACACTCAGTCACACAAAAAGGAAATTACGGCACAGCCTGGTCACAAGCCTCGGTGGCCTCTCTTGAGTTCAGTTGCCATGGTGAGCTGAATAGAGTGGCTGTTTTCAGCGGCGGCCCTCCTGCTCGGAAAGTTTAGTCCATCAATATTTAATGCCCTGACTTAAGAGAGATGAAATCTTTGACAATCAGGAGAGAGCTTTGTTATGTTTGAATGTGTGGCCTCTATGTTCTTTAATGTGGCAGAGAGAGATGGTGTTATCTCTGCGGTTTGAGTTTTAAGTGCTTCACTGTGCTCCATCTCAGTGCCACTTAAATGTTGCACAATTACTTTTTTATATAAAGCATTAGCATTACGCAGGAAATCATGGGACTCCAGTGCAGCTGGAATTATTGTAATGAGTGAAATGCCAACAAACAAACAGACCTTCTAGAGGCATAAAACACCTTTGCAAGACTGAGTGAATAAAAAAGCTGAACCAAAATGGTCAGAGCTCCCCCTAGAGACTGGGTACAGCATTGTCCACAAAGCTCCACCCCCTCCATGTAGACAGATGGGCCATGAGCAAACCATGAGCCCAAAATACACATCAAGCATTCACTCTTCTAAGACATTTAATTTGATTGGTTATTTGATTCGTATTCCTGCGGGGTGACACAGCTCAAGGAAGAACTTTTATGATCATTTCTTCATGGAAATGCAATCAGACCGAGACGCTAAGGCAGAAGAACTACTAACTACTATCTGCAGTGCCAAATTATTAATATGGCGATTATTACTTCAAGGAAATGATAAAGAAATTATCATAAATGTTCTTCCTTGAGCTGCGTCACCCCGCTGCAGTCCGTAATGGACTGGCCCGAGGTCTCGCTACAAACAAGCGGCTGCTGGAAGAGGGTAGGTAAGTTGTGTTTAGTCTCTTTGCTTAAGAAATCAGGCAAAGTTAAAAAGATGTTTGGTGGCTAGTGCTGTGGCTGGGACCCTATATGTTGATGAAGTTCGGTGCTGTTCTGAGCATTATTTGTGGCTATAGAGTGGCGTTTTGGTTGAGGTTTGTTTATGGCTCCTCAGACAACTGTGTATTGCTATCGTGCGGTTGTTACTAAAGTTGGTATAACTAGAGAAGCAAGCAGTTGGCAACACTCATCTCTTGAGGGGTGTTTAACTCGGTGTTGCAGTGTGTTTGACCCTTAATTACTTTTATGCCGGAATGTCCCTTTAAGATCAGGTGTTGAGGAATCACTTATCAGCAAGAAACATTTTCTGTAAGCTCCCAGTGACGTCAAGAGCAGCTGCCTTACGGTAAACAGTGACCAAGGAGGGACCACACACACTCACACACACACACACCCCTACACACTCACTCACCGGTGACAAACATCTCACCGCCCGTCAACCTGTGATAAACGACACACACCTTATCGACCAATGTCAAGCCGGATACACCTGATCGACTGTGTGATGTATGAAATCATGTGTCTCTGTGTGTGAGGGGGAGATTGAGACAGCGGGGGGTAAGCGTAGAGCATTCTGGGTAATTCCCGTCGACTCCCACGCCTGTGCGGCAGTCGTAGATCTTCAGCTGTCCTCTTCTGCGTATGTCAAACCTCTTCTTCCACCTCTTCCTCCTCCTCCTCAGTCCTCTGCTGCTTTACTGTACCAGCTGTTTACTTTACTGTCGGCTTGTAAACAACGCACACTAACACACTAACACACACACACACATACACACACACATTGTTTACTGAGCTCCCTCTACAGGAGCTATTGAATGTCCCACCTTTATGTCGGCTGTTTGCAGGGAGGCGGATCACTCAGGCCTGGGAGAGGTCAGCTCTGAGTCTGAGCGTGGACTCCCAGTCAGAGTGGTTTATTGGTTTTCTGATTTATAAGACTTCAGAGGAGGTTGGCTTTGAATTTTTAATGCTTGAACTGTAGAGCATTTACTCCTCTGATAGTATGAGGGTTTTTTTAGCTTCGGAGGAAGGGAAAAACTGATTTGAGTCGTAAGCCACTGATATTCATTTTACAGCCACATAAGAAGTGCTCATATTTTGGAAGTCAGGCATTTTTAGGTTTAACATTTAGAAATGTTTCTTAATTTGGAGACTTTCCCATACAAAATGAAGATCCTTTAAGTTAATATTAGTTAGAAATAGTAGACTTCATAGTTATTAGTTATTTAGGGAGGAAAGAAAGAAGCAATTTGACACACACTGCAAAAAACTCAGACTTTAGCAAGTGTTTTTATCTTATTCCTTGCAAAAGAAATGTTTTATCAGGTGTAATCTAAACTGCGTCCAGTAAAGTGTCCAATTTCTGGATTTCACAAAACGAAAATGAGTTTAAATGGCTTGTAATGAGAAAAAAATTGACCTGCAAGTGGTTTAAGACAAAAATGTATTTTGCCATTTGGGGGTCTGAATGTGTTTCAACCTGGACTTTCTTTTCCCCTAAAGTTAACCAGGTTGATGCCTGAACCTAAACAGACACTGTCTAATAGGTTTTATTAGGGCTGTAGGATGATGGAAAAAATGATAACCATGATTATGTTGACGAATAATGAGATCCATTGATTTCACATTTCATATCCACTGATATATAAAGGAAAGACTCAAGCTTATAACTGATATTTATAATGATACAGACCCACTCTGAAGCTTTGCAGTTGTTATCCCCTTGAAACTTGTCAAAGCTGCAGATAAAGAATTGGATGTCTGATCCATCAAATCAAATTTCCCTGATGTAACCTTCAACATGTTGGAGAAAAATGGGAGTGTGGCGTGTTTTATGAGAAAGTGGAAGTGTTTGTGGGTGTTTGTAGAAGGATGTTGACATTTGATTACCATCAGTTATACAGGGTAGGCATGCTACCATGAAGGCAATATGCCATTTGGATTGATGCCTGTTTTTGCAGCCAAAGTCCCCTCAGCTGTAAGGAAAAAGGATGGGGATCAAGTCAGCCATGAGGGCTTTTTTTGACATGATTATACAGATAATACATAACAGGGATGGAGAGTTTATCAGAAATGACATGCAAAGGTCCCAAAGGCCAACTTCGCATATTCCAGCGCCAAATAAAGACATAACCTTGAGAGTTCAAAATGAGTCAAATCATATACACATCTATCATATACATATCTACTCCAACTGAAGAGGGCTGACAAACTATGAAAAAGACCCAAACGATTCAATTCTGGCTGTAGAAACATCATAAAACTTGTCCTCAACCACATGAGCGTGCCATTTAGGAGTCATGTGACCTGTGTTTACACATGCTGGTTTGTGTTTTATGAGGCATTGCACAACCCGAACAAACCACACATGAAAATGCTACAAATTAAACTTAACTGTTGTGGTTCACCATGGAGAAAACACACAACAGTCAGAAAGACATTTTTCAGTCAGAGTGGAGCATGAAGTGAATTTTAAGAACTACTGACGTGGAATAAAAGTTCAGAAATCCAGAAGAAGTTTTGATTTTCTTTTTATTCAACATAAATATTAGTATCTGACCTGAATCACACTTGACAGGAACGACCTCAAATTTAATCCAGATACCTTTTAACTGACTTTGAGTTGAACTATCATTATATAAAAAACTTTTTTCCGACATAAAAAGTGCCTGTGCTTCAAATAATGAGGAACCTTCAATCAAACATTTTGGCATTAAGTTTTCAGTGAGGTTAGAGGCAGTGGCGTGAATAATACAGAACAGGTGGTGTCAGAAAATTCCATGTAACCAGCCGTGAAGGACAGTGGAACTTTTGCTGACGTCTGATTGGTCAAAAAATCTGCACACTTCAAACAGGAAATGACACGGGAGGGCAAACAGGAAGCATAGGGCAGAGAGCTGATGTTTTTCTTTCCTGTCCGTTCCCATTCCCTTGCTCGCTGTGGCACCGAGCCAGGCAGGGAGAGGAAGGAGGGAGGGTATTCTGGGGAATCCCACCTCCCTCCTCCTCCTCCCCTTCCTCCCTCCTCCTCCTCCTCCTCCTCCTCCTCCTCCTCCTCCGTCCCCCTGTGGCTGCATCCAGAGACATTTAACTCAACTCAACTTTTTCAAAATGCTGACTTCGAACTCCACGCTGGATTGTCTTTCTGGAGCGCAGGAGGATTTGGATTCAGGTCATTTGTTTTAGAGGATGACACGACACAGTGACGGATGTTTTAGGTGGAAAAAGTAGACAACACTTTTTGTTTCTGCAAAAGGACTTCAGTCATCTGGTGGATAGAAACATGTCTGCAGCGGGATGATGTTGCTACAGGTCTATCAGAAGTGTAAGTAAGAAGTTTCTAGTGACTGGAAGTTCACCCAGGGACCAGGAACTCTAGATAGAATTTATTACATTATCACCCTCGGGGTCAGAGTCCCAATAAAATTCCTGGGACTTAAGCGGGGTACACACAGAAGAGTTTTTCAAATCTGAAGAGATTTTTTATCTGTGCTCCAATAATCTCAACACAGCACACCACACACAAAACGATTCTGTTCCACCACCGATCTAGAATCTAGTCCTCCAAGACAGAAATCTCGCGTGATAAAACGTGATCTAACAAAAACAAAGAAGAAGAAACATAGCAACAACTGGGAAACACAAGACGCAACATGGAAGAGGAAACACAAGAAGAGGGAATGATGGTGGTTTTAGGAGTATTTTTGACAGAAAAATCCTGGAGACAGCATGAACGCAGACTTTATAGTCTACTGAGCGAGCTAGAGGTGAGTTATTCTCAAAATTAAGCTAGTGGTTGGTGTGAATATCCTAGTAACACAAATAAATAGGCCATGCTTCATTATGATTGGCTTTATTTAGTTCCTTGTTCCTCAGTCAGCTCGCTTCTTGATTGGCTACAGTCCATTTCACGTGACAATTCATGGAGTCATGACTCGGGAGTCGTCGGCTTTTCCCGGCACACGCGAAGATTTTTGGTTGTAAATATTGAACAAGTTTAATATTTACCATTGTCAGCCCCGACCCATTTCAGACCCAATTATTGGGACAAATTCACTCTTAATACACCTTAATACACAGGGTAATCTTAGAAGACATAAGATAATCTCCCGATTGTCGTCTTTGGTGTGGGAGGGGGAAAAACAGCCCAAGTATCTTTATGTGTGTACCCCGCTTTAGTCTACTAGTCTATGAGTAATGCCTACAGGGCTGAACATTACTTATGATTGCATACTTATAATTTTATTTTTCTGTTTTCTCTTAAACGTTTGTACCAGCAATCAGGAGTTTTCTTTCCAAAAATGATGCATAGTGTTAGTTCAGGCAGGTCACAGAGTCAAGCTCAGCCCACAGTACATCAGCTAATCCTTACGCTAGCCCACATCAGCGAACAGCTCAGCCAATTATCAACTGTACAACTAACTGGCAAATCTCAGAATAGGTGTTCATACTGCTTAACCTACCTACTCTTCCTGCTACTCTTCTGCAGACCACTTTGCAACACACCTTCTTTGCTTCTTTTTTGAATAAGAAAAAGAAGATAGCTTGAGGTCATGCTGCAAGCTTCAGTTTTGGCTGACTTCCATCTGTGATCTGTGAGTTTGCACCAGGTTCAGTTAAGGTGTGAGCTAAATTAAGAGCCAACCTGCACCTGTTCAAACCTGGACAGTTGTTAATGCTCATACTGTCCCTGTGTGTTTTGTCTCATTGGCATTCAGCACCAGCAGGACTCTGAGCACCACGACGCACCGGTGCACAGCAGGCAGCATTAATCAATGCACCGAGCAATCAGCACCTAGCCTAATTCAATCACCCCTCCAACAGAATACCACCATTAGGACAACAGAGCAATGTGTGTTCATTCCACTGTTATGTCTCGGTGATTTGTGTGTGTGTGTGTGTGTGTTGTGTGTGAGTCCCTCTGCAAGCTGAAACAAACCTCTTCAGAGAGATGAAGTGAAGAGGGAGCAGATAGAGAGAATTATGGAGAGTAGTTCTGGGTCAAATTGGTGTTGCGATTTCCTTGCAGCGCACAAGAGACGCAAAAGTTCAGACAAGGTCACAGAGATGACAGAGTGGGCTGTGTTTTGATTTTCTGTGGAGGGAGTTGAAGTTGTACATACACAAAAAAAACCTTCACAAATTGTTTCCTGACAGGCAGAAAAGATTTTCATTCACCCGTGTTGTGATAACCGAAGACAGTTCTCGACTGAATCAGAGAAATGGAGACAATACGGCTTCTGTATTTCAAACCCGAGTCTTTTTCTGACACTTTTGTCTCCCTTTCAGAGTTTTCTTCCTCTTCTTTCTTGCTTAATATTTCACATGTACTCCTCTGTAATCCACCAAAGCTCTGGCTTTTGTTTCGCCGCCTCTCACATTTTCTTTCTTGGCTAATTTATTACCATTCCGCTCTCTTCTGTCTCTCAAACCGATTGGGATCACCAAAAGTGGTTTTTAACCGCGGAAACTCACTATTTCCCAAGCAAACTGAAAAAAATCCTTCAAAGAAATCACAGCGGGAATCCTAAAGTTTGTGCATCCGTTTTTGCAGCCTGTAGACTTTTGCAAAACTTTGTGAAATATGTAGGGAAAGACCATGCAACGTAAGAATACACGATTGTTATTCCATTTAGAAAGAAAAATGTAGATTATAAACACAGACACTGTAGATATTGTGTACTTATAATCCGTTCAGTCAGAGCTCAGATTATTCAATATGCCAGGGTCAAAAGACGTGATTAAAGTATGTTATCTTTAACTGCGTGCTATTTTGTCCCATTCGTTACACCGTAATCCAACTGCTGCAGTGTCTTCCTGCTTCCTGCTGTCTTCAAATGGAAAAATAACAGCAATGGATTTTGGAATAGCACTTCCGGACAAACTCTTTGATGGCCCGGTGGACAAATTAAAAGTAACACGCATTCTGAGAATCAAAATGTCACCATAAGAGGACAGTGTTTGAGGGACACTCTCAGGTCGGCATGTTGTGACGAGTCATACACAATAGTTTCACTCCTACAGGAAAAGCAAAAACAGGTGGAACTTCTAAAAAGTGCAAAAGCTTTTGGCAAGATAATCTGAGATAACATTTGGATAAAAGAATCAATATTTCAAAGGCTTACAGTTGCATCCCTGTTTGATGGAGCTATAAAAACCTGCATCATTGTGTTGCAAAGTGTGTCTTCTCTCTGACACCCAGACAAAACCCTCGACAGTACTGACAATGTCCGGGTTTCCAGTTTAAGTAAAACGAGTCTCCACCGGGCTGACTCTTATCGGACCTATAGATTAAAGAGACGATGCATCAGCCATTTACTCAGGCCAGCACTACCTGTCTCCTCTCCTCCTCCTCTGTCAGGTGGGTGTCACAGAGGACTCACGGAGGGTCTATTGATCGGCTGTTAGTGGGAGGCTTTCTGTATGACAGGACCTTTCGGTGCCGCTGGGAGGAGACTCCATCAATATCCTCCTGACTCAGATACAGTGAAGGAGGTCGATTCATATCTCTACATCTCTTTCCTGTTTCCTCACATGTCTCTCACCTTTCCTATTCTTTGCCTCACATGTCTGAATCCTTTGATAATCCCTCTTGAAGTGCAGATAGTGACATGTCTTTTTTCAGAGTGTTATCCTGGTAGTGCTGGTAGGAAAGTAGAGCTGCTCAAAGTAATCATCCTTTATGTTAATTCAACTGTTTTTACTTGAAAATACATCATTCATTTTGGCTAACTGAGTTTGGCTGTTTTCATGTTGCAAATCTGCACTATAACCGACACTGAGCTGTCACTGCTGCTTTGAGCTCTGAAATAGCGTTATATTGGTGTCCCAAAGTGTGATTTCACATTGCATCAAGACGCTGTTAAAGCGCAAGGTGCAATGCATGTAAACACACAGCAGGGGCCCCATACACACACACACACACACACAGGCAAAATCATTACACCTCTAAAACCGTCTCTGAAGGCATGACTACGCCCTGTCATTCAACATCTGTGCAATGCAGTTTGCAGAAAAAGCATAACAGGGGTGTAAATATCCTGCCGAGGCTGTTTATCTGTCAGAGCTTTAGGTTTTACTCTGGGTTTTGGTCCAAGAAATATCAAGGACAGCATTTTTGGTGTTCCCAGTTCTCACAAAAGATCAGGTGTGAGTGTTTGTCTGCTCCATTACTGACCCTCAAGAAGCCAGAGGAGTTCATACTTCCAGCCTTTTGATGAGAAACAGAACAACTGCTGAAGTATTGGCGTAGCTGCAGCTCGTGTTTGAACTGCAGAGATGTTTGATTTTCGGTCTGTGTCGGAGTTTCGCTTCTGTTGTTGTCACTGTAATTCACTGTAGATGCTGGATTTGCTTTAGTCGCAGAAAATTGGGCACCATTACATTTTTAAAAGGCCAATAATTTACTTCCATGTGTTGGGGTCACAGCCTAGCAACAGCAGGTCTGAGACATAGCAACAGCAAATGCTGTAATTGGACCTTTTTGACTCATTGCTGTAGTATCAACATGAACAAACACATTTTATCACAAGGACACAAACATACGGAGGGAATGAAAAGATGTATGATTAGAGGAAAGATGGAAAATGTGCTTTGATGGAGAAAACCAACACGCAGTTCATAGAAAGAGATGGTTTATGGTGGCTCTTTTAGTGTAAATAATGAACTTGCTGCTCCGTCCTTGAGCATGTGCCGCGTGTGTGTCCATATGTGTGAGATGCAATCGTGGGTGTGTGTTCAACATGGCATTGAGCACTAATGGCATGGTGTGGTCATGTGTCACTGCTTAAGGTCACTTCATCACCTGACTGGCTCCAACGCAGATATAATGTAGGAGAACATTACTCACTGCAAGGGCTTCTGGGAAAATTTAGTTCAGATGTAAGACTGAAGAAAAGAAGAAGAAGGTAGTGAGGGCATCTATGATTTAATTTGCATTTATCGAAGAGTAGTATTGTAGTTTTTTTGCAAGATATCCGTCCTCTTGTTTGATGTAAATGGAAGCAAAACCCCTGAGGCATTGTTTTGGACTGGGACTGAAAATTAAAATGTAGAAAACATGAAAAGTCTTGATTACTTTTATATTTATGAGTGCCCAGGTTGCCACGAGTCATACTCAGTATTTAAAGCTTTTAAATAAAACTGATTAATTCTACAGTGAACAAAAATGGTCTGAAGCAAAGCTCCACAATGTCAGGAGTTCATGAAACCAGGCTGATTCAATTGACTCAGTCGTTTGACAAATTTGAAGAAGTCCAGTGTAGGAAAAGAAATGACTGTGTGAAGGGTACGTCATCAGTTCGAAGTATAAATAGATTAATTACAGCAGGATGATGCAGTTAGGTGGACTAACAGGGAGGAGCTGCTGTATGTGGTCTGATTAGAGGTGAAATAATTGATAAAAGCGGAGAGTCAACAAGGCAGACAAGGAGTGTAGTGAGAGGAGATAAACTTCTAGTTTGTTTGGCTAGTGACCCCAAAAACTCAATCTGACCAAGAACTACATGCCAATTTTAAAGCCTCAAGAAGTAGTCCAAAAACTCTCACTTTTACTTAAAGCAGGTTTTGCCTTTGCCTGCACTAAAATTCTTCTTGCCGTCATGAGAAGAAGGAAATGATGTATTTTAAGTCTTTTAAATGTGCCCCAGTGTTCCTGTTCCTCTCTTAAATGCACTAACTTTCTTTTGGTTGTATTGGAAGGAAGTGAAAGAGGTAGTAATAGGGGGTACTGCAAAACCAAGTAGTCAACAACCAGCAAGTGCTTCTGCTTAAAGAGTTCAGCCACACAGTGCTGTGACTCAAAACAGGCGGGAAATTTCGTTTCAGAATTTGCAAGAAACATGCAGAGCGATGCAAGCAAGTTCAAGCAATGTTTTGTGAAAGAGAAAGAGAGACGGCCCAAGACATGATCCCAGAGGAACTCCACAGGCGTAAAAAAACTTCACAACAAAATTTGGTTGATAACTGGTGGAGATAAAGATAAAAAAAATAAATAAATAAATAAAAATACATACAATGACAGAGATTTTTAGAAAGGTCACATACATGATGATCACGTGATGTCCAATGAAATTAAGAAGTGTTTGATCATGCACGACATTAAGGTATCCTCAAAAAAGAGCATTATACATACTGCTAAAATAAACAACAGGACCAAGAATTGATCCCTGAGGAACCCCACAGAATTTACCAGTTGTTGTAAATCAACATTTGCTTACTTACAGATGTGTTTGGGTCATTAAAGTTCAGTGATAAGGGAAAAAAAATGACAAACATTGAGAAATAGTTTAAAGCCCATACTTATATAATTATACAGTGAAATTAGGAAGTTTATGAGTGGATGTTCCTACATAGATATTGTATATTATATGATTATCAAATTGTAATGTAGTGTAATCTGCACTAGAAATAATACTGAACTTACAGACAGAAAATGCACCAATAGAACTGTGCAATTTTTATTATCAAAATAGGACAAATGAACTGTCTGAGCCTGTTTCAAAGCTGTGTATAGTTGTAGAAATAGATTATACAGGATTCATCTTATGCACTGTAATTTACTCTGTGGTACATTATATTTGTTTGCAACAAATCAAGCTGTTTTACATGATCGGAAACAACAAGATAATGAAGCCAGCCACCAGTGTTCAAAGAAGTTATACAAACGGCTTCTGACCCGAATCTTCTTTGTTATTATCTTTTTCTCTCCTGCAAAGACACCATCACAGAGAAAACAGAGCTGCCGAGGGCGTGAAGGTTGTGACAATGACAAGTTGAAAATGTGAGAGGGCGTAACCTGAAGGCAGCATCGTTTCTGATGCTGCTAGGTACAAATCATCTCCGAGACACACACACTCACACATTTCTTACCCCATTACACCCTGCTCATGTTCTCAGCTTCACAGTAGATGTACATGAGAAAAAAAAAAAAAAAAGGAGGGAGGGAGGGCTGGGTGACCGAGACGGAGAGCGACACAATGAGAAGAGGAGAGGAGGGGGAAAGAGAGGGAGTGCGGGAAAAGCAGAGAGGGGAAGATGATGCTGGGAGTGAGTGAGTGAGTGAGTGGAAGCGCTCATTAATAAGAATTTAGAGGATGTGAGGAGAGGACAGCGAGCAAAGCAGACAGCGTTCGCAGGACTGCAGGAGGAGAGGGTGAAGGGGAAGATAGAGATGGATGGGAGAAGAAACGAGGGTCAGAAACGGATGTAAGAGAGTTGGACAGCTCAGAGGCATCATCATCAGCAAACTGTGCACAAATCGATCAACAGCATCCAGGTGTTTCCCTCGCAGGAGCAGCAGAGGAAACAGGAGGAAAAGAGGAAGATTGCTTTGTTCTGCCTCTCTGCCTCTTCTTCATTTGACCGCGAAATGAGGAGTGTGTGAGAGCACTCCAGCTGAGCCGCACAACCCAAACATCACACGCCAGATGAACACATACAGTTTGCGGAGAGTTGGCACCGCCAGCAAACATCCTCAGCTACTTTCTGCAGCTGCCAGTGGTTGAGTTGGGATTTACGGGCTGGACCAGAGGCGGCATTTGAAGCAGGTGTCAGGTATTTGTGCGTGATGATTGGGGATCAGCTGTTTTGTAGAGAAATTCAGGGAAAGAGTCTCTGAGGACATTTAAAACACTGATGAGTTCGCAAGCATGTGTTAATATCTGGGAAAGTGCGTCAATGTGAAAAGGGAGGAGAGGAAGGTTGAAAGAAAATACTGTTCTGGAAGTCCGGAGGAAGCAGAGAGCAGTGAAAGGCACTGTTAAGAAAAAGTCAGCGCAATTTCCACGCATGTCAAAATCAAGATACATGGGAGCCCGGAGTCATGACGTGAAATAAGGTGATGAGTCCTGAGGAAGGAGCCAGAAAGGGATGAGGTTGTGGAGGGTAAGAGGGCAAAAATGGGCTGCCCCTGCCCTGTGGCGAGTCCGGCTGCCTCTACCGCCGCCTCCCCATGAACATGCAGGTCCTACAGATTGTCAAGGAGCTGGTGTCACCGTCCAGACGCAGAGCAGCAACCAGATTTGGAGGTTTGTGCATGGACCATTCATCACTTTTTCTTGTTGTGACTCATGTTAAAGTCAGTGGATGTATTTCTCTTGACAAGCAGTTTAAAACGGCAAGAAAGGGTCAGATAACTGGAGGAATAAGGGGGTTGTGAATGTTTGGGGCTTATACTGGAGTGTCACAACAGGTTATTAGAAAGTTGTGCTTTCCTCCTCTGAATCAAAAGGGGTCAGTTTTCAGTTTGTTTAAGCAGAATTGAAAGCTGCCTCGATTGGCTGTCAGGAGCTGTTAATCTACCTGTCACGTCTTCATGTAGATTATAGTGGACAAGTCTCTCAACTGTGTAAGTTCTGCACCCCAAGCTTGTCTATTTCAGAGTCAGTTTTGCTTAACAGGGTTGTTCTTAGAGGTTTCCAGATATTTCAAGCAAACCACTTTATTGGGAGGCTTGTCCAATGACATCTTAAAGCATAAACTCTTTAGAAAACAGGTTTTTCTCCAGTAGCTCTCTGTATTTTGTTGAAAAAAATATCCAAATGGTCTTCATTTGGAGTTCAAGGCAACTCCACTTGACTTTTCACAGGAGGGTTTGAATTACTTTGAACACAAAAGTACACACAAGGACTTTCCAAACAAGTGATAGACCTTCAACATCTTTAAATCTAAAATTGTGCATTCATAGTTTTCTGTAAAGTAATGAATGTTCACCAGTAATGCCTTTATGTGGTTCAATAAAGATTTTAATGGAGAGGGTTGTCCTTGGACGGTCTGCATTCAGAGTTTTTCCATTCTGAGGTCAACCTTAGAAATATTGATGAAAGCGAATTTCACAATCAGGCAAGTCAAAACCCGACTTTAACTCAGGGAACTGCAGTTTTTCTGAGTGCTCCACTGCTGATTTTATTTTTCAAGGCTGAAAGCATTCGAGATCATAAAAGAGGCATGACGGAAACAAGAAGGGATCACTGTAGAGCATGCAGGGCGGAACAGCACTGTGTGTGTGTGTGTGTGTGTGTGTGTTTGTGTCAGTGTAAAGCCCCTGCTGGGTCTTTAACTCTCATGCTCCCTGATGGCATAACGCAATGTGAAATGGCACGCCGGGATGCCAAAATGCAAGTAGTTTGAAAGCACAGAGAGGTATGTTGCAGCACTGTTGCAGACTTGTTACACATTTAGGTCTTGGAGCATTTTAAGTGAAGTGTTGTCGCGTCAGATCTTAAGGAAAAACCGAGTCAGTCCTTTTCTGACGGGTCACACTGTGTACAACCTGCTGCCTGCCAAAGCAGGGAAAGATCTGAATCAGTTCAACAAGTGGGGATTACAGCTCCCACTTCAGGACAGGCTTGTCTCAAAGGCATCTGAGAGTGTTGCAGTCGACAGAAGTGGTACTGTGATGAATGAAAAAGAGCTCAAGAGGGAAGTTGAAACACCGCTCAAGGGCTGGACTGTCCTTCTTCTAGAGTGACTGAACTTGATTGATTATGATCTCTCTGCACTGATTCAGGTAAGCATATTCAGAAAATTAGAGGTTGTATTGCAAATAAGCGAGAGTTGCAAAGGAAATTTGTAGTCAATTTTGCTTTGCATTCACTTTGGGGAAAGTTACCCTCTTCTCAATGAAGTACCACTGAAGCGGCACTATTTTAAGTGGGAGCAATAATCACTTGAAAGAACACCAGTGCTTTTGAAACTGAAGAAAATAAATACTCTGCAAAGAAAACCAGACAACTGGGGCTGAAACTGCTTCAACTCTCAAAGATTTAGTTTGTCTGGCTTAATAAGTTCATTATTTTGTCCTCAATGTCACTGACGTTAAACCTTCTGTCTGTGCTGCGTTTATCTGAATGAAGGGACACCTGCGAGCAGCTAATAGCTCCGCTGATGTGGGACAGAAGTTTGTATATGTGTGTCCTGCGGCTACATTACTCTGGTGTGCTATGAATAAAGAAGCAAAGTGCCCGGGGTAATCGAACACTCTGTGACCCCTCACCCTACCTCATCCTGCCGCTCACGATTGGATCAGGGCTCGTGCGATCGCCCTGATTCACGTCTACTGTTGCAAAACAAGCGTTGTTTTTATTGTCGCCTCTCAGACTTTATGACGGCTCCTCTCCCCTGTAGCAGGAAACCACAGCTTGTTGACTTCTTGCTTCAGTACTTTTCAAATAAAAAGAAAGCTCTGTGTTTCCTGGGGGAGTGATTTGCATAAATTTAACGAGGGGTTGATGGGCAGGTAAATTGGTGCTTCTTGTAGATTTCTCCAAAAAAAAGTCATGTAATTAGGACATTGATGATAATTTATGATAATTTCTTCTGAAAACCTTCACTCTGTGTCTTATTGCAGGGTTTGTGTTTGCATTAATTTGAGTTGGATGTGCACAGCTGTGGGACTTCTTTGTGTTTTTTTTATAAACACGAAAAAGAGGCTTTAAAACAGACAACATTTCCAAATCATCTCAAGGTCTGATTTCCAAATGGGATGTCCTTGAAAAATATTCATACTCCTCTATTTTAGATAATGTAGATCCTGTACTAAAACATCAGTGGTTGGCTTTTATCAGAGCTTAGTCCGGACATGATGGAGACTTACCACTCATAACACGGAAGCAGCCATGATTGCAGGTAATAAAAAGTAATTTACTGGAATAATTTATGACCAACAATGATTAGACTGCATTTTGGTCACAGCAGAGCCTTAAGCCTTAAGCTTGTTACCACAAGGTCATCTCCTAAATGACCTATCATGTACAAAAACAATTGATGAAACCCATTAGCAGTGAAATACTTCAGTACAATAGAATCAACATATTATCACGGTATAGTTGTCCGACTATGAGAAGTTTGATTTTGTGCGATTTCAGTTGGATTCAAGTGTTGACATATATTTTAAAAGTCCAGTTTCAGTCAGACTAAGACAAATTATTTTTTTAACAGGAAATAGACAAACTGACTGATTACAATGAAATCGCATCAGCACAGCCATCGGGTAAGCTAGTGCTCCAGGACACCTTTTAAAGACAAGGTACCAGGATGTAACACTGTCACTGCAAAAAGCAAAAACAAAAACCTCCTACTCCTAAATACATGATTGATGTGTTACTTGATGCCTGAAACTTAATTTGCCCCGTAATTTCTGTGTAGATAAATACAGCTTTTGTAGTTCTAAGAAAGCAGCACCTATCAAAGTTTCGGTGCTTCGGCATTTCACAAACTCATGTGGAAAGGAAGGAAACTCTCACAACAGAGCCATACAATTCTCGGATTGATGGAAGTGATCTTATCCTCTCTTATTGCGTTGTATCGCAGTGTCTTATAAGACTTTATTTCAATGTCTTCAAGGTTTCAGTTGTAGTGAACTTGTTAAAACGATTTCCCAATAAAAAAATGTTTTCAGGGACCCAAAGTAAGCGTCAAACTCAGATTAAAAATGTGAACGAACCTCGTCAAGCATCAAATTTTGCATATTTACAAGTCTTTACAGTCAAGGTCAAACATGTTTATTGGGATGTAAATGTAAGAGGAGCCGCGTGACCTTGTTCTTTCTCTGTTCCATTAAGCTTTTATATCAGTTTCATGAAGCCGTAACATCTGCCATCATCGCCGCTCTAAATAGAAAGCTTTATGTGATAGTGTGAGAAGCTAAATTTACTCTACCTGCTCTTAAAGCTTGGAAGGATCTCCTTTAGAAAGCGTTTATTCATGTAGATAATGCAGGTTGTCTGCAGCCAGCTGGCTTTTGTAACTGCTTTAATTCATCAACAAACCCCTGCAGAGCATTCACACAGGACAAATTAAGCCTTCTTAGTCCACATTGCAGTTTGCATTCCTTTGGGAAGTCAATATTTTGGGCAGAAATCACTTCTTTCTTGAATAATTGCGAGTAAATAATAGATGGAGTCAGGCGTGCAGGCGCTTCTTTCTTCAGACAGTGGGCTGATTATTATTTGAGGCGGTGGACAAGGTCAGAGATGTCCTTTATTTTATACCAGGGGGGGGCAGCGCTCAGAGAAGTTTAATGTGGCAGCTAAATAACAGCTTAACCTCTGAACTGATACGCAGATGACTCAGTGATCACTTAAATGGATTCAGCCCAGAGGTGTCACTGACTCTTCTGCCTGATCTGCTGTGTTTTTAATGGGAAATGTGGAAATTAAACCATCAGCGCTGTGACGAGGATTGAATATTAACATGTTTTTTTCTCAGCATCAATGTCAAATCTACCATGCTGCTTTTCTGAATGGCACTATTATGGAGTTTAAAATGCATAATGATATTTGAATGTCTTTACTTATTTGGTTAAGAAAATCTAAACCATCACTGTGAACTGTGTGCATTTATTTTAGCATTAGCGATGTTGTGCAGCATTTTAAAGCACCCCTTACTGTCTGCATCAGCCATTCTCAAGACTTTATACATCAACACCACAGAGCATCTTTACACATGTGGAAAAAGGTGAGCATATTGTGGGGCCTGAGTGTTGAGTAGTTGCTGCCTGAGTGGTGTGAGATGTGTTGCCTTGGAGCTAGTCCAGGCAAGCAACTTATTTCATGGCCTAGGTCTTGCTTACAGCCACCTTACAAACCCACCATCCGTTTTTGCTGCAAGCTTTTACCGCCAGATGATAAAAATGAAGCTGTGTGTGTTTTGTTATTTTTTAATAGACTTTGTTGTTGCGAGGTTCATTTGCATAAAAGTTAATGCATACTTGCTCCGTGAATATTCTTCAAACTGCATTAGTGCACAGAGATACTATTGCTCTGCCGGACAGTTTGGAGTGAATTTAACATCAGGATCCAACTTTTTGTTTGTGGAAAAGGTTTTGCTGGTTCATTTTATGTACAGTTTGGAAAGCAATGTCAAAGAACAAACCTACTGCACATGCCACACTGATATGCATCCTAGTTTTTCCGCTTTTTGCAGGAAGGTTTTAGCAGCTCAAGCAGTAAAACACCTTTGAAAGGTGATGAGGTAAAACACAGCATTATTGTTGTATAGGGCTGGAAATCACTAGTGGCCCAACGATACGATATTATCACAATACTTGGCCCAATGATACGATATTATTGCAATTTTTAACATTTTACAATACAGTAAGTATTGGGATACAATATATTGCAATATCTACAATTTTTTTCAACTTCAACTTTTCAACTTCTCAACTTTTTTTTTCACCACTGCCAACCTCACTAGACAAAAAGTTGATTTTATTTTTCCATTATCATAGATTTGACTTCATATTAGCAATTAATTTGAAAAATCGATACTTGGTAAATGAGATGATATGATATATTACCAGACAAAATATCGCAATACTATGCTGTATCGATTTTTTCTCCCACCCCAAAGAGCTCCAGAGGAGCTCTTCAGTCACATTTCCTCCATGTATCTGGCTTGCTTGGCATTGCTTTAAGCACTTTAAGATCCATGTATGTTATTGTGGGATGTCTTTGAGGTCGATATCCAGCAGGAGTTACCTGCTTGGAGCTCCCAGCGTCTCTTTGGCCTTTTGTTTCTGGATGCTCAACTCACACTTATGCTCGGTAAACCCTCTCAAGCTCCTTGGTGATGACCGTGGTCACCATCACCACATACGGTCATGCTACTTTGATAGAAACTAAAAGTCACTCTGTGTTGGATCATTTTAAGTATAAAAGTACATGACCTCCATATTAAATTTGAGAGTAGTGGTTGTTTTTCTTCGTTGAAGTGCTCTTAAGTGTACTTTTGAACCACCAGGCTGCCAGGGTTGTTGGCCCTGCTCTTGTTTGTGAACACTACTCGCTCTAATACCTCTAAATTCATGTTGTAATGATTTATTGATTTTGAAAATGCTACAAGAGGAACCTTTAACACCAGCAGGCCACACTTAGCCTCCAGCTTTAGACTGCAGCTCTTCACGGTGCTGTTACACTCTGCTGTGAGTGTGTGTGAGACCCGATGGCAAGAGTGTGAAAGTTATTGTGAGGCAGGTAAGTGTGTGTAATCAGCTCTTAAGGCACAGACACTTAAACAGAGAGCGAGTTTGAGAGATTTCGGCTGCTTTATCGACTGGCCTGGAAACGATTCGCACTTTCCATTTGGCTGTCGACTTTATCTGCGTCCATCAGGCCTGCAGAGGAATTCACCTTGGCTCTTTTCTCAGAGCGGATCAATGCAGCCAGATTTAGAGATGGCCCCGGAACAGACACACAAACACGCTCATGCACATATGCATACATTCATACTCTCACTGCGGTGCAGGAAGGTGCTGAGGTGTGAGGTGCAGGCTAAGCAGATGTTGCTACTGTGAGTCCTGCGGTGATGCTGGAGCTTAGACTCTTAGAGGATAATAAAACAGCACGTGTGGGGGAGAGATGCTGACATTTCAGCCTGTTCAATCTCAAATCTGCTGCACAGAAGGTTCAGGAATGATTTAAATATAAAGGGAAAAGCACGCAAACAAAACAGAAATCCTCAATGTAGTCCTTAAGTAGTTGCAAGAGGTTTATCTGCAGATGTAACTCTCTGCTCTCAATGCATGCAAAGATAGTGTGAAGCATTTTCCATCTTAAGTGCTCTCTAATGCAAGACATTTACCTTTCAATTTATTTCTCTCATTTTGTCGATTCATTACGGGTTAAGGTCTCTTTAGGGGATTGGAAACACATTTCTGCTCCGTCTTATGGCCCGTCAGCTGAGAGTTAGTGGTTGAAATCCTTTGAGAAATAAATAATTCCTTTGACTTTTTGTGAGTCAAAGTAAAGCCTGTCAGCATATTGACTTGAAGCGCATGCACAGACGCCTGCAGCAGCCCCGAGGCTTTAACCTCAGCCCTCATTAAAAGCTTTCTGGTCAGTTCAGAGGAAGCAGAATCACCCTGAGACCTCATTATAATTTAAGAATTCACCTCATGTGCATTTGGGTTCTTTGTTTTGTTTAATTCACTTAAAGAGACTGGATAAAACCTGCGATTTTAGCACACTTTCGGCGTTATCTTTGATTGACAAGCCCCCAGATTTTGTCTCCGAAAACTGTCATCACAGCTCTCATTACTGATTTCAGCTGCTTTTAAATTTCAGCCCTCAAGTAGAAGAAAATGACACAAACAAAAACAAGAGATCCCTCAGGAAAAACAAAAACATCTCCAAACACGCTGCTGGTTATTTATGCCACGGTAGTTGCAGGGTTTTATGTATCATTATTTACATTCTCTGTCTTTCTCTGTGACAGGAAAATGAATATCTTTGAGATGTGGAAAATGCAAGACATCTTAGTGTTGTCTTCGATAAACACTTATCCTCAATTCAGCCCTGTCTGCCATCAACATTTATGAATGACATATTAAACACACAGTATGTTGTTTATATGTTACCCCTAGTTTATCTTATCCACACAAACAGGGACACTTGAAGGGACTTTAAATAGGGCCAGGGGAAGGTAGTGCGTACAGTCAAATACAGTTAGGATGAGCGTCAGCAAAAACAAGCTTCTTACCAAGGCTTTGATTTCCTTGCCATCTTTCTGACACCTCTCTTCAGACTTCCTACTCTCTTGTCCCCCTTTTTTCCCTTATAGGGAGGTAGGGACAGGCGGAGCGTACAGTCTAACCCAGCAGAGTAAAGTTTCTGGACATAGAGCCCTGACATGCCTTTCCTGCCCTCTTCCTAACAGCTCTGCAGACTGTTCTCTCTGTTACCTCTTTTCCCGTATGTGAATCTGAAATTAGGGGGAGTTAGAGCGTACAGCCTCACCCAGCAGTGTCAAACCTTGGCACAAACAAGGTCCTTACTCCACCCTTGCCTTCCCTGCCCTTTTATAACATCTCTAAAAAGACGTTTCCCTTTGTTTTTCCTTTCCTTTTCTTCATGAATATGGGTGAGTTAGGGAAGGTAGAGCGTACATGCTCACTCAGCTTTAACTGAACTGGTTCTTTCTCTGGCACTGCCTTCCTTGTCTTATTTCTAACACCTCTTAGCTCTATTTTCTGCTTTGTTTCCCTCTTATCTTTACTCTCTGATGTCCATGCAGGAGTAGGGGGAGACAGGGCGTATATGGCCAATCCCAGACAAGCACTACTCAATCAATGTCCTTTGACAACTCTCTTTTTTGCCTTCATCCTTTCTCCCTTTTCTTGCATGCTGGGCAGAAGGAGCCCAAATCATGGCATAGAAATGTTGTACTGATCGATAAAGCAAGTCCTAATGGATGAATTGCACAGGAGCAGCTTAGTGCAAACTCATCCAGTTGTATGCTCTAGTTGGCTGAATCAGTCTGATACCCGAGCCAGATGAAAAGTAATTCCTCAGTTTATTGGCTTCTACAATCGTCTGTGCACTCCAACTTTGAATGCAATATGTATGTGGTGTAATTTTTTTGTGGCAAATTTGCAATACCAGCAAAGAGTAGTGGTAAAAACCCAAGGTGCAGCAGACTGTAGGCTTCACTAGGCCACAAACTATGTCAAATTATGGCGCGAGTGATGGGATAAAAACTGGTTTTGCAGCCGTGATAAGCTGTGCCGACAACAGCCATCAAGCATTAGATATCCTACCTTTTGAAAACACTGAGTTTGTAAGAGAAGGAGAGGCAGAGCTGGATTAGAAACACATTAAAACATGACAGAGTCGCTGCCAAACTGCAGTCTTCTTCTCCTGATCGGCACGACGGGCAGCTCGCTGTCTCACTGCATTATTCAGCAGCCCTGATACATCTCTGTCTCTGCTATGGCATCCAAACACTCGGCATCACACATTCACACACTGCACCAGACGCTTCATACCAGGACGTCCCTTTTAGTGTTCTGCATATTAACTCGTGAACCATCTGCGGGTGTTTTTGCGTGTTTATGTATATGTGCGGGGAGAAAGCACACTGTGGTTAGTTAAAGCAGAGGCCGGCAGACAGTGGAGGCCCAGTGGGTGTGGGTCTGAAGCCGCCTGCTGACATCCATACGGCCTCAGCCGGCTAATTGCCTGTCTGTCCTCCCTAAAGGTTAGAGCTGCTTCAGACTGCCGCCGCCTGCCTTCACACAGCAGAGCAGGTTTGATCTGAAAAAGCTGTTTTTTTATTTTTTTGTCAGTGGCTGCAGCGTTTATTTGAACATCTGCGCTTGTTTCATATTTTTCACGCTTTGCCCTGATGTCAGATTTAGAGGAGTGTATTGATCCCTGTTTGCTGCCTCACACCTAGTCCTCTTAAATTATGCATCAAACAGCTCTCTGTAGCTCCCCTAAACATCATTACTGACTTTAAGCTGCTGTATTAAATCTGTGATGGAGCGTCAGGATTCAGTGAGGCTGCAGAAAATCTGCCTGCAAACTCTGCAGAAGACTCAACAGTCTGATGACGCTGGAAAGTACAGTTTTTTTTCAATTTTCTGAAATACGATTGGCTGAATTTGAAAAGGGTACAGGTCTCTTTTTCTATCCTGTATCCGCGTCCTTTTCCTCTGCCTCTTTCTCCTCTTCCTCCCCTTCTTTGTTCCTTTCCTCTAGGTCTAGGTCATCTGCTTCTTCTTTAACTTCTTCCTCATTTTCTTTTTCTTCTTTTACAAATAAATCTTCATTTTCATCCTCTAGTTCTTGAGATCTTGGTCATCCTCTCTTTTTACTTCTTCTTGGTTGTCCTCTTTCTCCTCTCTCCTCTACCTCTTCATCTTCATCATATTTTCCTTGTACTTTTTCATCATCTCTAGGTCTGGGACATCTTCTTCTACCTCTACTTTCTTATCTTTATCATTTCAATCACTTTTCTCCTCTACCTCCTAATCTTTGTCAACTTTTTTTATCGCTATCATCTTCTTTTCACTTTTCTTTTTCTTCAACTTCTTTTTGCTCCTCTACACTTCATCACCATCTTCACCATATTCTTTCATTCCTTTGCATTATTCTTCTTTTTCTTCCTCCTCTACTCACTAGTCTCCTTTGTCTTCTTTCTCTTGTTCTTTTCTCCTTGTTCATTTTCATCTTCTCAGTCACCCTTTTCTTCTTCTTTTCTTCTTTCTCCTCTTCTTTTTGATCCTTCTCTTTCTTGGTAACCTTTTGTTCTTCATTTACTTCTTTCTTGTTCATCCTTACGCACTCTCTCCTTTTTGGTCTTCTCTTTCATTTTCTTCTTACTTTATCTCTTCTTCCTTTTCTTTCCAGTTGTTTTCTTCTTCTTCTACTACTTTCTCTCCATCTTCTTTATCGTTTCCATGTTCTCTTTTACACTTGATGCCTTGCTTTTTTATTCTAACTCTTCTTTCTTTTCTTTGCTCTTTGTTTTCATTTTCTTTTATTCCTTTTTTCCCACTTTTATCACCATCATCTTGTCTCTTTTTTGTCATCTTCTATTTTTTAGTTTCTTGTGCTTCTTTTCTTTTTTTTTTACGTCTTCCTCTTATCCATGATCTTCTTGATGTTTTATCGCCTTTTGTTTTTTCTTTATCTTCTTTTTTTTTTTTTACAATATTCTGTCTTCTTTCCGAAATCTTAAATCATCTACGAACTTCCATCTCTTCTTCTGCCTTTTCTTAATCGCCTCATTCTTTTCCGTCACTTTCTTTTTGACTTTTTGACTCTTTTTGTTTTTCCTCTTCTATTCAGTTTTTTTTTTCTGCTTTACTGGACTGGAGTGACACAACAGGACTAGATTTTGATCTCATAGCTGAATGTTTATGAATTTGACCCAGTCTGAGTATTTTGTAAGAACAGACAATAAAAAGAAATGCTATTCTTGTCGTTCATTTGATCACCACTCCATCATTAAAGTGAGCAAACAAAAAGACAACTTCAGTCTTTGTATCTTTACAGACAGAGAGACAGTATCAGTCTTCAAACACATGGATGAACTGTGTGACTCCTCCTCCGTCTTCCTCACTCTTTCTGTTTTGTTTCACTCCTCAGGTCTTGTGAGCTGTTGTTGTCTGTTGCCGGCTGCCCTGACTTGTCCCGTCTTGTTAATGAAAAACTGGTGACGGTCATGATGTTGGCACCAGATCAGTGCAGCTTCGCTCAGCCTTCAGACCATCCGCTGTATTTGATCAAACTTGTTTGAAAGTGGCTGCTGAATTTTTATCCTTTTAGTGGGGAGACGTGGACGCTGCGCTGCCTGTGCATGCGTGTTCAGAGCTGAAATTTTTTACACATTGTTTCCTGTTGCAGTTACTCATCTGAGGAGCTGTTTGTTTACAATCTTCTCTGATCTGCTCACTCTCTCTTTCTGGGTCATGATCTGTTAAATCTTTAAGCTTTGATATAAAGGCAGCATGAAAACATCCAACCACAAACGGTGGCTTCTTTCCCACCATTTGCCATCTGCACATGCTCAGTGTGAGACCATGACAGTTAATTAGGTCGACTTTCTGGGAACATCGCCCTTAAATCAGCCTCAGTCTTTTTTATTTTGACGGGCTTTATTGTGCGGTTGAATTCCAGCTGCATGCACTTAATAAGCCACTCTGGGGTTTAAGAAGGGTGTCATGGTGGCATGGATTTGTGTGCATGTTGTTTGTCATGCCAGAAAAAGAGGGAAATGACTCCAGAGTGTAACCTTTCTCACTGAGGAAGTTTGGCATTTGAGGAACAGAGGCTTTTTCACTGTCTTTGAACACCACTTCATCTATTTTCTAACTTTGTACTTCGCATAATGACCCACTTACTGCTGCTGCTGTCATTAAAAAAGAAGCTTTACATTCAGAGGATATAAGTTAGACATGCCTCCAAAAAAGTGAACCAGGAGCGGATGATGTGATGATTCTGCCTCTCCTGGGATGATTGGATGTACCTGTATTTAGCTCTCTCATCTGCAGCCACATTTAGCCTCTTTGAACACTATTACTGCATCTAATTATCTTCCATGCTGCTGTTTCGCCCACTGACAGACACTTTGATATTGATTAATATTTGCCTGCTGGGATTTTGTGCTGCTCTGCTTTCACTCCTCTGAAATCACACTGCTCTGCACCCGTGATCTGCCATGCTTTATTATTTTCTCTTTTACTCAAAACACTCGTAGATTGGAGATTCAACCATTTTTCACTGATGACTAATACGTCTACTGTATCCTTATTTTATTGACAAGGTTTTTGATCTTTAAAGTGTCGGAATATGTGTCTAAAAAATGTTTCTCCTCATTCAACTTGGTGTTTGAGACTCGTGTTTTCTCCAAAACCAAAGATATTCAGTCAGTCATAACTGACCCATTTGACCCATTTCCATGTAATCCTTGAAGGCATGTATTGATCACTAAATTATTGTTGACCTGCGGTTTAAGAACGAGGTTTCCAAAGCCTCAAAACCCTAAAAGTCTCACAAGTAATGACTTTTTATCATTCAGAATTTGTTGGTTTGTAACAAACGGGGGCGGCAAATAAATTTGAAGTCTCTGCCAGTGAGTATGGATATCTTGAAGTGACTAATTTCCGAATTTTTGTTAAACAGAAATTGAAACTCCTGCGAATTAACTTGTTTTAAAGTCTGAAACTTTCTGTAAAACAGTCAAAAGTGAGCAGAATTTAGAAAACATGGCTAAACAAGATCACATCAACTGTCAAAAAACAAAGTTGGTTTGCTAAGTTCGGCTGACGCTAGCAGAGCTAGCACCACCAGCATTCAGTCCTCCCTGCAAAGGGACATCCACAGGCCTGTGCTGGTTCTATATTACCCAGGTCAGTATAACCAGACACAGCCTTCAAACAGCTGTCTTCATACTCTCTAGATCAAAATACATTCAAGTTGTACAGATTTATAGCATCATGGCGGCCACCATGACCTCCAGATTCTCGATTAAAACGTGTTGTAGAAAAGCTGCTCATTATTATCAAGATAATCCCTTTTAAAAACTTCACATGATCATATAGGATTAAAGTGAAATCAGTATTTTCTCTCACTACAGTTACATAACTGGCTCTGAGCCCATCTTGAACACATCGCCCCTTTATGCTTTGTGTGTTTTAATTTATTCACAGGAACATTCAGGTCAGAGGTATCCAGTGTTTTTTTGCCCGCTGAGTTTTTGCTGTTTGCGGTTATTTTTTTGTTTTGCCTGTCAGTGCCAGGACGCCCACCCACCCACTCTCCAAACTCAGTGTTTGCATCTCACATACCCAACTGAAGACAGGAGAGAGGGAAGGGAGATGACGCTTTATTTTAGAGTCAAATTCTTCCAGATTTTGTTCATTTAAGAACTCTGATTTATTTCAATAATCAAACCCTCTTTCCTCTTCATATTTGGCTTACATTTTAATACCATTTTCCAAACACATCAGGTTTAATGTTGCTTCCTTTCCTCTTTTTAACACTGCTGTTTTGTAAAGTTAGAGAATGCATGAAGCTTTGTTTGCAAAGTATGAATGGATGAAAGTGTGCAGCACAAAAACAAGATTAATCACAGGTCGACTTTTGTGTTTTCTAACCCCGTGCTGAAATAACATTCATGAGCGACAATTAAAAAGTTGTCATTTAAACCTGTAAAGACAGACAGTGCTGGGGAAAAAAGATTAGCCCGCTGCAGGAATGTGTAGTTCCCAACAAAAGATAGTGAGGAGGAAACAAGCCTCCCCGAGATGAAAGCCTGTGTGCTGAGTGGATCTTGGTGCTGGATCAGGGTCACTTTTGAAGGTAGTGAAGCACAAATAGAGACGAGATTAAGTGGACTTCTAGAAAATGGAGCTGACGTCTGAAGCAGCACACCCCCCGTCCGCGAGCCTGCCCTCCCTCCCTCCCTCCCTCTCTGCCCGACTGCTGTGACCCTGGAGCTTCAGCGGTGATAACAGCACTTCAGTCCCATCTGACAAACCCAGAGATATTTCCTGTGAAAAGAGAAGAGAAATCTTTTTTCTTCTTTTTTTTATGGCCTGTTGCTCATTTCTGCTTCCCCAAACCCCGCCCTCACTCTCATTTCTGATATACCACATCACAGGACCCTGCAGGGTACATCACGTCCATTTTATAATGAAGTTTTAATGGAAACTGTTCATCATCCAACTGCCATCATCTGCCCACTTAAGTTCTCTCCACTATTTCCAAACTTCAACGAGCGCAGAATAATAAAAAGTTTTGAAAGATGAGCATCAGAAGTGGTTTGAGCCATTTGATTTAATCATGATGTTGTATCATCATGTTATAATTATTACAATACCAGATTGTATTTACATAAACTGCATCTGATACCAATGGTGATAAACCAAGGTTCCTAGTTCTGGTACCACTTGTTCAAGAGTAGGGACAGGTATGGAGGACCGGATCCAGATGAAAACTGTTTTCAACATGCTCGATCCGCTGACCTTTTGTCATTTGCCTTCATGCTGGATCTCTTTGAAGAAGTCAGTGAAAACAAATACCAAGGAGTCAAGAGAGTAAACATGGCAGACATTGGTCAGAAGTGATCCAAACCACAGTCATTTCCAACATAATATGTGGTGTTAATAATATCATCTCCAAATAAACAGAAGACTTTGTGTGAAATCCACTCACTCTGTGAGAGCGGCAGCTTTCAGGGATCCAGATTCGAGTCCTCAAAAATGAAGGGTAAAGAACAGGGCTTGACACTAACTTTTTTCACAGGGAGCGCATATGCTCCTAAGTTAAAAGAGTAAGGAGCACACAAAGAACTTCAGGGGCATAATGAAAATTGATCAAATAATCAAATAATCAGTCTTTTGGTCACATGACATGGAAGCTATTGAAGAAAATGTTCATAATTTGCCTTTAGATTTAACACAAATATTTTTAGAGGACAAATTGGGGAAATAAAAAGGTGTGTCTTATTGTCCGACCTTAGTACTATTATTTGAAATCAATTTTAGGTCAACTGGTTCACATGACATGGAAGCTATTGAAGGAAAACAGCCTTTTTGAGAACATCAACCAGTAATTTATTGACAGTCCCTTATTCGTTGACAGTGAGGCAGCCGAGTAGATTTATCCACATTGCTGTTGTTATTCTTGGTTATGGAGGCTGAAAAGACACCAGTAGATCCACAATGAAAGTCCGTCGAATATCCAACCTAAAAACGATCTACAGGAAAAAACATTTTTTGCCTCGGCTGATTTTTTTTTAAGCGCATATGTGCCCCTAAATACTTTTTACAATCCGCACACATAAATTTTTTGTTGCAAATGCAAGTGAAACTGTCACACTCTCACAATTATGAGTCAATATGAGCCAAAAAGCCAATTATCTGTTGTTAGCTAACCATGCAACAGAGAGAAGCTGCCATCTTTGTTGTTGTTGCTTACCAGCCAATCAGAGGCTGTATCTGCAGTCAGCTGACCTGTAAAGGTCTAGTGAGAAACCAGGCTGCCCTGTCTCAGCAGAGTGGTAAGGGTCATAATACCATAAAGTCTGTTAACGAGTGGCGTGTTTGGGTTAAAATTCATGACACTGATGGAAAACAACAGATTTCTGGCATTTTCTAGCATTTGATATCCTGCTATGATCAGATTTGTAATTTTCTGTTATTGTCATATCGTCATTTATCTGAAACTAGTTTATTTTAGGGGCTGACCATGGTGTGGGATTAGTACGATGACAAATACCCCTCCCATACTATATTTGGGCTGTATCCCATGTCAGTATTGGGCCTTGTACCTTTATGAGAACAAGTGTAACCGTATCACTTTTAAAGTAACGGTCCAGTTTCTCTCTGAAGAGGATCTTAAAAAGATTTGCCACAATTAAATTTGGTGACAGACGGAAAATCTTCTTCAAACACTCACTCTCTCTGTGTGCTCTCTCTCCCTCTGAAGTGTCGAACAGAGCTTGTTGTTGTTGTGCTGTTGTGTTTGGGTGGGGAATGTTGAGTGTGGGACTGACTCGCTCCTGAAGTCACATTTCTGTCTAACTGTCTCTGTGTACAGTAACAAACAGCAGCATTGTGGACTCGGCGTCTGATCTCACTTCTCTCTGGCTCTCGCTCAGATTTCCTCTCTGAGTGTCAGTCAGTCAGTGTGTAGTCGTGTAGCAGGGATGGGATGAGGTAGCTCAGGTTGTGTTTGAGTGTGTTGGATGACGGCTGAAGTTTGACCGATGCGGACTAAGACTCTGACTCGCTCTGAGGATCAGCTGGAGGTCATAAAGAGAGGTAAACTAAATAAAAAGTACAATTATTCTAGACATTTTAGTGTAAAATCTATGTGGGGGTTTGTGTCGTGTCTTCATTTAAAAAATGTAGGCCGCGTGGTCCATGTTTAGGGGTCTTAAAGTCTTCTAGGAAAATGGTGTGCTTAAAAATGCGTTAGTCAAAAGTGCTTGTGTTTGACTTTGAAAAATCTCTAGCATCTCTTATTTAAGGTTGTTAAACAAAGATATTACTTGATATTACTTATGCTGTGAGAAAATGTGATGAGTTTCTGTCTCTTTAAGATCCATACTAACAGACTAAACCACGTCACTTTGCCACAGATAAGAAGTGACAGGGTTGTTGTGTTGCAAAGGCCAGTGTTACTCTTCACACTGACACCCGCTGATGTCACCCTCTCAGCAGCAGACGAGTGATGAGAAAGTACTGACACCCAACAGTGAAGTATTATTATCTGTGCTAACACGAACGCTCTGCCTTCGAATATGATGTTCTGATATAAGAATACTAATACAAGTGTATGCAGATGATGATGTAAGATGAATAACTAGTGTCTCATTGGTTGACAAACTGGTGAGGGTCTAATTCAAGGGAGGGTCTCACATGTTGCTCAGCTAATAGGGGAAAAATGACGACACAAGACTGGTCCACTACGCTTTACATCCAGTTTGCATCTTGAAATGGCATTTACAGTAAAATGCTGTAACTTAGGACGTATGACTGTAAACCACATTGTGAAACAGGACTGCTGGAGTCTAACACTCTGCCTTCGAATATGATGTTCTGATATGAGAATGCTAATACAAGTATATGCAGATGATGATGTTGAATGAATATCTGGTGTCTCATTGGTTGACAAACTGGTGAGGGTCCAATTGAGGGGACAGTCTCACAAGTTGCTCAGCTAGTAGTGGAAAAATGATGACACAAGACTGGTCCACTACACTTTACATCCACTTTGCGTCTTGAAATGGCATTTACAGTAAAATACTGTAACTAAGGATGTTTGTATGTATGACTGTAAACCACGTTGTGAAACAGGGCTGCTGGAGTCTTTGTTGTTTAGTTGTCGTGTTGTGCTGATGTGCTTGAGCTCAGAGTTGACATACAGACTGGTGGAGACTGATGACTGTTTAGGGAGCTCAGTAATAACATGTAATGGTGTTGTGTGAAGCGTCTGCAGCTGCTTCATCACTTGTTTGTTGTTTCGCAGGTGACATCATTTTCTATTTGTGTGTATCTGTGTGTGTTATTTTCATTATTGTGTCAACAGTGTATTCACAACTAATTAAATATTCCTCTATTTATTATCAGTTCATGTTAACGATGAGCGTGCAGCTGATAAATGTCGCAGCTGAACCTATCGACCTAATATTCATATTGTTTTTCCTGTTCCTGTGCAGAAAGCATCTATTAGAACAAGAGACGCATAAAAATATGTTAGGAGCTGAAACAAGAGACGAGCCCTCGACATAAAGAACAAAGAGGCTCATTACAGCAGCCAGAGGAGAGCCGAGGAAACCAGGAAGGCTGTGATTATAGTCGTTGTGTTCCTCGCTGTTAGAGCTAGTCTTCAACCGTGATAATAATGAGGAACACACACACACACACAAATATACACCAAACAACACTTCCTGTCACAAAGCCTGAAGTGTTGAGGTTGCCAGAGTCAGAGTTTAGTTGCTGCAGCACAACTAATCCTTTAGAATTATTCAGCCTGCATAATTAACATAATGGGAAAGTCTACACTGCAGTTTGTAGGTTATTTTCAAGAACAAGACTGTACCTCAAATAATCGAAGATAGATACCCTCTAATTCAGTGTTTAATCGTCAAACTCCCGCTTTGCAGGGGGCCATGATGGTGCTTACAAGGAGCCAGCTGAGACTTTACTTTAGGGGGAGGAAGTGGAAGATGAAAGAATAGAAGACGAAGGGAAAGAAAGAGGGGTAAATTTCGTGTAAATTTTGCAAGGCCTAAGGCAGGAAGAGCAGCAGCGAAGACTCCCAACAGAGACAAGACTTATCAAATCACACACAGCATGAAAATTGGATGTGTCAAAGGAAGTTAGCTCAACTGTGCTGGTCTTAGGATCAGCTGATGTGCTGTGGGCTGTGTGACTTTGTGGCCTGACTGGACTAGCACTGTGCTCAATTTGGCGTCATAGATATGTTTACAAAGAGGGTTATTGTGCATTTAACCCAATCGTTGCAGTGGCTTTCTATCTCGCTGTTAGAATGCTCTTTCAGATAGAGGTGTACAATTTTCTCGCTTCAACCCCAAAATATTTGGCGTGGGCCACAGTCATGAATCAGATGAATTCCTCCTCCTGCAAGTTTTCTTCTGCAGAAAGTCAGAGGCTGATTCAAACTGATGTGAGAACGCAGTAGGAAACATTTCAGAAACTACACCATGAGCGAGAGGGTGTAACCAGTGCAAACGTGGAAGAGCAACATGGCACAGGATGATTGAAAGCATCTTAGATTTGAGGAGAGTCTAACTCCCCCCACCGACCTTCCCTCGTGTCTGACGGGGAAACTGAGGAAGATGTGGAAATGAGTATCTTTGGAAACTTTTAAAATCTGGGTTGCAGAGCTCATAGTCTTGGAGAATTGCAGGAAACATTTCAAGTATCTGAGGTTGAACCACACCTGCCTCCTCTTTCTCATAACTGTTTCAACATGCATCATCCAATAAAATCATAAATTAATCATCATGACTTGAAGTGGATTCCACATCTTGTTGTCATTTTCTTGACTTAGTCACTTTTATTTACAAACTTTGAATGTGCAATAGCAGGTTTTCACCTAGTTGTGAAAGTCAAACAGAAATACACCCGGCGTTAGAGCTGTGAAATGAGTGAAATAAAGCATAAATTGAAATGTGAACTCAGTACCTGAGAACCTGCAAGAGGAAGTTAACAGACAGCTTCCTGAATTCTTGCTGCTTCCTGATGGTCTCAGATCAGTTCTCACACATGCCCTCAGTGCTGACAGTAAAATTCCCACGTGACCTGAATGCAGCATGAAAAGCAGGAGTGAAGGGCATGACGAGGGTGACAGGGAAGCTGGCCGACCGGGTGATGTTCGGGGACATTTTCATCACAGCAGGACGGGGACAGAAAGCTGGAGCGACATCGGCCTCACCGCTGGGGAGTGGCAGCTCAGAGAGGGGGGTTAAAGGTCAACTCAGAGGGGGATTTCTAACCTTGTAATGATGATAAGCAGGATGACAAGGAGAGAAGTGATATTTTGAAGGGGTAATGTATTCTTCGATGAACACCAGCTTTCTTTGGGATCACAGCCTGATGTTAAACATCAGTTTGAAGCCCAACAAAATAAAACACCCCGTAAACTTTACACACAGGGGGTCTGCTGCAGTAAACTCCAAACTCAATGAACCTACTACAAGTTCAACAAGAGCTCCTTGGTCACAAATAAAAACATACACACACTCGCCATCTCAGTCACGGATGCCAATGTGCTCCTCGAAGCATGAAAAGGGGTCTAATTGCATTTAGCTTAAGTCAGGCCACTGTGGAATACTAATATGTCTGTAAGGGGTTCAGAATTAGGGCTAAGCTTCTGAGCAAAGAAAAGACTGAATTCCATTTCCTCCCCAATTCCTCTCCCGCTCACTATGGGAACCGCAGGGCCCCCTGGGGTGGAATTCCCAGCAGAAAGGGGGCTTTACTGTATTTGTTTGTTTGGCTCAGACAGTTTGCCTTGTTGTGCAGCGTCCTCTCCTGCTGTGTGTGCTCTCAGCAGCCCACAGCGACATGCCTTTCACTGACACTCACCATCCTGTCATAAAAATGCCATCCGCCTCAATAAGGAGTGCGTTTGTTCAGAGCAATTTGGAATTCCAGTCAAGCTGTTCCTCCCTTTGAACCCCCCAGAGACTGAGAAAGGAAGTCAGAGAATGACTGGAGTCAAATAGTTCCTGAAAGAGCTGAAAAACTGACAAAATGAAGAGAATTATCAGTGTTGCACAGCTGTAGCTGTTTGAATGATTTGAGGCTTTTGTAGGCACAAACCACAAGCTTGCCATTAAGGTGCTTGTAGTAAAGAATGTCTTTACTGAAGACGCACTAGATGCAGATGGTTAGTGTGCTTTCTTTAAGAGCAAACATCAAGAAAGTGCTTGATAAAAAACATGGTAATTTATGAGGAATAGTACCAGACTTTCCAAATTTGTTCTCAAAAGTCAATGAAGCCATATGGTAGACATGCTGAATTAAATACAGATACAAATACATAAAAATCTCATAAATTCCTCCCAGAGCAACAAAACATCATCCATTCCAGCTAAATTCTCATCAGAGTGTCAGATACCATCACTTATGTTTGGTGACAATATGTTCTATGGATTACAACAAACAGACAAAAAAGAGACAACATATTACAGAAGTCAGCAATGTCAGCATAAGCTAGGAATTTTATACACCCTAAGGCTAGCAATCTATCCTCAATATATATTTAATAGTATTTAATGTATACTTAATAGGGTCAGCAAATTAAGAACTCAAGCCAGCAATATTTTTACAGAAAGCAACAAATTTCCTATCATAAGCCAGCAATGTATATAAAATAGTAAGGCATGCAGATAGGCCAGTGTTTTGTTTGCATGTGCAGATGTATTTGCACTTGCATATGCTAACAAAATGTTCATAGAGGCCCGGCTAGCAATGTCACAAATTTAAGCTGTAGAGGCCAGTGGTGTACCCAGAGAGATCAGCCACGTATAAACATAAGCCATCAATGTGTTTGTGGAAACTAGAAATATATTTGCAGATGTTTTGGGAGGCTTGCAACTTGTATTCATGAGCTTTCAATGTATTCACAGAAGCCATTAATGTTTTTACAGAAGCCAGTTATATGTCTCCAAAAAGCACATATAAAAATAGCAATGTAAGAGGTCAGTGCTGTATTTATGTATGACAGCAACACAAATACAGAAGCCAGCAATGTGTAGAGGCCAGCAATATAGCAGCCAGCAGGTATTTACAAAAGACAACAATGAAAAAGCAAGTATTTTTTTTTTTTTTATTATTGAATCTGGCAATGTACTCATAGCCTTTACTCCTTACCATCTGCAGAAGCCAACAGTTTATCCACAGGAGACAATAATATATCAACAAATTTCAGCAATGTGTCCACAGATACAGTCACAGATTTTACCTGTCCTCAGTGGGCTCAATGAAACTAAGGTCAAAAAGTCTCAAAAATGAAATACATTACTAAGTTATTAAAAATGACGACAGCTGCGTGTTTACACTTCTACAGAACCATGAAAATAATTTGCTGTTAGTATTCCATCCCTGCCAGAGTGTTGTGATTGTGTCATCCTGCAGTGTTAAGCTGCCTGTGGGCTGCTCCTTCTCTCAGTGCTTGTGGGTATAATTCATTATCCGCCTCCACTATTAGGTGTCACACAGTATATTAAACATAAACACAACATGACCCCTCTGAATACATGTACCAGCTTTGTTAGCACACATCTGATGTTTGGAGCCTCTCATGGGTGACTGAATACAGAAGTGTGAAGTTGTGTGTGCGTGTGTTTTTGTGGCATTACAGATCTTGTCTGGTAATAAACACCTGTAGGGACTGAATGGAGAAGTAAGAGGTGTGTTATTTCTGCAACAACATTGAACATGGGATCATCTAACTAAGAAGCTGTCTATGGCACATGACATTACAGTAGCCTCTCTCAGCCGCTTACTTTACACAGACAAAGACACACACATACATTTTCCTCCAGGGCTGAGGTCAGGCTGACAGTCTGGCTTTGAGTGTGTATTCAGAGCAGTGTGTGTTGTCCACGTCAGCTCTTGGCCTTGGTACACTGTTCGAGTGCTGGAGTTATACAAAGCAGGTCTGTGATGACAGTATAATCTGATCTCTGTGCAACAAGAAGCAGAAGTTTGCAGAAAGTTGTTTTAAATGAAGTTTTCTCTAAGACTGACTCTATTCATTCAAGGTTAGATTCAGAACTCTATAAATTAGCATTTTTATATATTCACACCTAGAAAAGTAGCTGCTGAAGATGTCAAGGTTTGCTAAAATCAACTAACTTGTTGACACTCACAAATCTCTCTCTTTTTTTTTTCCTCTCTCCCAGCGTCTGATACCGAGCAGGATGCGGCGGTGAAACTCGACCAGGAGCGAGCTGAGATAGTCTCCAAATATGACAAGGTAACAGCTCCCTCTATCACAAACTTTACAACAACAGTTTTCTCCTGCGGTCATCCACAGCCAAATTCCTCTCACTCACCCGTGCTTCATAACTTCATAACACGGCTGTGAAATCCCTCCATAAATCACTGCCTTATTGCCCATGAAACATAATAATAATAACAGTGAGCAGCCTGCAGAATCTGGCCGCTCTATATTTTACACATTTTCATGAAATTAGAGAAGCTGTGATCACCAAGCATGAGCCATATTTTCCCTGCAGTATCCTCGGCCAAATCACATTTACAGCCGATAAAAATTGACATCCGAATTATGCATTTAAAAGCCATCTGATGATTCTGACTGTGTGCATGTTTAGTGGACTAACACTAATTATGTCAGAGGGGCAGAGGCGGAATAAAAATCTCTCCAGCAGAGAAAGTATTCATTAAATTTATCAGCTGGGGTTATGTGATGTTATTTCATACTCTGAGCCTCTGAAGTGGCAGTTTAATAACTGACACTATCCTGTGTTTTTCCACAAAGAAAAGCCAATTCAAATGTATTCCTAGTTTATTAAGTCTGCAGATTTATTGCATTTGAGTCATAGTTTTATTAAAGGACAATTCTACCAATTCTGATCGGAAAGTTAACTCATCACTTTGTCTCTATGCAAGACTTTTGCACCAAAAAGTTTATGAAAATAACTCTACAGGGTCTTACTTTTGACATCTGCGATATTCGCCTTAGTTTTCTTTTAAATCTTTTCTTCCTGAATCTTTTAAATTGATTTGCCGTAAGTATTTTCTGAGTTAAACCGCTCCCGCATACGGAAAGTTTCTTCAACCTGCTACTGGATTAAAACTCATAATGATAAAAGTAAGACCACTGGTGTTAAAGGAGTCAATATGGATACCACTTATAAACACTGTATTATCTGCAAGATACTTAATGTAAAACTATCGCTTATAAGTTATCACCTACTTTCAGCAGATGGCTCTTAATTTCACTCTGACAGTCTGGCTGTTGGTGCTGATGGAAGTGAGTTTGAATATTTTTGCCATGAGGTTCATTTGCATCAAAAAGAGGGAAATTTATTCTAAATGATTGCATAATGGCTTATTTAAATTGGCGTAAACACAACGAGTGCGCAGAGACTCAATCTGATCCGCACTGCAGTTTGGGAGTATTTAACCCTTTGGTTGTTGCAGTGTCTTTTTGTGTTCGGTGGGGGCAAAAGCTGCACAATTCTATTTAGACCCAGGCCTGAATATTTGATTTATAGTATTTTTAAAGTGTTGTACAAACCTGCTTTAAGTAAATTGCTCTTAAGTCGCGGTTTTGTCCTTTTCTTGTATATGTAAATAACATCCATTGCTGCTATACTGGACAACAGCTCTTCTTCGTCTCCTATGTGTGTGTGTGTGTGTGTGTGTGTGTGTGTGTGTGTGTGTGTGTGTGTGTGTGTGTGTGTGTGTGTGTGTGTGTGTGTGTGTTTGCAGTTTGTGGTTGTGGATGTTTCCTGAGTGACTCGGCCATTTCACAGCCCAGCGGTATCAGTCTGACCAGCCCACCACGCTCCGTTTGTAAATGAGTCTTTTTAATTTAGTCCGGCAGGCTGCATAATCAGGCCGGCTCATTAAGAGCGAAGAGACCGTGGAGATGATGGAGGCGTGTTTGTGTGTGTCTGTGTGTGTTTGAAGAGGCACAATCACAGCTACATCAGTGTCATTGTCACTGCTGGGGGAAAAGGGAGGAGTTTAATAGAGTCAGTTATCACGACGACCACACACAGTCCCTGCTCGCCTTTCACATCTGCCAGCGTTCACTGTCAGATATTCAAAATGATTTGTTGTCTTTGCATATCATTGAGAAATGAAGCGTTCTGTCTTCAAGTGGTCTTTTCGCTCAGGTCTGGTTTCTGCTTGGCACCGCTGCTACTGATCATTCTGGATGGAAGCCTGTGTTAAAGATATTTCTGAAGCCAATAATTGAATTTTGGTTGGAATTAATTTTAAAAAGTCATGTTTTATTCCAGTGCAATGGCTTTTCTGTGATGCCCGTTCAAAAAACTTGGCAAAATTTTGTAATTTTTCCGTCATATTTTTAGCATGTTTGCAGAAAGCTACACCAGGACACTTTGGTTGAATATCAATGATGCCCATTCTGTTCTGTAGGGTCTTTGCTGCTGCTCTGCCTGCCTTGGCTTTTTGTGTATACATGTTAAACAGAGGGAGGGTAGCACTCCTTAGAGCAAAATCTTACCTCCAAGTAGGGCTGGGCGATATGGCCTCAAATCAATATCATGATATATTGAGCAGTTCACCTCGATAACGATAAATGGACAATAACTACTCCACAAGTTGCTCACCCCCTCTCACATGAACTTAATCTACTTCAGCTGCTGCTCCAGCCGCTACAACTTTTGAACCATCCTCCATCTCCTCACCTGTTTTTACCTCTTCATTATGGACTGGATGGGGTGGAGTTACGTCTCTGACACAGGACAGCGTCTTAAAGGGACATGAAACCATAACCTACCTACACACATCCAAAACCATTTTTATTTATTGATTTTTTGACCCCAAATATATTGACATGGGCAAAATGACAGCAGTTACTGTCGTAAATTTCGGTATCAGTAAATTTTCAGTTTATCGCCCAGCCATACCTCCAAGTATAACTTATTGCAGGAAATGACTATTCTCTTTGGTGGAAGTGGTCCCGACCAAAGTGCGATTCTGGCTTTAGTTCTTGTAAATCAAGTTACAAATATAATTTTTCCATATTAAAGACATCCTGAGAGTAGTTTTGAAGACAAGTGAGTCGAATGATATGTTCAAATGTATATAAAGAGTCCAAGGTATGAAGAACTATGAGGATAAGATACTCTTAGTTAACTGGTTTCAGGGATCTTTTTAAAAAAAAAAGGTACTCCCAACCACTAAAAATAGCCCCTTCACTGAGTTATTTAACTGGATTCCATCTCATTTGTTTCAGCTCAGCTGGCACTTAAGCTGATGTAAAAAAATTCACAAAACCTCACTGTGGATGTCGAGGAGTTCTGTCTCTTCAACTTCTCTCTATCCAGAAAATGATGTTTGTGGTGAAAAGCACTTAATCTTTGAGAAAGCTGCAATATAAACCGACTTGAGAATGAAAAATAAATCCGGTTTGCCCCCATCTGTGGGGTTCACCTAAAATCTTAAAATATACTCTTGCAAAGTAACTCAAATCATACATTTTTAAATGGGATAAATCATTCATGACTTGTAAAAGTATTTGGAATTATTAATATTAAATGCCTTAAATGCATGCAAATGAAAATGTTTCGTTCTTTACCTAATGAGTTTGAGATTTATAATCCTCGATAAAAACAGACAGCTTTTAATGAAATATTTGCAGACTTTGTGCTTATTTCTAGTCAAATATTGTACAGTTTTACTCAAATGTACCCTCATTCACTTAATTCATGAATCCAAATCCCTCTCTGCCAATATTTCTGGAGTTGTAACCAGGTGATACTGCTCTGTGTGAGAGAGGAGCCTCTGATTTATGATTATGAATCAGTTAATAAAGTGTAGGAATGCTGCAGAGTGGCTCTGACAGAGAGAACAGAGCGAACGTGCAGTCCATCAGAGTCGTGGTGACACACAATCATAGAAGCGCTGAGCAGCCAGAGTCCAGCTTTAATTTCACTCTGAAATTGATTTTAAGCACAGAGAGATGTGATGAATTTGCAGCCCGTGATGATGCCTCTTGTTTTAGAGTGGGAACACTCGCACAGACACACACACACACACTCACTCAGCGTGTGAGGTCTTTTGAGTCCTCTGAGCTCAGGGTTGTGTGTTTTATTTAGCTGGTGTGTTTCTGCTGATGCTAGGCAAGGACATGAGGGGAATTTAGAAACATTTCACCTCAACATCTGGTCATCGTGCTGCTCTGAGAGACCACAGACAGCCCCATGTGTGTGTTACTGTATGAAGACTATTTTAGGTATATTATGGTCAGGTAGCAGGTCGAGCTTGGTGGTCCTTTCATTGGTATTTCAGCTGCTAGTTGGAAATGTGCAGTAACCAAATTAAACATGTCTCTAATAATGCAATTTTCCATGGAAAAAAAAGCTCTCTACACTGTCCTTATATATAAAGGATGGAAGTTCGGTGAAATATTGGAGCTTACAATGATTAAAAAGCTCTCATCTCTTATGCAAATGTTAAACATTGTCTGTTCGTTTACGAATGCAAAAAAAAGGGACCCTGAATCACAAAACCTCTTTCCACCAAAACAACTCTCTCCAAGGATTATTATTCCGTGATTAGCACACAACTCAATAAAGGAATAAATCAGTGCTGCTAATTCACTCTGTAATAGCCAATTGTTTAGCACAATGAGGCATAAATTACTGCCTTATTAAAGAGTACTTGAATGGGAAGAAAAACAACAAGACCTAGGTGGAGAGGGAGAGGTGTGGTGGAGACACTCTGGCAAGTGAGAAATGACAAAGAAGACCAAAAAAGACCTTTGACACGGTGGCGGAAATCCGGTTCGGGAATTTTTTTAAGTCAAATTTTAAAAAATAAGTAAAAAATAAATAAATAAATAATAATAAAAACCCTAGTTAGTCAGATCTGGATATGACCGGTGGAGGGCAGCATTACGCTGGATAGAGTACAACCTGTCGGAGAAGAAGATGAAGAAGAAGTCTCAGCGAGCGGCAAACTGTAAATTTGAAACGATGGATACCAGGTACATGAAACCAGGAGAAGAAACTGCGATATTGGAAGCTGGGCTGAAAAACAAGTGGCGATAGGCTCGGGCGGAGGAGGCTGGAAAAGACGGAAAGCCTCACGGTAGCTGGTGCCGAAAACTGAAAGAGCGAGGTGCTTGTTTCTGTATGCCGTGCGCCAGAAAGTTTAAATATGGCAGCCGCAGTGGGAAAAAGTTCGGTAAAGTTGGAAAGACATTCACAGATTCGGACTTCCGGGATCAATAACTCTGAGACGAAACGTTGTCCAAACACAAATGATGCCTCCTTCACTTCGTATTAGCACAGACTACCAGCTACAAACATCAAAACCGATTTTTTTCTCACAAAAACAAGCCGTTATTCGAACAGGATGAATAAGATTGATCTCTATGCACAGCCGGTGTTGTGCCGTAGAATGCACCCCTTGCATCCCCTCCACTCGTTAGCTTCTGAAAGTGGAAGAAAATGATGAGTTTTGGATCATGACAACATTCTGTTGTTCTGTTTTTATGTGTCTCAAAAATGCCCATATAGGGGTGTACTTGGGTGTACAAACTGTGCAGTAAGCTGTTAAGGTAGAGAACATTATATTTTCAGGACAGCAAATATTTCGAATCAGAGGGCGATTGTTTTCGGCTTTTCCGAGTAGACTCAATGAAATCACTAAAGGCACACGCTTTTAAATCCATCCAATGGTAAGGAAAACTAGGATTATTTCGCCTTGTTATGTACTTTTAACCGCGCTCCCGTCGGTGGGCATTCTACGACAGGGATGCATTCTACGGCACAACACCTGTAGCCGGGCAAGTGTGCAGGGACCGACTGCAAATTGCAATAAAAGAACAAGATGCTGCAAACAAAAGTCAATAGCTCCACTGTTATACAGTACAGAGACCCCAAAATCACCACACACACCAAGGGACTCTTCGTAGTAATACTACAACAGCTGTTCTTGGAAAATGTGCTTTTTGATAATTTTGGTGATTTTTTAGATATAGATGTGGCAACAGTGTTTTAGCTTACTATGCCTGGCACTCATTCTGTGGGTGTAATCTGAGCAGAAGTGTTGAAGAAAATCCAAAACAGGGAAGATTGAGTGAGGCCAATTAGTGCGGGAACAAATGTATCAGTACAAACATGCAGTTTGAGCGCAAGTAGGGACTGTTGTGAGAGAGGACGGGGGGTTGAGAGAAAATAGAGGACAAATTCAGGACATTTATTTCACACGTCAAGCTCTCAAAATGAAAAATTAAGCAAAGTGTTAAATCAGGTGGGCCACGAAATCAAGCTCAGCTGATAGTACATCTGTCTCCCTGCTCTGGTCTTCATGTATTCATGGAATACATGAGAGGAGGTCCTCTCTCTCCGCCTTCCCCTAAAGCTTTGGTGTTCACAGGCAGTGTTTCCACTCTTCCTTTAGGTGGTCCCAGAATACAAGAGTTACAAGGACCACAGGTGTCCTTGTAGTGGGTTTTCTATCCCATGCACCATTCCATGATGGTGAATTAACTGTAGAGGTTTTTCGGAGTCAGACGGTGACGCAGGTGGGCGTCTGGCTGTTCATTTCACACCTGTTAATCGCACAAACACACACACACAGAGTTTCAGGGTGTCTCATAAACACACACTCCCTCTCCCAAGGGCGGCAGAGTCGTGGCTCTGCTCGTAATCTAGCAGCCAATCAAAACATGATTCTCTGCCCCCAAAGAGCGTGGGCCGCATAGATAGAGAGCTCAATCAGGAGTCCTTGTTTGGTTGTTACTCAGCACAAAAATAGTACCAGACATGCAGTTCAAATTATTCAGATTTCTGCTCATTTTGGATCATTTAGTGATAATTTCCTTAAGTGCACATTAGTTTAAGATCTTGACTAATTTCATTCTTTGTATTTCCTTGTCTTCAGGGAAAAGAGGCCACCGTGGAGCCCTGGGAGGACACCAACTTCCGCCTGTACAAAGTCATCGACCGCTTCGGCTTCCTCCAGTAAGAGCACCCGCTTCAGGGCCTGTGATTATTCCTAATACTAAAATGAAAAACCTGCAGAGTCCAGCTTGAGCCACATCACCACAGTGAAGGGAAAAAAGCAGAAAATGAGAGGCTGTATCAGCGAGCGTGTCTGTGGCTGTGAGCCTCTTAAACAGCGCTGTGTGAGGGTTATATATAGGCTGGAGCACGCAGCAGGAAACAGGGCGGTTAGCCACAATCACAGGGCAGTAGGGACGTGATGGAGAGCTGAGATCCACAGACTGAAACCTCCGGGTAACTTGATGGTTTGAGACAGACGAGGACAGAAGCAGCCTGAGGTGAAGGTCGCTGACGGGGAATAAAAAGAAGGAGAGGAAGCCTGATATGACGCTGCAGACTCGGCCTGTGGCTGCTGGAAGAGTCTGATCTCTTTGTAGTCTCAAGGCCAAAGACACCGAGTCCGGGAAGAGAAACGCATGAGTAAACGCCAACAAAAAAATACACTCAAATACAGCTTTTCTGAGAAGTTGGGTTTAATTCAGCGGAGGATAAAAACTGACACCAAGAAAAATGAGTACTAAGTGAACCACAGGACAGTGAAAGTCCATCTTTACTCTTTGTGAGGGAGTTAAGAAGGGATAAAAATGAGGGACGTCTAATGTGTTATTTCCTGTTTGTGTGACGCTGACATGTTTGTTTCTCTTGGAGAGATTAAAACTGGCCATCTGCAGGAAAAGAAACAAGTCTATCTCTCTCTTTCTCTTTCCTCAGTGAGAATGAACTTCCATCCTACGACTCGGTGGAGGAAAAAGTGAGTTACTTTACTTCTCTTTTATCCAAGCATCCCGTGTGACTCATGTCAAGAAAACAGAAATCTACTCACTCCTACTCCTGCTCTGCTGTAAGAATATGTACAAGGTGACAAGCAATCACAAGCGAGCTTTTTCTGACAGGTAGAAAGGGACTGATAGAGTTGGTAATTCATTAACAGAATCCAGTGAGGAAAGATAGACAGCAGAGCGATGTGCTTCTTTGGATTAGTTGAAAACTGGACGGCCTGCTGCATTTTAGACCATCTGTAGAGGTTTGACTGTGCACGCAGGGAGCTCCGCCAGTAAGGAGTTGCAGTAGTCAGTGCATGATAATACAAGAGGTAGGGTAGTGTCTGATAAATATAGCAGAGATGAACAGTTACACAAAATAAAACTTGTGATGACTGTGTTTTTTGAGTTTGGTTCATTAATTCGTTAAATTTGTGTGATAGACCTCAATTTTACAGGAAATCCATGTCTTCATTTTTTTACTCACTCATTAAAATACATCGTCCATAATGAGAAAAGCCGTCTGTTTAAAGTGTCATGAATGAAAACATCAAAACAGAACAAGAAGCGGTTTTAAAATCCATTTCCCAAATCAACAACAATCTTGTTACAGAAACTGTGTAAAAAGCAGAAACACGCTCTGTTTAGCTGTTAAAATGAGCTCATTCAAGTGTTCCTAAAATGTGTAAAAGTCTGTAACTGGAGCGTCTCCACGGCGTCAAACAGCTGTGAGCAGACAGGACAGGCATTTTTAAGTCCCTCTCTCTTTTCGCCGTCAGGCTGCTGTGACAGAAAACTCCCACAGGGAGACTTAAAAGCAGCTGCAGAAAAAAGTGGCGAGACAAAAGTTATTAACGTGTCACTTCCTGTGTCCTCTCAGCAAAAGCACGTGGAGGTGGAGAGGACGACCAAGTGGCTGAAGATGCTGAAGAGCTGGGACAAATACAAGAACAGTGAGAAGGTGAGCTGCAGATCTCAGTCGCAAAAACTCTCGGACACACGCTGTAAAAGGTTTTAAAGTGAAGTCATATGAAGTTTATGAGCTACCGCACAATAAAGCTGTTTATAGTGAGCCCACCCCTGGCTTTTCTTCTCTCTGCTGCACTTGTTCTGGCAGAAGCACATGTAGAGATCCCTCGTTCATGATCTGGGGGTTGTTGGGGACAAGTATCAGTCATGGCTGCCTTCATCAGATCCTGTCAGGTCTAGGTGGTGTTGTGGTGCTGCCTAGAGCTCTGGAGCTTGTCCTTCATTTGTAAGTTTGGATCAAGCCGGGAATCGGTTTGTGTTCAGAGTCTGTCAGGTCTTTGAAAATGTGAAACACTCTGCTGTCCGACCTTCAGAGCTCAGTCAGTCTCATTTTTGGCTCTGCGTCCTCTTTGTTTGACAGAAATGTTCACAGTGAGGAAGAGTGAAGGACACAGAGGAGAGTAAAGTCCATCACCGCTCTCTCTGCTTCTCGTCTCTTCTTTAAAGCTGCAGGGTTTCTTTTTCCTCCTTCTCTGTCAGTCAGCCGAGCGCCGTCAGCTCTGAGGAAACAGGTCACGCTTGATACGTCTCCTGTTTTTGTTTCTTCACATCCAGCTGCCGAGAACATTTAGCCCGAAGGAGGAGAGGAAAGACAGCCGTGCAGATGTGAGGCAGCCAAAAAGATGATATTTTCTTTCTGTCTCCGCCTGCCACATGAGGTGAATTTGGCTCAAGGTTTGATATTTATTACAGCAGAAATAATATCCATCTATCTGAGACCTGAGAGCTGTGAAGGAGGCATCAATGCAGCTATGTCCCTGTGCTATTTATACCAATAATGGCTGCCAGGTCAAAATAAAATCTGTCCTGGTTGGGGGTAAAGTAATGACAAAAATACATTCAAATTAATGTTTTATGAAGAAATGTCTCCTTTTTGAGTCAAATCTGTTTTCAATGGTGGTTTGGACCAAAGTGGATTGAGTGTGACCCAGTCTAGGTGAGGCAGCGCTGGTGGAGATAAGACAAAAAAGCAATCAACAAGTGAAAACTTCATTCCCACCATCGCTCCAGAGTCTGAAGCTGCTTGATATACAGACTTTAAACAAAAATGGGATTCTTATCCTCCACAAATGCAGATAATTAGTTTTAATAGTTTAGTTTTTTCAATACAATACAAGAAAGTTATGAGCTCCAAAGGGGAAATTAATTTGTCTGGAATCCCAGATAACCTGTAGATAAACCAGGTCATGATCTGACCTGCCCAGTGGTGGTAAGGCAGTACCTCTGTAAGCTTGTTTGCTGTTGGCGTACATCAGATCCAGGGTTTTCTTTGTAAATCCAGTCAGGTGAGAGGAGAGGGTGACGTGATTTAAGTCTCCTGATATTATTACGAGTGCCTCAGGATGTTGAGTTGTATCCTAGCAACAGTATCATTGAAAACATCACACGGAACTTCAGCTGTTGCCTTAGTTGGGATGTATACAAGTATTGTTATGATAGCAGTGTCATATGTATTGTGCAGCTTTCCTCACCTTAACTTTTCATGTATGCCAATGTAATAGAAGCTGTTCTTTGACTTAAAGTGTGTTAAACTAAAGAAGTCCTTCATTTAATCTGTTTGTTTTCTCTGGATTCAAAGAGAGTCGAGATCTGCGCAGATTCCCTGAAATATAAATGTTGACACACATGTTTGTGCACACACACACACACACATACACGCACTTAGAGGATGATTAGTCCAACAGATGCTCTCATTGAGTCGCTCATCAGAGTCTAATTACAAAGGCTGTTGCACAAAAACCAGAGAGTCCACAGTGTGCTGATAGGAGGCGGATGGAGTGTGAGCTCTGGATGCCCCACACACACACTCACACACACACACACACACACACACACACACACACACACACACACACACACACACACACACACACACACACACATTAAACATCATCAATTTTAAGATGAAACACACACAACAGTCTGCCTTTAATGGAGGGAAACACAAATCACACACACATAAATTATGTTGATCACACACTCTGACACACAGACGATCCAATCAGCTCTCTGAATCAACTTTCTGATTCTCCCGACTTAATTTCAAGGTCATGGTCCCGAGAGGAAAGAACAGATATGATCGAGTGTACTTGAGTAAATGTTACACTCCTACAGGATGCCTCCTCAGGGCTCTTCATTGTGGATTTGGTCTTGTAATTGCAGCACTGTCCTCTGCTTTTTCTGCACACACACTCAGACTCGCACACGTTTACAGTCCCCACACCTCCCATATCAGCTGTAAAACTGTTCAGGCTGGTTGGTTTTAATGCCTATGATCAGAGGATTCAGTGCAGCGATTAGCTCTGCTGTTTCAGCACTCTGACTTTAAGACCTGATCCTCCTCACAGGACTCTCACTGACTCTCAAAGACTTCACATGCTCTACAGGTGACTCCCCTCTCTTTTCATTCTTTCTCTCTTTTTTTCTACTGCAATCCTGTCCCTCGTTTCCCCTTCTTCTTTCCCTCCATCTCTCTTCTAAAGCTTTCACTGCTGTGCATCCATCTTTTTCACCTTCTCTTCCTCCCTTTCTCTCCCTCCCCGCCTCTTTCCTCTCCCCTTTTCGTTATTGTCCTCTCTCCTCTATTTATCGCTCTCCTACTTTCTCCCTTTCCCCTCTCAACTCTCTTTCTATTGTTGTTCCCTCTCTCCTGTTTTCTCTTTATCTTTCTTTTATTCATCGTTTTATCTCTTTCCCCATTTCTTTTCCCTTTTTTTATTGTTCTCTCATACTTCTCCTTTCTTCTTCTCTTTCTTTTTAACTTTATTTTTCTCACAATTACTACTCTTTTTCATCCTTTACTCTTTCTCTCCCCCTCACCCCATCTCTTGTTCTTACCCTTTCTTTTTAGTCTTTCCACCCCCTTTGTCTTTCTTTTTCTCATCTTTTTTACACTCTTCTCTTCTTCTCTTCATTTGCATTCCTTCTCTACCTTATCTTTCTTCTTTTTTTGACTGTTTATTTCCCCCTTCTTTTCTTTTTCTTTATACTTTTTTCTCTTCTACTTTCTTCTTGCCTTTTCTTTTCCTTCCTCTTTTCCTCTTTTCTCTCCCCTCTTTCCTTTCTTTTCTCTCCTCATATCTTTTTCTCTTTTATCCTTATGAACCTCTTTTTCCATTGTTTTTTACTCTGGTTTCTCTCCAACTTTTTTCTTTACTATTTCTTTTTATCCTTTTCTCTTCCTTTTTAATTTACCTCCTCCTCTCTCATTTCTCATACTTGACTTTTCATCTCATTTTTTTTAACTTGTTTCACACTTTTATTTTCCCCATTTCTCCTTTCTTTTCACCTTTTTTCTTTCTTTTACTCTTTACCCCTTTCCCCTCCCTCATTCTCCTTTTCCTTCTTCTTTGCTGTCTTCCTTTTCCACTATTTTTATCCCTCTCTGTGGTCTCCCATCTCCCTCTTTCTTTTCCACCTGCCCCCCTCCCTCGCCTCGCTCAGCCTCTTTCTTCTCCTCTTCCTGTTTTCCTGCGATCACTGTTTGACTCTTTGACTCGCTCTGAGCAGCTGAAGTCGACGTTTTTGTGTTTTGAATCATTTTGGCAGCACGTCCAAGCTCTGATTACATCTTTATGACCCGCAGCAACAACCTCTGAAGACGTATTAGCCTGTTTATTTGCTTTGTTAGTTTCACCTCCTGACATGAAGTTGTCGTGTTTATGTAATTGTCTTTTTGTACGCTGTTACAAGGGAGTTTGTGTTTTCTTAAGAGGTTTAACACAGGATCACTATTGTTCAAGAAAATGCATACTAGAAGTTATATTTAACAGTTCTGACAGCATACATGAAATGCCGAGGCCTGAGGCGGGCAGAGCAGCAGCAAAGGGTACAAGAAAGAGCGGGCATTAGTATTAGCAGTATGTAAGACGCTGGTGAAAACAGCTTTAAAAAGAAAGAGTCTATTTTTAGATGTGATTTCAGTGTCTGGTTTGAAGTGGACTCTGCCCTCCTGAAATAATCAAGAACTTCTGCACAGCTGGTGCAACAGGCTGCTGATGTTTGCCAGACTGTGTAACCTGTATAAAAACGTCTCCACAGGTGTATCTGAGGCGAGCCAAGCTGCTCATCTTTGAAGACTCCTCTAATAAAACCTCCCGCTGTGTGTTTTTCTTGCAGCTGTTCAGGAGGATCTATAAGGGAATCCCTCTGCAGCTCCGAGGAGAGGTGTGGTGTCTGCTGCTCGACATTCCCAAAATCAAAGAGGAGAAGAAAGACTTCTACGAGGTGGGGATCGAAAAGCCGCTACACTCCTCCTCTCCCGCACTGTCTCTGTGAAATCAGCGCTGCCTTCAGTGCTGCAGCGGCCTCATAAAGATTCATAAGCGAGGCCAGCAGCACCTCTGCTTCATTTCATTTCTCAGACGTGGGTTCGGAGGCTTAATTGTGTTTATTGTGAGTTTGCACGGCTCGCTTCAGCTCTCTACGAGGAACCTTTTCGTTTTTTTTTTTGTTCTGCAAACTTTGGACCTCATTAGAAAGTTAAGCTGCCAGGATCAATAATATCGCTGCCTCCTGAAGTTTTCTAATAATGAACAGAGGGCACGGAGACTAAACAAGTAAACAGAGCGGCAAATAGGAAGAGGAAGCTGTGTCGATTACAATACATTTGGTTCTGTGAGGGTTTTTAGAGAGAGCTGCTCATATTTAACTTTGATCTGCGAATCAACATCTGAAAGTGAAGAAGATGTGAAGTTTGGGAAAATCTGGTTGATAAATCTTCATTAACGAACTAGAAAAGCAGCTGAAGACTGTAGACCACTGCAAAGACCAGTCATCAGCTGTTTTATCTTGTTTGTAAGTTAAATATGATCCAAAAAATGAGGTATTATCAGTTTAATTTGTCTGTAGCTCTTCTGATAAACAGATGAAAAAAAAGCACCACAAACATGACCTTCTTGTTGCAGGTAAAAAACGCAATACAAATGATCTAACTACTAAAAAATAAAGTTCAGGGTTAAACCGTCACAGTTTTTTAAACCACACATTTTATTTTGAAAGGAACAATTTTCTCTAAAATCTTCACTGAAATACTTCCAGCATAACTCCAAACTAGAAAATGTTCTGAATGTTTTGTTTCCACTTTTTTTTCCCCACTCTATTTGTCTGACAATCAGTCCACCGTGATTGGATATAACTGAGTCATATTTGTTGGAAAAATCTTCCTGCAGCTCTGTGAATATTTCAGTGTGTTTACTTTCATCTCTCATTTATACTTTCTTACCTTCCTTCTTGCTTTTAGATTAGACTATATCAGAGATCCTTGACAGGATGTTTGCCTCGGGCAGTGGTGCAAAACTAACCCACAGCTCAACCTGATGCAATATCAAAACAAACATTAACTTTTGAGGAAAAGGTGTCTCTAAGGTTGAAAAGTAATGACTCAACTCACAGTTAAGAGCAGGACTTTACATTTTTGTGTACATTTTTTTTTTGCAGAAACTAAAAGCTCGAGCCAGAGGACTCTCCCCCGACATCCGACAGATTGATCTGGACGTGAACCGAACCTACAGGGACCACATCATGTTCAGGCATCGCTACGATGTCAAGTGAGTTTTCCCCTTTGACCCACAGAAGCAGCAACAACCTTCAGTTACTTTCAAGACTCATGAGAGTCTAATCAGAGCTTCATTAAACGGGTTTTCTAAGAGCAGGAGTAACATTTGAAAATAAAGACTTCCACCAATCCATCATGTTTGTTTCCTTCATGAAACAAAAGAATTTGTTCAACACATTTTCCTAATTTGATAGGCTTAAAATGAGAATAAAAAACGTATTTATTCTAATGACGCCATAATTACTATGTATCACAAAACATCCTGATACTTTCAGATGAAGCCGTCTCAATGTACTCAACTCAACTCAACTCAACTTTACTTATAGAGCACTTTAAAAACAACCAAAGCTGACTCAAAGTGCTGTACATAATAACATAAAAACATAAAAAAAACAATAAATGTTTGTTTTAAAATATAATAAAAAGCAATAAAACAAACACTGTCTCATGCTGGGTCAAAAGCCAAGGAGTAAAAGTGGGTTTTTGGACGGGTTTTAAAAAATGGACAGTGAGGGAGGTTGTCCAATGTGGAGAGGTAAATCATTCCATAATGTAGGAGCAGCAACAGAAAAAGCTCTGTCTCCTCTGAGCCTCCGCTTGGACCTTGGTACCTGCAGGAGCAGCTGGTCAGCTGACCTGAGGCAGGAGTGTAGGGGTGAAGCAGCTCAGAGAGGTATGATGGGGACAGAGCATTTAAAGCTTTAAAAACAAATAAAAGAATCTTAAAATGAACTCTAAAATGCACGAGCAGCCAGTGGAGGCAGGCCAGGATGGGAGCATTCCGGTTAAAAGACGAGCTAAAACTGACGTGATGAAGGCATGGATTACTGTCTCAAAGTGCTCTCGTGCAAGACTGATGATAACTGTATTTTTGAGATAATAAAATATTGATTCTGTGCTAAACTGAGCATAAATTAATACACAAGTTAATAACTTCAAAATAAAAGCCGACAGACAGAGTAAATGTCAAAATAAAAGTATGACAAACAATCTTTTTATGAGGCGATGTGTTCTCTTCAGAAGTTTCACTCACTTTCAAGCCAAAGCAGAGAAAACTTTGACAGCGTCTTTCACTCCCGGTAAACTCTTCTTTATGCAAATTCTCAAACAGGAAAACACTTTAGTTCACGCTCATTAAGTTCAATCTTAATGTGCAAAGGGAATGTTCAGTTCATGATAAAATGCAGTTCTGTCTTTGAGTCTTCTTCATAAATGCATCACAAAAGCCTCATTTTATCTTTGTGAGTGACAAAGTTTTTGCAGGTTATCGTGTTGCTTTCTCACTCAGTTTACTTCTTACATAGAGGTCTGTGTTTGACATTAATTCTCTTGCACACTTTTGGTGCACTGAGATGAAATTCAGCTGCCATCTTTAAATGAACTGGTGCCGAGTTAGTGGTAAGAAATGCTCCTTGGATTAATTTTGCATTCAGGAGGGACATGCTGCAAACACAGATACTGAGGAAAACATGCCGAAGAGCAGAAAATATGAGTTCTAGCTAAAAGGCTCTCCTCCAGGAGCTCAATTAGATGGTTTACGAAAGAAATAATCACACAAGTTGATTCAGTTCTTGTTCCATTCGTACCAGCAAACACTTCCCTCGCTTACTGCACACCAGAGGCAAAGAGAAGTTCTCTGCCTCCCTGACATAAAAATAAAAACGAGATTGCAGAGCAGAAACACCACGGGTCTGCACTTAGCAGCAAAAATAGATCTGCAGAACAAAAGCTAATGTAGGTAATTACTATATGAACATGTTCACGCTCAACAGGGACACTGCAAGATGAGAACAGGATGTTTTCTTTCTCTAACAACTTCTCAAAGATAGAAATAACAAAAAAAAAAAGGTCAGCCGTCGTGTCAGGTAACTCTGCCGTTTGATACTCTTGAAATCTGAAGCTGAAATTACTCAGAAACAGAAGTGAAAGCGCTCACGTCCTCTTTTCCAGAGTTTAGACTTCTGCTTTTTATTTTTTACAGATCTGAACCTCCTCTGATTAACACCCAGTAAAATACTAGTACACCTGTTCGAACACTGCTGTACTCTTATTATTCAAGATCATAAAAGGTGTTCAGACTTTCATACGAACTTTCCATATCACGTTAAAGGTCAAACACTTATTGTGCCTTACATAAAGGATCAAAAATTATGAATGACTGATGATCCTGCCTGTAATTTCTCGATTATTTGCAGGTTTTCCTCTTAACCCTTGTCTCTGTTTGTGTTTTCAGGCAGCAGGCTCTGTTCCACGTCCTCGCGGCGTACTCTATGTACAACACGGTGAGTCATTCTGTGTGCGCAGGAAGCTGCCAAGGATACTCTGCCTTTACTGTCTGTGTGAGGAGGAGGAGTATGTGTCCGTCTGTCTTTTCTTTGCACGTATTTCCATGCTTTTACTTCAGGTGTTCGATGCACTTTAAAAGCAACAAAACAAAGACTCCTCGACTGTCAACAGATCGCTGGATTGTTTTCTCTACTTTGTACAAATTGTTGCCTTAGATGTAATCACACAAGGTCCCTGCAGAGTGGTGTAGGTCAAGCACTTTTAGGCAGAATGTGTAAAAAGTAAAAAGTTCATTGATTAGTTTAATGTTACAAGCTTCGGTAGATTGATCCAAAATCTACAAACCCAAAGAAAACTCCTCAGCTCTTAGAGGAGACTGTTATTGATCTGTAATTAAGAAGACATGTCTGATACTGGAGAAGTTTAACAAGAAAGATCAATACAGTGAAATGTTCTTATTTCACTCTCCGAGACGGCAAACCAACTTTCTTTTCAAGTTAGTAATGATTCCCCACAAAAGGAATAGATCTAATTGCAGAGTAAAATGTGTGATTGAAGGCTTTGGTTATTAAAAAAGGTGATTTTTAGGCTTATAGATATATGTGTGTGTTTGTGTTTGCAGGAGGTGGGATACTGTCAGGGCATGAGTCAGATCACGGCTCTGCTGCTCATCTACATGAACGAAGAGGACGCCTTCTGGGCTCTGGTCAAACTGCTGTCTGGACAGAAGCACGCCATGCACGGTAACACGCTCACAAACTCACTTTTCATGGAGAGGAAAAGTTTTATTTTACTCTTACTAAAAAGGCCCCAACATGCAGCTGTGTTGTGTTTAGGGTCCGTCCGTCCACTCCCACTCCAGGGACCCCGTGCAAAGAAACCATCTGTTGCTTTTGCTGGAGCAGCTTGAGTCCCTAACCACTGAAATGTATTAGTAACTTTTCATGACCACCTGTAACGTCTGACGGCTTATTTGAAATGAGTGTAGATGATTTATTACAGACTTTATTTCTCCAATGGACACAAAAATTTCCGGGTTAAAAGTGTCAAGATCTCACAGCGGGGTATGGTAGCATCTGTTCCAGCACGATATCAGCAGATGGTGTTTGTTTGGTACAAAATGCATTTTAGAATTTCACAGAGAGAATAATCTGAACACCTGTGACTCTGAGAGTTTATCAAACGTGGCGTTTTACAACTTGGTTGTTCTAGTATTAAGAGGAGAAAGAAGAGTAGAGAGAGAAGAAGTTTACCCACCGGTGAGAATAACCGCCAGCAAAGAAAACCGATTATTTTCAGGCTATACGTTTTAAGGTCCTTACACACCGGGAACGACGGAAATATACGACGCAAAATTACAAAATACTTGGAGGCGAATTTTGACGCCCCTGACTATACACCGCAAGCCCGATGCGATTTTGCGACTTTCTGGAGGGGAAAAAAGACGCGTCCCGGGTGGAAGTGAGAAGACTGACACAACACCAGACTGAGTGTTTTTCAGTTCTGAATAGACACTAGTGTTGAGATGGCTGTCTGTCATGATAGCATGCACTGAGTCGGGGCCAGTACCAGATAAGCACATTAAACTATAATCCATAAACGTAAGGCAACAACCGAGACCTAATGGTGCTGCGACAGCAACGTGATAGAGTTTGAGACAGTGAAAATACATATGGTATGTTGTATCTGAACAGGTTAGCTTACGAGCTAAAGTTACTTAGCACAGATGAAAGATAAAACAAAGACGTTTAGCAATATTACGTTTGTAATATCTGTGTTTTTATCAAAAAGCACTCTGTTCTCCGACACGTAAACAATCAGCCGGTCGGCCATGTTGGATATACCGGTGAATCTGACGTCGCAATAAAACGAAATCCGATTGGTCAGAAGTGGACACACAGTATGTGAAACTTTAGAAAAATCGACGGTGAAACGAAAAAAATTAATGCCGCAATATCGCAGGACGGGAAAACGTCGCTGATGTGAGCGCTTGTATTGACAGGATACGGGTTGAAAAAAAAAATTGATGTCCGAAATAATCGCACAAAAAAAAACGGTCCCGGAGTGAGAGGACCTTTAGAGCTCCCTAAAGCCTGAGGCAGGGAGAGCACTAGCAAAAACATGCAATTTGAGGTTTTATTCAAAGCAAGAGTAGGACTTAAAAGTAATTTAGTTACACCCTTTTTTATGCCACGAGAACCTTGTATTACAGGTGCTCTTTGTGTTTTTATATCTTGTCAAACACATGATAAAATGATGGACAAAAACAGCCAAGTGAAGGGAGGGTACAAGGCAGCACTAAACTGACAAGACCTCCATATATGGTCAAAATCACTGAGCTCTAGACTGATACAAATACAGTTTAAATATACAGATACATACTGTATATATACATCCATGTTTTAAAGGATTATTATGCTATAAACAAAGAATATGAACAGCCAGAAGACAGAGACTTGACTGAGTTCAAACAGCCGTTTCCATCATGAGGCTCGTCTGGAAAATATGCACATTTCAGCATGAATGTTGGCAGGGACTGAGGGAGAGTTGAAATATTCAAAGATGTAGTTCACAGAATCAGGCTCTCGTTTCTCTTCACTTTTTTAGGGTTTTTCGTCCCCGGTTTCCCAAAGCTGATGCGATTCCAGGAGCATCACGACCGCATCCTAAAGAAGATGATGCCCAAACTGAAGCAACACCTGGTGAGACACACGGACCTGCTGTAGCTTTTAATAATGCAGCAAGTGCTGAAACCAGCTCTGAATAATGCAGGAAGAGCTCGTTACAGCAGAAATAAACCCTCTGTCCAAATAAAACCGGAGGATAATGTTAATAACACAATAAATTATTTATCCCACTCTTAGCTCACCCTCATAAATTAATGCTGTTGTTTTAACAGTCATGTTGATAGGTGACGCTCTCCCCTGCAGCTCACAGCGCAGTAAATACATTTAATACTGGTTTTGTTTGTGGTGCAGGACAACCAGGAGGTGTTCACCAGCCTGTACACCATGAAGTGGTTCTTTCAGTGCTTCCTGGACAGAGTGAGTACATCAGCAGTGAACTGGACACAGAGCTGCTTCTGTTGGCTGTGTCTTTTTAAAACCCACTGGAACATTACTTTTCCAAATCCAAGCCTCCAGTGTTTCATTTTTTTATGTGGATTTAATCCTCCCGAGTCTTAAAATCCCTGTGAATGTTTTCTTCTTAACAAAACATGATTTCAATTTATATTTGTATTTCCAGCCCATCAAAACAAAAGTTCATCCTCATCTTCCAATCATGGATCCTCTAACATTTTCTTCTGTTTGTGTTCAGACGCCGTTCACCCTCACCCTGAGGATCTGGGACATTTACATTTTGGAGGGTGAAAGAATACTTCCGGCCATGTCCTACACCATCCTCAGACTGCACAAGAGTAAGATTAGTTATTGTATTCTTCTTCTTTATTTCTTCTTCTCATAGTTCGGCAGAGTCCGATAAGTAAGTGTATGTGATCTCCAGAGCATCTGATGAAGCTGACCATGGAGGAGCTGGTGGAGTTCCTGCAGGCCACCCTGTCCAAAGATTTCTTCTTCGAGGACGACTTCGTGGTCGAGCAGCTGCAGGCGTCCGTGTCGGAGCTGAGGAGGGCCAAGCTGGAACTGCCGGCTCCAGGTACCAATTCGACCAAACAGACACACATACATGTACAGTATAAACCGGATGTAACACAAAAAGAAGGATTTTCTGGTGATGATTGGTGGTTATGTGGCTGTAATAGAGAGAGCTGCAGATCATTAAACCTCTCTGTTCTCGTTACACTTCACTGTGAATCATGAAAAACTGATTAATGGAAACATTTAGCAATAAAGAAACAAACATTTTTATTAGATTTTTCATTTTTTAATCAGTTCTGAAGTTTGAGTAACCTGAAAAGAGTGAAGCGACAAACTAATACAGAAGAAAATTACATTTAACCAATCAAGTCACACGAGTACAGTCTCTCAAACTGCTCAAACTATCCAGACAAACAAACCCCCTGATGCTTATTAATTCTGCACGTTTTCCATGATTTCCTGCTGTCCTCCAGCGTATATCTGCCTTTAGCTTCAGTGTGTTTCTAATCTTGCTCTGTCTCCTCATTAATCTGCTTTCTCTCCCTCTCCTTTCGAACAATGTTAGCCAACAACAACAAAAACGTGGCCGTGAGTGGGGGCCACATCCCCTCCTACAACAGTAACCGGTGGGCTATCCTGACTGGTCTTCCCCTCTCCATGTCTCTGTTCATCTGTCCTTCAGTCAGTCAGTCAGTCTGTCCTGTCCGTCTTCTGTCTGTCCCACAGCACTCCGGTTTCCTCCTTCACAAACTATCGTCTTCCAGCTGCGTTTTTACCGCCCGTTTGTGATATATTTGCTCCTTCTTGCTTCTCTGAAGTGCTGAAGTTGCTTCCTGTCCTCTTCTCTTTAAATCTTTTTAAGTTTTTGACGTTCAGCTCTTTTATTTTTGAATCAAAGTGGCTGCAAATGTAGAAACTGACCTCTGTCCACTAAAGTTTGAGGTGCACGTGTGCCCTCTGGTGGCCGTTTAAAGGCACTGCATTGTCCTGTTTTGAACTGGGTACGTTTTTGTTTAGTTGCTCTTTATGGAAGTTTTAGTGGACAAATGATCTTTACTTCTGCTTCTTAAACCCGCAGACTCTTCCTAAATATTCTGACTTTTATGCTGGAAAAACTCACCGCTTAATTGACACTTTTTTTTTTCAAGTGAGACATGTTTTTGGATCAGCACCCGTCCTAAATGGTCTTTCTTGGGTTTCCTGTGCCTAGTAGTCCACTTGTACGTCCTTCATAACAGCAGTAGCCACTTTTTTTGTACAAAGTTTTAGTTTTAGAGCTGTAAGAGTGGAAAGAACCAGAACTTTCCTCTCGTTCAGAGCCCACACAGCTACAACAGTAGCTGTCTGCTGGATGACACGATAATGAGACACTTTTCCAACACTGGAGGCTTTTGTTGAACTTCTGTTTAACTGCCATCTGCTGCCACAGTCGCTAACATGCTTTGGGGAGATATATACTGTACATTTTTAATCTGCTTTCTTCTTTTCATGGATTAAATGAACTGAGAAGAAATGACAGCTGTTTTATGGGTGTTAGATCTCGAAGTTCAGTCGGCTGAGTTTTAGTTGGATAAAGTCTGCCGTGAGTTGGCTGTCCCTCCTCTCTTTACTTTGTAGTTAATTGAAGCAGAGTCTGGATTTGGCTCGTTTCTGTCACTAACTCCTGAAAAACCAGAGTGTGCACAAAACTGTGTGCCTATTTTCTAGAAACTTTCGTCAGCCAATAGTGTGTGCTGGTATTCAGTATCATGAGATGATGTGCTGATCTTTTCTGTTGTGTAGAAAAGCTCTTGGATGTCATGGCAACACTTGCTAACAGTCTCACGAAACGAGTGGATTTTACTGTAAGTCAGTACCCCATATTATTATATTCTTAAGACCGATATCATCTGCACAACACTATTATTGTACTAAGTGGAAGGCTTCAATGAGGGAAATGTTAACCCTAAAGATTAAAGGGATATTCCGGTGTAAAATTAGTTTAGGGTCAAACACACTGTAACACCAAGTTAGACACCCCCTCGAGAGATGAATGTTGCCGACCGCTTGCTTCTCAAGTTATACCAATCATTCCTTTATCATTTCCTTGAAGTGATAATCACCATCATAATCATAATCATAAACCATAATCATTTTGCACTGCCGACGCGGTAGTTCTTCTGCCTTAGTATCTTGGTCTGATTGCATTTCCATGAAGAAATGATCATAAATGTTCTTCCTTGAGCTGCGTCACCCCGCAGCAGTCCATAATGGACTGGCCCGAGGTCTCGCTACAAACAAGCGGCTGCTGGAAGAGAGTAGGTAGGTTGTGTTTAGTCTCTTTGCTATAGAAATAAGGCAAAGTTAAAAAGATCTTTGGTGGCTAGTGCTGTGGCTAGGACCCTATATGTACTGTTGATGAAGTTAGGTGCTGTTCTGAGCATTATTTGTGGCTATAGAGTGGTGTTTTGGTTGAGGTTTGTTTATGGCTCCTCAGACCACTCTGTATTGCTATCGTGCGGTCGTTACTAAAGTTGGTATAACTAGAGAAGCAAGCGGTCGGCAACATTCATCTCTTAAGGGGGTGTCTACAGAGAGCACTGTAATGCTCAAGTAGGGTAAGAAATGGTTTATTCATGGAAGGTTTCTTCAGCTACAACCTCCAGTGAAAAAAATACAGATAAATATGAAGCCAATGCAGGAGTACAAAAATGTGTCTTCCTTGAGTGCCATTGACACCATGTTATGCCTGTTTGTACAACAGAATTAAACATGTTTGGGCTTCATAACACCTCTTAAAAATCTAATTGGTAACCTTACAGAGAGTATGTGGTTTATGTTTCATACAGGAGCTCACTGAGAAAGTATGACTCAGCTTTTATATTACTTATTAATCATGTGTTTGGGGTTTAAAGGCCAAAAGTTTGTAATTTTTTTCTTCATATTGTCAGTGTTTCGGTAGCTTAGGTTACTCCCCCAGGTTGATGTCACCCAATCCTGCAAGAGAGAAAGAGAAATGATCTCTGAATAAGGTCATAGATACTTAAGTTTCAGCACATCAAGTTCACTCCCAGGCTTACTCCCACAGCACTCACTGTTCCTCTAGCTGACTCCCCCAAAACAAAACAACCATCACTTTCTGCTCACCGTATATATTCTTGTCAACTGTACTTTTTATTTATTTTTGACACAAAGTGGTAAATTGAATAATAAATGTAAGAACCCATAGTATAAACTGAGCAATGACTTACCCTTGTGAAGAATTTTTTTTGTAACTTTATATGTTCTTAAAAGTTTGAGAACATGTAATAAGGTTAATTAATCAAAAAGATATCCCACGTGGCCTTTTGAGTAAGAGGCCACCGCTAACGTTTATTTTAGTCCAATGAAAACGTGTCAACTCAAATAGGTATTACTTCCAGGGTGGGTGAAAATAAAACACTGATGATTTTTATGTTCTTTAACGTTTGCTTGTGAAGATTTGGTTCTATGTTGTCATGAATGTAATCCTCCTTTATTTTGACCTCTCTATGGCGGTGGTGTTGCATGACTCCATGTCCCTGTTGTGACTCTTCATCCGATGTGAATCAGCACCACAGTGTCTTAACCATCACTGTCTCTCCGGTTCCTTGGTGATGTTCTAAAACTTTCCACTGTTTTTGGTCTCGCAGGTAAAGATGAAGAGTTTCCTAAGAAGCCTCTCGGGCAGCTTCCTCCTGAGGTGACAGTAGATGCGGCCAACCATGTGGGTAACGGTCAAAGCCACGTTGAGCCAGTCGAACCTCCAAGGGACCCAAGTCCTGTGCCTGACCGTCAACGTGATAGTCGTCCCCCAAGCCGCGCACGCCGGGACTCGCTGGACAAAACAATTCGCCACCACAAGGCTGAAAGGAGGGATGTCCGCTCAAGGGGATCTGGGGAGATCCCCAATGAGCACCAAAGGCAGTCCAACTCCACCACACCGGAGAGGGGAACAACACCAACTCCAGCCCCTACACCAACACCACAGATCAACACCACAGAAAGACGGAAGCATCAGAGCCACGCCACCGCCAACCACAACTCCAACGCAGCCTCAAGTTCTCACAAGGAAATCACCCCACGCTGGTTCAAACCTTCTGAGACTAAGCTGGAGGCAGCCAAAGCAGCAGCAGCGCGAGAAGGCCATCGTGGCCGAGGGGTCTCACCTGCCCCGTCCAGCCCTGAAGATCCTGCTTTACTCAACCGCCGGCCACGCTCAAAGGGCTTCGTCCCCGGGTCCGACCGTGGCTCTAACGCCTCCCAGTATGACAATGTACCAGGACTGCCAGAGCAAGAGTTTGAGATCCTGGAGCTTGAGAGACCTCCGTCCAGAATGAGGGCCCCTCGCAGTGAAACACCTTTCAGTGTATCGTCCATCCAACCAGGCAGCCCAAATCGTGGACCAAGCCTTGCAGGTAGTGTTGTTTCTGTTGCATCAGTGCCCAGGATGCCCAAACACCCTGTCCCTCCTCCACTGTCCCTCAACAGTCCAGCCAGGATCCAGACCGGTTACCCTGGCAACCACAGCCAGTACCACACTCCACCCCAGCAGCATTCTCCAGGAAGACCCACTACTGAGGTCCCCATTTTACATCCGGCCTATAGTGTGAGCTTGGACCACAGAGGGGAAGACAGACTGTATCCTCCTCCAACTAGGTTTACCCCACTTTCCAGCTTGGTGTATGGGGAACGATTATACGCCACCACTCACAGACCAACCAACAATCTTTCTCCTGAGAAGGCTCTCATGAACAACTCTTACACCACCTACCGCAGGCAACCGCCACCCAACTCCACCCATAACACCCGGCATGCCAGGCCTCACCCGGAGCACTCCCTGCAGCTGGAAACCCAGGGAAGCTCCACCCCTATCTACCTGCAACAGCTCACCTCGACCTCACAGGTCCACGCGCCGGTAGACTATAGGTTTGAGGGGCATAGGAGAGTTGACGCAAACCCATCCTATCACCAAGAAGGCGGACCTCGGCGGCTTGTAGACGGACTCACATGGGCACCAGAGAGTGAGCTGCCCCCTCCTTCTCCGGGAGGTATGCCACGCTCCCCCAGCTTCCAACGTGCCCAAATGTCCCCTGTTCAGGAATTTACATTTCCTGACAACCCCGACAGCCTGCATCACTACAGGACACAGTTCCAGGAGCAGCAGCCTGTCATAAGGCAACAGCTCCCCCAGCTGTTTGGAGGACCACACTACAGGCACGCACAGGAGGCGTTTGCAATGCAGGAGTCCATGCTGCTGTGAATGGAACGAGTAAGACACTGTAAAAAAAAAAAAAAAAACTGAAGAGTAGTCACCGACACTGTGCTAAAGACGAGCAGTGGTCCTAGCTCTGTTAGGGACCTGGTTTCGCTCTGCTCTTTTGTTCTTTATGTGTGAAGTACTGACCTTCTGACTGTCACGCTGCATCCAAAAGTTGCAGGACACACCAGCCTCTGATGTTTTTACTGATAACTTTAAAAGAGAAAAGGAAAAACTGACTGAAGACTTAATTTTATTTTTGGATGTAAATCATTACGGAGAGAGGCGACAGTATATATCTTTTAGAGTGATATGTACAGTGGATTATTTGTTAAAATGCTGAGTTGTTATCAGTAGCAGGGGAACATTCTCCTGAGAGAAAATCCTGATTTATTTTCCATCTTTATTTTTTTATATGTTACTTTCAGATATTTACATTAGAAATGAATTCACTCTATATGCTTGTGAATGTTATTTTTCTTGAAAGAGAAGAAATGAAACCATACCCAATGATAGGATTAGAGAGCAGTGATAAAAGGTCACTGTGATAGTCATGATTTCCGGTTTGAAATGCCTCCACTGTAGAAAAAACTGTTTTTGATTTTAGTTTTAGTTTTTAATATTGCTTTCCTGATAAACTGACGTGCAATTAATTTCTCTTTCATGCTTGAAGTACAGTACTTAAGAAAATAAATGGTCTTGGGGCCAGCGTAGTTTTTGATTCAATCCACACCCTTGAATAGACTCAGAAACAGAGTTAATTTATGAGGGCTAATTATCTGTATTTTGTTTGAAAAAAAAACATCTGATTTGCTTTGTAATTATAGGTAACATGTTTTGTTTTTTTTTATTATTATTGCTGTACTTGAGCACATGCAGCCAGAGAGGGATGTGAACCAGTTTCAGTTTGCTTTACTTCATTATGTCTTATTATTCTCAACACTGTCATATCAACTACTGCTCAGCTGCTGGCACTTCTACTGGCAAACAGTCATCTGGCACACACATATACACACACTACAAGTAATCAATGTGTAAGTCACACATTTCAACATTTATCATTCCTTTTTATTACCATTCTTCATACTCTGGTTGTGCATCAGAAACAGTATTGTTTTACTGTTCATAACATTCCTTAAGTTATCTTTGTTTTTTTGTCAAATAACTAATTGCAGAACATTCTGATACTTTGCTTAATAAAATGATGTGGGTTGAAAATTTCTCCAGGGCTCTGTCTTTCACTGGTAATAAATCCTAATATTTGTATCCACAGTGTTACTTTTCTTCATGGGGCACCAACACTGCCCTATCACACTGTGTGTCACAAAAATATCATAGTATAGTATTATAAAATGTCATAGTATGGTATGATAAAAATATCATGTAAAGTAAAAGTATTATGGAAAGTCACAGTATACTATGTTGAAATATCATGGTATAGTATGATAATACTATCATATTACAGTAGGGAAATGTCATCGTAAAGTAAGATAAAATGTCACAGTACAGTGTAAAAAAAATAACATGAGTATGAAAAAAAAAAGTCAAAGTATTGTATGTAAGAAAGAATATAGCTAATTTTTTTTTTTAGCATTAAAAAATGTCATAGTATAGTATGATTTAAATGTCATAGTATGGTATGTTGAAAATTTCTAATTTTAAAAGTGTAAAAAAATGTGATACTGTAGTATGTTAAAAATGTCATAGTATAGTATTTAAAAAATATATTTTAGTGTGAAAAAAATAAATATTTAATTATGTAAAAAAATGTCATAGTATAGTATGATATAAAATGTCATAGTATAGTATGAGAAAAAAAATCATATTTGAGAATGAAAAAAATGTCATAGTATACTAGGATGAAAATTTCATATTAAGTGTAAAAAGAAATTCATATTTTAGCATGAAAAAAAGGTCATAGTATAGTATGCTAAAAATTTCACATTTTAGTTTAAAAAAAAATTGATATTTTGGTATAAAATGCAATAGTATAGTATGATAAAAATCTCATAGTATAGTATGTTAAAAGTTTAAAATTTTGGCCCAAAAAAATCATATTTTAGTATGAAAAAATATAGTTTAGTATGATAAAATCTTAAATTTTGGTGTGAAAAAAAATATTCATATTTTTGTATGATATAAAATGACATGGTATAGTATGATAAAAATGTCATAGTATAGTATGTTACCAAATTTCAAGTTTTAGTCTAAAAAAAATTATATTTTAGTATGAAAAAATATCATAGTTTAGTATGATAAAAATTTCATATTCTAGGTTGAAAAAACATCATATTTTGTTATAAAAATAATGCAAAAGTATCATATGATAAAACTGTCATAGTTAAAAAATATAAATATTAGTGTGCAAAGAAATTCTGATCTCAGTGTGACAAAATAAATGTCAGTATAGTATTGTAAAAAATTTCACATTTTAGTGTGAAAAAAAATTCTTGTTTTAGTATGAAAGTAAATGCCATAGCATAGAATGATAAAAATGTCATAGTATAGTCTGTTTAAAAGGTTCTTATCTAACATGAAAAAAAATATATTATTTTGGTATTAAAAAAGTCACAGTATACTATGTTAGAAATATCATTGTATAGTATGTTAAAAATTTCAAATTTCAGTGTGAAAAAAAAATTCCCCTTTTAATATGAAAAAAGTCATAGTATAGTATGACAAAAATTGTCACAATATAGTATCTTAAAAGTTTAAAATTTTAGTGCAAAAAAGATTTCATATTTAAATGTGAAAAAAATGTCATGGTATAGTATGTCAATACTTTATATTTTTTAGTAAAAAAATGCTTTAGTATGAAAAAATTGTCATAGTATCGTTTGATAAAAAAAATCAAAGTATAATATTTTTAAATGTTCATATTTTAGTGTGAATTTTCTTCATATTAAAGTATAATAATAATGTCATAGTAAAGCATAATTAAAATATCATAGTATAGTATGTTAAAAATTTCATATGTTAGTGTAAAAAAATCTTATAAAATAGGAAAAACAGTCATAGTATAGTATAATAAATATGTCATGGTATAGTATGTTAAAAATTTCAAATTTTAAGTGTGTAAAAAATCATATTTTTGTGTGACAAAATATCATAGTTTAGTATGATAAAAATGTCAAAGTATAGTATGTTAAAAATTTTGTATTTCAGTCTGAATATTCTTCATATTTAAGTACGATAAAAATGTCATAGTAAAGCATGATTAAAATATCATAGTAAAGTATAGTATGTTAAAAATTTCATATGTTAGTGTAAAAAAAAATCTTATAAAATAGGAAAAACAGTCATAGTATAGTATTATAAATATGTCATGGTATAGTATGTTAAAAATTTCAAATTTTAAGTGTGTAAAAAAATCATATTTTTGTGTGACAAAATATCATAGTTTAGAATGATAAAAATGTCAAAGTATAGTATGTTAAAAATTTTGTATTTCAGTGTGAATATTCTTCTTATTTTAGTACAACAAGAATGTCATAGTAAAGCATGATTAAAATATCATAGTAAAGTATAGAAAAAATTCATGTCAGTGTAAATAAAATTCTTTTTTAAAATATGACAAAGTCATAGTATAGTATGTTAAAAATGTCTTATTTAAGTATGAAATTTTTTTTCATTTTTGATAATTATAAAAATGTCATTGTATAGTATCCATAAAAAATTGAAATTTTAGTGCAAAATAAAAAAAAAATATTTCAGTATGAAAAAAATGATAAAAATGTCAAATTTTGGTGTGAAAAAAAAATTCATAATCTTGCATGAAACTCGAAGGTCATGGGTTCAAATCCATGTCTGGTATAGTATGATAAAAATGTCATTGTATAGTATGATGAAAATATCATAGTGCAATATGAAAAAAATGTTAGTGTAGTTTGATAAAAAAAATACCATGGTAAAGTGTGATAAAAAATATTATAGTATGGTATGATAAAAGTGTTATAGTATAGTATGATAAAAAAGAAATCATAGCAAGGTATGTGGAAAAATCCATAATGGGTATCTTTGTTGTTTTTATTTCAAACACAGATTATACAAAGTCTCAACTTTTCAAGGGGGAAATGATTCATTCTTCCACTTTCTGGATAAAAGAAATTAAAAACCACTCCATCCAAATTGTAATATATTTATTGGATTTGTCAGACAACAAACAAACAACAGAATTTATTTTCTATTAATTTAAAAAGTCTATTTTATAATTTCTCATCTAGGGTCCTCTGGGTGGTAAAACTAAATTCCATTTTCTCAAAGCAGCTTTTAAGGCACACAGTGGTTTCACTGACTTGCAAAAATTAAGAAAAAAAAATAAAAAAAAAATCAAACTTTCATTAATTACATATACACATTTACACAGCATAAATTGCACAATACCTCAGAACCGGTGCTTATTGTAGTGCGCCAAACCAAAAGTCATGTATCAGTCAGGTTGAGCCTTTCGTCATTGCATTGATCCTCTTGAATAAAGTCTTCTCCATCAGTCCATCAGTCGTGGGCTTTTTCGGCTTTGTTGCTCCACACTGGTTTGCGTTTCTCGATGAAGGCTCTGATTCCCTCCTGTCCATCTCTTAGAGCCAGGTTATCCACCATCACTTTTGATGCAGTAGCATAAGCTGCATCTCGACCTTGAGCCATTTGTCTTGGGAGAACACAGAGGTTAAAATCATTATCTTTTGAAAATCTGAACATAAGACATCCTAAATTTGGTAAATCTGCATTACTATGTTCAATTTGATGAGATTCTGTTGTTAAACGTGGATTTATTTAGATGGTTTTTACATTATACATGATAACAAGGAAAAAAAGGTTTAAGGGGGTCTTACATATTCTCACCTTTGGAAAGTGGCCTTGCCAAGAGCTACTACAGGTCTGCTGGCTTCACAGACCCGCTGGGCAATGGCCAATGTCTCCTCTTCTAGCCGTTCCTCTGGCACCACCTTACTGACCAGACCATGCAGCAAAGCATCATGGGCTGAGATGGGAGTTCCTGTAAACAACATCTCCATAGCAACCTGTTAAAAAAGAGCCCAAAGTGACTCAATATTATTTTTCAGCAGCTGCTGTTATCACCAAAACCTGAAATTAAACACTTTACTTTGTATGATAGAAAGTTCAGCGAGGATTGTTTGACTTTTACCTTTCTTGGCACGGCTCTGCCGATGGCCACAGCTGGTGTTGAGCAGAACAGACCCACGTTGACACCAGGCGTGGCAAAGGTGGACTTTTCTGTAACCACAGCAATGTCACAGCTTGCAACAAGCTGGCAACCAGCTGCCGTGGCAACTCCATTTACCATGGCGATCACTGGGACAGGTATGTCTTGAATCAGAGTCATCACCTATGAGATATGTAAATTAAAGACAAGTAATATTTAAATAAACCTTTACACTGGCACCACCACCTCTGATGTGTTAAACAATTACAATAAATGAACTCTGAATATTTAAATGCATTAATACTGTTACAGAAAGTAAGAATTTGGCCATATGACATAGTATATGTCATAGTATACTATGATAAAAAATGTCATTGTGTAGTTTGTATAGTATGGTATAATATAAATTTCAAATTTTAGAATATAAATGTCTAAATTATAATATTAAATCTGACATTTGAGTATCTAAAAATGTCAAAGTATAGTATGAATTTTTTAAAATTTCAGTAAAATAAAATGGCATAGTACAGTGTGTTAAAAAAAAGTCATAGTATAGTATGATTAAAATGTCATAGAATGGTATAATAAAAATTTCAAATTTCAGTATGACTACATGTCATAGTTAAGTATAATGAAAAATGTCATAGTTTATTTTGATAATTATTTTTGATATTTGATTGGTTTGGTAAAGCATGATAAAAAAAATCTTATTTTAGTGTAAAAAAAAAATCTTATTTTAATAGGAAAAAAAGTCATAGAATAGTATGAAAAAATATCATAGTATAGTTTGTTAAAAACTTTATTTTAGTGTGATTTTTTTTCATATTTAAGTATAAAAAATGTCATAGTAAAGCATGATAATAGTGTCATAGTATAGTAAGATAAAAATGTCATAGTAAAGTATGTTAAAATTTTGAAATTTTAGTGTGACAAAATTTTTTATATATTTGTATGACAGAAAATGTCTTGTATAGTATGACAAAAATGTCATAGTATAGTATGTTAAAAATTTAAAATTTTAGTGTGAAAAAAAATTTATATATTAGTTTGAAAAATTTTCATAGTTTAGTATGATAAAAAAGTCAAAATAGTATCTACAAAATTTCATACTTTAGTGTGAACTTTTTTTTAATATTTAAGTATTAAAATTACATAGTTAAGCATAAAAAATGTCATAGTATTGTAAGATAAAAATATCTTAGTAAAGTATGTTTAAAAATCTCAAATTTAAGTATGAAAAACGTTTGTATAATTTTTTTGAAAGAAAATTTCATAGTATGGTATGATAAAAATGTCATAGTATAGTATGTTAAAAAAATTTAATTTTAGTGCAAAATAAAATTTTATATTTCAGTATGAAAAATATGTCATAGTAAAGTATGATAAAAATGTAATAGTATAGTGTGTTTAAAATTACATATTTTAGTTTGAAAAGAAAATTCTCATTTTAGTATAAAAAAATGGTCTAGTATGAAAAAAAAGTTTATTTTGATAAAAAATGGAATAGTATAGTATGATAAAAAAATTTACATTTAAGTATCAAAACTTGTAAGTAAAGTATGATAAAAATAAATTGAAATTATAGTATTGATAAATGTCATAGTAAATAATAAAAAAAATTGGACCATAGTAAAGTGTGATAAAAATTAAAATTCCAGTTTGAAAAAACGTCACAGTATAGTATGATAAAAAATGTCTATATTATGATAAAAAAAACCTGTTACAGTATAGTATGATTAAAAATGTCATTGTGTAGTTTGATAAAAATATGAGGAATGTGACACATGACAAGATGGTCAGCTGGGATTTTTTAAAGAAGCGAGTGCCTATGGTTAGTATTTAAGCTTTTAAGTACAAGTATTTACAAGCATTATTTATATCAGAGACGGGTAAGACTCAGAGAAGTTGATGTGGTTTTAAATTTTCAAAGCTAAAAGAAAGTGAGGACAGTACAGAAAATATAGTGAGAGAGAAAAAAAGGACCACAAAGGTACTGACCTCTGAACAGGTGTGAAACACCTTTGTATGATACTCTCTGCCCTGAGCTGACGTCAACTCTTTCAGGTCATGTCCAGAGGAAAACACCGGACCTTTGGCTGGTAAACAATCAAGAAAGCAACTAGAGTTTGAAGGTCAGGATGGTACTTTTTAGTTCTTAAAACACAGAAATCCAATTAAAAAAACCTACCTGATAAAATAATAACTCTGAGATCATCGCTGGTGGCTTCAGTTAGGATATTTTCTCTGAGAGACTCCAACATGGACAAAGACAGAGCATTTCTCTTCTTTGGATTGTTCAGTATTATTCTCCTGAAGGACGAAACAGAATGACTTTAAACAAACACTTATGATCGGTTTTCGATTTCATTCATGAGTAGAAATAGTCCATAAGACGCAGGATTGGACCAAACAAATCTGCTGAAGTACACTGTTAAAACACGAAAGGTACTCGTATTTAGGTGAAAAGCACGGATTTTAATACTACTTGTAAAAAGTACTTAGTACTTCAAAAAAAAGCGGAATTATACATAGTATATGATAAAATCTACCTGAGCACACCTGTCAATGCTGCATTTAGACACTTTTTTGTTACTGCACCTTATTCCGTTGCTTTGCTGTCTCACCGTCAGTGGCTCCGGTTCCGTTTGGGAGTAAAACCGGGTCCCTGTCAGCGGTGCTGGTGTCCTGCTCAGCTGCAAAACACCGACAGCTTTGCACAGTAACGAACGAGCCATGTTTACCCGCAGCTGTTCACCTTCTTCCTCTCACTTCCGGGTGCGTTTACGTCACGTCAGACGCAAGTACGTCAACATGAATTGCCCGTTTTTTTTCTTGACAAGTATTTAATTGTGACATTGAATATTAATTACATCAATAAAATGGATCCTGGAGAGGTCATCGTTTGGTCGAATTGATTTTATTTGATGTTTAATTTTATTCAACTATCCTGCAGGATCATTGAAGAGTTCAAAACAAATTTGGATCTGATTGAAATTTCCTTTTTTGACAGTATTTTTACAGCTAATTGTTTTGTGTGAAATACAAATCTTTATCTAAGTGAAGATGTTGGGTTACATGCTCAGGACACAGTGCCTATGAGCTTTTATATTTCTTTATTAGCAATTTGCAGTGCTCAAAAATACAATCTTGTTCTGTAAATAGATCGATATAAAAACTGCATTCATCAAAGGTGACAGGTTAGCATTTGTATCTCTGTATGCACGACTCAACAAATAAGAGCAAAAAGAGAGAGCCTACCTGGAAATCAATTGCATTTATATCAAAATCACACTGAAAGTGAGCCAACATTGCTACTTTTGTCCAAAATAATATAAAATAATTATTAAAGAGTCTTTCTTTCTACTTTTTGATTCATTATTTTGATAACTGATGACAGGACACCTGTGAGTATGAGGACCACTTTATCGAAAAATGTATGTATGCCTTTTTCTGACTTTTTTTTTTTAATTTATAAGTTTAAAAATCTACAAAAAAAGTCAAATTCAAGATTGTAAATTTGTGACATATTTCTTTTTTGTCTTCATGAGGAAACAGCCCCAACTTTGTAAGAACAAACTCATCAATCACAAGAACAGAAAACATAAATTAAAATTTTTATGTTGTCTATTTTCACCTTATCATAAATCAATGTCTTTATTCTTTAATTTAATAGTTCATTGTTTCTTAATGTGTCTTTAATTTCTATTGTACTTTAGTCTTTAAACACAAAAGTGTTGTTTTTTATTTCTCCTCTTCACCTCCAACTGAAAATGTTTTTTCGCACACATTTTGAAATCGCTTCCTCATAAAGTAAATAAATTCATTCTATATTTTTATTCTATATATTCATTCTTTATTGATAAAAAAGTGAAATAAAAGATGTACAGTACTGTGACGTATAGCTACTTGTTAAGACTTCTTGTAGTTTAACTGTGAATTAAATTAAATATAAAAATGTGTCTCCCAAAAAACAGCAAACTAGACATGAAGGCCCAGTGCTCCTTGTTATTGCTTCGATGATTATCAACAGAAATATGGTGTTTGGGCTGAATTGCACCTTTAAGAACCAGATAATAAACAGGAAAAGTGTTGGGAGACGAGTCTGGAAAAGGCAGGAAACAGAAACAGAAGAAGTCCCATCAGAGCAGGAGAAACTCCAACACCCACAATCCTCCTCCCCACCAGGAGGAGCAGAGCCGCCAGCAGGAGGCAGGCCTCATGTCAGGTGACGCCATTCAGGTTCTGGTTCCCCTCAGACGGGGTGAAGAACTGGACTTTAGGCGTCAGGAGCCCCGAGTTGTTTCTGCGCAGATTCCCGCTGCTTCCTCCACCTTTGCGCATGGAGTTGTTGCGTCTCATGGAGTTTCGCTTCCTCAGAGAGTTCTGGTGCGACAGCTCGCTCTTCTGCAGAGTCTGGATCAAGATGGACGGCTTCTCGTCCAGCTCTCTGGCGCTGCAACGTGGCGTCGCTACCTTGAAGAGCAACAATGGAAAAAATAGAGAAGTCAAAGGGTCTCTGAGCAGATCAGAACCATACATCAGCAGTGACTGATATTAGCATCAAACTTCACACAGTCTGTCTTTTATGTAATCAATAATGTAAACAGAGATCTAGCTAACGACACTTACATGTTAAAATTAGTTACAATCAGAAAACATCATTTTCTGTCTCTCCTACCTTGACCGTGTTCCCAAACTTGGAGTAATCCACTGAGTAGACACCCTCCTCCTCTGTTACTATGGGAACGAAGCGGTGACCCCACTGGATCTCCTCAGACACGTAGGAGGTCCGGGCCTGAGTGGTGATCCCGGTAGTCTCAACGACTCCCTCCAGAATGACGATCACCTCCAAGTCGCTGCACTGCAGCTCCATGGCTGACAGGTCGTACAGCGGACTGAGAGAGAAGAATCAAAGTGTCGTTAAATATCAAATAACAGGATGTAGAGAATAATTTTAGTGGCCTGTGTAGTTTAGAGTCGTATAAAACGTTAACTAGTGTGAGTGAAGTCAGAGTCGTACCTGTTTTTGTCAATGACGTGGCAGATGATGAGCGGGGCGAGCAGGAACAGGCTGTTACTGGACACAGCGCTCTCCGTGGGAACATCGATCTGATGGATGGGGATCACTTCGCCCTCTGGAGTGGTCGTCTTCCTCACCACCTAGAATTACAGCGCAATCATTGCTTCATCTGAACTATCAGACCACATTTTTGGACAAAGGCTGTGAGGATTACGAGACTCCTACGTTCCCCAGAAAAGACTCTGCAGTCCAATAAACTCGACATTTGATTAACGGCACACTCGTACCTCTTTCCGCTGTTAAACTGAAATCAAGACAGTGACAAGAGAGCGGGTATAAAGAAGTATAAACACCTGTAGTCTGACAGTCGCTCCTATTATCATGCTCTTCCTGAGGTCTCCAATACGAATCATAAAACACAGACGGTTGTTCCTGACGGCGATCACAGCGTGACGGCTGAAGATTAACGTCTCTGCTCGACGGTTCGACTGAGCGGTCTTCATGAAGATACAACCTGAGGGAACAGTTCACAGGTTATTCAGCAGTGTAAAGTCATCAAAATGAGTAAAACAGAGTTTATCTGTGTCTTAACAGGCTGTCACCTGAAGTATTCCTCTTTCCTAAGGAGAACTATCTATGTGCAATTTTGGCGGGAAAATCCAGAGACTAGCTAACATCGTCAATCAACTACCTTTTAATTCAACACAAACAGCACAAACACAGTGAATTTGATCTTATGATGCATATTTGCCAAAAGCAAATATTAGTAACATTGTGGAAAAATAAGAGACACTTTTAGGAGTCTGCGGTTTCTTTAGCTTGCTTGCTAATTGGGGTAAAGTTATCGCTGCATAGACTTGGTTAACATCGAAAACTTGTAGGTATTAGGGTTTGTTTTCACTAGAAGTTAATATATTAACTTATTTGTAAGTAAATATGAAAAATATTGCAATTTGGCTTTTAGATTGGCTTTGGCTCAACTTTATTCTTGCTACTTCCTGTAACTTTCCAAAAGATGCTTTAGCACAAAGTTAAAGGGATGTTCTTTCATTCTGTTCATTTCTTCATCATTTCCTTGAAGTAATAATCACCATATAAATCATTTTGCACTGCAGACGCGGTAGTTCTTTTGTCTTATCGTCTCGATCTGATTGTATTTCCATGAAGAAATGATCATAAATGTTCTTCCTTGAGCTGCGTCACCCCGCTGTAGTCCGTAATGGACTGGCCTGAGGCCTTGCTACAAACAAACGGCTGCTGGAGGAGAGTAGGTGAGCTGTGTTTAGTCTCTTTGCTATAAAAATTAGGCAAAGTTATAAAGCTGTTTGGTGGTTAGTGCTGTGGCTAGGACCCTATATGTACTGTTGATGAAGTTAGGTGCCGTTCTGAGCATTATTTGTGGCCATAGAGTGGAGTTTTTGTTGAGGTTTGTTTATGGCTCCTCAGACCGCTGTGTATTGCTATCGTGCGGTCGTTACTAAAGTTGGTATAACTAGAGAAGCAAGCGGTCGGCAACATTCATCTCTCGAGGGGATGTCTAACTCAGTGCCTAAGGTGTGAAAAAGTGTCTTCGCCTCACCCAGCATCACAGCATTGATGATCTGTCCAATGATATTCTGCATGATAAGGACGGTAATGGCAGCAGGACACTGTTCTGTTATCATCCGTCCTCCAAAGCCGATGGTCACCTGGACTTCGATGGAGAAGAGGAAGGCAGATGTGAACGACCTGTGAGGACAGTTTGGAGACTCAACTTCAGTTTATACATTTTAACACCAGTATTTTTTTACATCTTATGAACACATTCATGAGGCATGAAGAAGCATTGAGACAGAGTTACAGCACCTCAGCTACTTTGTATGATTAGTTTGTTTGACACATAAACATTTCACAGACTTTTCTCATGGAGAAGCAACATGAAGAAGGAAAGGAAGGAAGGAAGATAGGAAGGTAGGAAGGAAGGAACAAGAAAAGCATGAGAGGGAGGTACCAAACGCTCCCTTCTAGCCTTCTGCACACTTTTCTTTATTTCCCCTGATAATATGAGAGCAAAAGTTCCCGTACCCATAAATAACATCCCTCTTTAACTTTTCCTCAGCGGGATTTAAAAATGGAAAAAGGCGAAGTAAACAGTTTAACAACAAACTCTTATCAAACAAACTTCTCTAAACCACTTTCTGCTCTATTTCTGTCTCTATCGATACTGTGAATGTTTCTCACTCGACTGCGGTGACGCAGCGGGCCCCTGTTTGCCCGGGTGGGTGCAGGTCTCCGTGCGCAAACGCCACCAGCCACCAGCTCATGGCGAAGAGCAGCCAGCTGCTGACAAAGGTGGTGGTGAAGATGACCAGCGTGAAGCGCCATTTCAGGTCCACGAGCGTGGTGAAGACGTCCTGCAGGAATCTGCCCTGCTCGCGGATGTTCTTGTGCGCCAAGTTGCACGAGCCGTTCTTGGCGATGAAGCGCGCTTTGTTCACGCGGTCTCTGAACACCGGCTTACGGGGCATCCGAGAGGCGAGCCCCGGCAAACCGAACTCCTCCGGGATGATGCTCTTTCTCGGCAACATCTCTCGCAACAGCGGTGAAAATAACCAATAAAAGCGTCAAAAGACACCTTTTTAACTTCGCGGAGTGTGCGTCTTTACGCGCGGGTCCAACATGTCCACCTGCAGGAGTACTCCTCTTCCTCTCCTTCTGTGGACTTCTGGAGACGTTGGTCGCCGCCTCCGCTCAGCTGCCCCTCTGAGGACTGGGACGGTCTCCTCTCTGCTTGTTGACGTAGTCCAGCTCCCAGAGTCCAGACCCGCTCAGACCCTGGTGCTGCTGCCTTCAGGGGGGCTTCAGGGACGGTCGGAAAAGAGCAAATTTTGACTTTAACAAACTTTCCAAACAGTTTGAAGAAACCTGGAAAAAAGTTTCACTCTAAGTTCAGACTTTGATCTAATTTTCGGACTTAGATTTGTGATAAAAATCTGTATTTGTGATCTTTAGACATCCGCATTTTTGGTTTTAATTTTCTTCAAACTTCCACATTTACCACAACCCTAAACCAAATGCTCTTGTTCTTTCGAGAAACGCTGATCAGCAAAGAGGGTGGGGTACAATTAAATGTCACATCTATGATGTATTTCCACTTTATAATTGTTGTTGTGGAGTTAACTGAACTTTTCAAGTTGGAAAATGAACCTCAATGTAGATTTACATCTCTATAAAACATATCAAACCTACCTGGTCTCATAGTTTAGTAAAGTAACTCCAGCCTTTGAGAAGTGAATACATGATTTTAATGAAATATTTGGTTATTTTGATTGTTTTAACATGATAAGTCATTTTAAGAAACACATCTAATATCATTATTTCTTCAGTCAAAGATGCTTAAGTTTAAAAATTGAGTCAATTCAGAAGATTTTTTTAAGTAATTAAAAGAAAACGAAGTGATAGAGAAAAGTCTTATTGATCCTGCAAGAATACTAATAATTTAAATCAATGTGGAAATGCCAACATGGCCACTAGGAGGCACCATTTAGCAACAAACTGTGATTTCAGTGTTTTAAGGTTACTGTAGGTTGCATCCAGGGAAAAAAGAAACAGCCCATACCACTCAAAAGCCTTTTATTATCAGTTCAAGTGTAAAAAAGAAGATAGGCACGCCTTATAATATATGTTTAAAAAAAGTTAGATATACAGAATTTACACTTACATACATTTAAAAATACTGAATTAGTCTGTGCTTGTACAAATGTAATTCATTAACAGTCTTACGTGCATTTAAGAGAGAGAGAGTGAAGAAACTGTCAGTGTGTTATTATTAGTATTCGCTGTACGTGCAAAAGTTAAAATAAGAAGTCAAATAAAGTCACATTACTGCTTTAGATAAATAAACTAATACCCAAGCTCACATTTTTTGTTTGTTTTCCTACAGGAGAGAAGAGGATGAGTGAAAAATGTTTGAATAAAACACAAGAAAAAGTTCAGACACAACATGCAACTAAACATTCAAGGTCAGTAAAACATGTCTGTTTCAGGATTAACAAGTCAGGATTAAAAGTAAGAACAAAGAGCGGAGAAACAGAGAAGAGCTGGACAGATAAAGATGAGACATTTGACTTGAAGTTTGAACAGCAACATATAAGTTCACTATCAGCAGTGGAAGCACAATCACTCTCTTGACTGTGCTTCGTATCTCCAGAGTAAGTTTTTACAGAGTAAGAAAACACTGTGGCAGTTTGCCGAGATGAAACAATGTGAGTAAAATATATTATTAAAAAGACTTTTTGCAAAAGATTTTATTGGCATTGAGTCTGTACAGTATAAAGTCAGCTTAAAATCTCATTTAAAAGCATTCAAAGAATAAAATGAAGCATAACTATCAACAGAAATACAAAAAAAAAAGGACAATAGCACCACTTCCAGAGAGAGAGACAGGACGGGGATTTCTCAGCTGCAAGAGGAAAAATTCCGTGTGCCAAGACGTGACTTCCAGGAGATGTCTCGGACTGTTTAATAAGATACACACATCAGACTTTTGTTTCTAAATTTACATTTAACCATGAGGGGAAATCTGAATTCTGAGTGTAACCACAGAGTTCTGTTAATGTTTAACTTTATAATCCGTGTTTAATGTATGAATCCTAACTTCAGACCTCAGGGTTCGGGGAAAAAAACCATTTGGGTAATAATCAGCGAGTTCTGGGAAGAAAAAAAAAGAAATCTGGAAAAAATTTAGACCTCTGGGAAATAAATGCAATTAGTGGCCCATATCTTCCTGAGGGTGAGAGGATTATGGCAAGGTGTGGAGGTGTGAGTTTTACCTTGAAAAATTCTCACTGTATTTTGTTAGAATTCAGCTTTAAACTTTAAGTTCAGTGTTTAAAAACAGAGTAAAAACCTAAAACTTAAAAAAGGAAAATGTAAGAGAAGTAGGAGTGGCCCTGATCCTCCTCCTGACTGTTGGTTTCCAATGATGGGACTAAATCCTTGATTTTTTTTCCCCTATACAATTCTGACAAACAGAAAAACAGAATTCAGATTTTTGAGAGGTGGGTAAAATGTGGGATTTTCTCTGTGGATTCCATATTATATAAAATTTAGTCAAGTCGGAAAGTTTTCTAGTTTTTCCAGAATTTTGACTTTATCCTGATAAATTTGGGCTTTTGTCCTCTAAATTTTGACCTGTTTGCCCCTCTGAATTTTAAGACTTGAGTGCAAATTCAGGGAAGTCATCAGAAGTTCATTTCAGTAATAGGAATCAGATTTTTTTCCTCAGAATTTTTAACCAGTATGGGATTTTTTTTCTGACTTACGGCTAAATTTGATGAATTTGGGGCACTTTCCAAATTTTAAGCTCTATGTCAGAATCAAGAAAAAAAAGGTACAACTCTTTTCTTAAACTATCCTCTTCTGTAGAAAATGATGTAATTATGTGGAGTTAAATGTTAAATCGAGCTCAGTGGATAGTAGTGTTATTTTATGATTAAAGATGCAAAATAAGGTCTTTGCTGCAGATTTGATCAGTTTGGCAGTCTTGGGGAAAGAAGTTAGAATTACATACTTTGGGCTTGTTAAAGAAAGTAAATAATAATTAAAAAACTTCTCATTGTTTGTTAGTTGCTCGATTGGCAAACTAGCCTGTAATGATTATCGTCTGGGTAACGTTTTGGTCACATAAAGCCATTAGAGTTGCTGTTAACATAAAAAGTAAAAGTGTAAACAGTGATGGGTTTGATCTTTTTGAAGACCGCTTGAAAACTTGAAATGAGTTTTCTTCGGATGCTGGATTGAAAAATCTGTCTTTAGTATCTTAGAAATCACTCAGTCCACCTGAAACATCTCTGGATAAAACCACAGCTCACTTCTGGTGTCTATTGTCCCGATGATAATAAGTTCAGCAAAGCATGACTGCAGACAGACAGCGGGTTCACCGGCTTCAGACTGAGCCGGGACACCCTACAGTGTTTGCACTAGTGAAGGATAGAAATACAACTGATAGAACAGACTCAAGGGTGCGGCACTCTTGAGCCACTTTTGATGACTTCTTCTGGTTTTACAGAGCTAGCCTTCTGTCGCTTCTTCTTGATTGGTTTCTGGTATGTTTCCACCCTTTAAGAACAGAGTTGTTTGCTCACCAGCTTCTCTTTGTTTCACTGTTTCATCAGACATCTGTTGATCCTCTTCCACGAACATCTCTGCCATGCTGATGTCATTCAGTGTTGGGAAGTTGCAGAGGTGATTCAAGACGTTGCAGAAAATCCTCTTACGTTGATTTCCTTTGTCAGATTTATGAGGAGAAGAAAGTCCGCTCTGTAGTCCATGTTCGTGACTCATGAGCTCAGAGAAACCTGCAGCCAGGGCTGACTGGATTGATGCAACAAGACTGCAACACCAGTGTCGTTTCTATCAGCGTGATTTCTAATTCAGAACTTGACATAAAATGTGAAAAACAACTCCACCTAACAGTTCCACCAACTTCGCATATTCCTGGTCTTATGATGGGTGGGTCTCGACTTGGCACCTGGAGTCAAACCTTGAGTTTATACACGAGGCCCCCCTGCATCACAGCAGCACAAACACTGCTTATATTAGTTGTCGCAAAGACATGACCGGGCTAAAGTTTGGTGTAAACAAAGATCGAACTCACAGTAAAGACCAGGATGAGCAAAGACCAGTTGGTACAACCCAAAGCCAACATTCATTCAGTTATCTTTAGAGGTCTATAAACTTGTCCCTTTATCTCCTACTATTGCATAATACAAGTGATAAGAAGTGATCAAAGTTATATGTGTTGTGCATAGATTTAAATGTCAGATTTAACAATAATAATAATTAAAGACTTTTAAACTTCTAAAGCCGAAAACATACAGGATCTGTATTGAGCGCGTTCTTTATTTGCACCGTAGAGCAGCTCTGGGTATCGCACAAAGGATATGTATTTGGTGCATAGCAGCAGCGTAGTGCAGCCCCGGTCAGCTGGGCTCAGTATAGAGGAAACAACATGCTCACAACAGGTTGTTTTGCCTTTCTGTGGTCGATTTCCTGCTAATTTGGATATAATTCAGTGACTGTTGAGCCTCCACTATATGTGAAAAAGCAACATGATTTTACAGTTTTGTTTTTTGCAGGTTTACTCGTGTTTAATAAAGTAAACTATGTTCCTTTAAGCTGTGCTGTTACCTTCAGACAGAGTTAGCAGTTTAAAGTCCTTGTTGGGGTCCACATGGATCAGGGATTGACCATCGGATTTTCTGTGTTACTGATAAATCCATAACCAGGAAGTATTTCTCATCTACACAAACTGATACACAGTCGGGAGTCTGCATATGGTGTTTTATTTTGAAATACGAGATGACAAGCGCAGTTTCCGTGCTTGACATCCTGTCTTGAATAATCTTCTCTGTGTGGATTGACGTGTATTGAAAGTGTAGAGCACCAAATTAGACTCGTTGTGTATCTTTAGCAGTGCTGTGCTTGATATGCTTCTGATACGGAGCTGCGACGCGTCCTGTATGCGATGCTGCGTTGATTAGAATGGCAACCTATTTGCTGCATGATCCGCGACGCTGATGATACGCGCTCAAGATGGATCCTGTATGTTTTAGCCTTAACATTTATAAATGATCCAGAGAGGATCAAAGAGAGAACGCTCACTCTTAGAGTTGTCTTTGTGTGTTTCTGCAGTCTCTTTGACCTCTTCATACCTGCTGCAATCAGGACAGTAATCTAATGATGTGTCGATTTTTAACATAATAAAAACTCTTTAAATATCCAGATCTAATTGATCAGATTACTGGTTAAATGATGTATCTGGTGTCTAAAAACAAAGCCAGCGTCTAATCAGCTGACCGTCTGAAAAATTCAAGTACAACTTTTCAAATGTATCAACAGATGATATTTCTGGATCAGGTCTCCTTCCAATGAACACACAGAGACGCCCCTCAGTGTGTTTTTGGCTTCACTGGAGTGTTGTAGTGTCACAGAGGTCTGGTCACCTCATTGAGTAAAAAGTTTGTTATTAAAATAAAAAACGTCTGATCAGTCCGTCAGCGGTCATCTTCCTGAGGACTGACTTTGGTCGTCTACATGTCAGCCTTGACGAATGAAGCAAACATGCCGTCCTCCTGCTCCAAAAGAGTCTCAGGTTTGTCGTACTCCAAAATGTTCCCTCGCTTCATCACGATGACCAGATCGGCTGTTAGGATGGTGTGGACGCGGTGCTGGGGACACACAAATGACAAGAATTACCTCCTAGAAAAGTGGCAGACGCCTTTAAAGTAAACTCAGCTTACACTCATTAATGTTTGCAGTGATACAGTCAAGACCCTTGGTTCTTGAAGTCCTGTACATTGATTAGTTGGTGGTTTCAGTATTGATCTGTGGGCTCATTTTTCACCTTTTCCAACAAACAACAAATGAGCCATTCTACATGGAGATCATTGTCTAATTTTTATTGTTGATCAAGCGTTTGTCATTTTGCAGATGATGTTATGGTTTACATCTGAGGCAGAAGATCATTTGAGTTTAGGTCTGAACTTTCTGGGATTTAAAACAAAGCCTGACCAACCCTGGAGGGACACAGGCATTCATCTAAAGTGAAGGATCCAGTTACTTTTTAAGGTTTTACTCGGGTCCTGGACTATGTCACTTTATCCTAGTTGTAGAAGTCCTGTAAACATTGTGTTTGCTGGTAGATTGTTGGCATCTACAGTAGCACCAATGTTTTTTACATCATGTTGACTGGGCCCCATTTGTAATTATCTGAAGTATTTATCTGCATTATATCTGAATTTAATTGGAATGATACAAGCGAGCAGGAGCGTCTGTTTGTGGGCGGGGCTTGCTAGAGCAGAGAGGGAGGGGAGAGGAGGAGCTGAGGGGAAAACTGGTTGGGAGGGGTAGAGTTTACATTCAAGATTTCTCCCAAAAACTGGCACTTCCTCAGATCCTGCCTACCTCATCTTTAAGCTGGTTGGTTGATGTTTTGTTTTTTTAGATTTGTTCTAATTTCTGCTTTTGGATTGGTTAGTTTATACTCGTAAGCAACATCTGACCACCTCAAATACCACTGGGGGTCAAGTCTCTGGATATATTATTTTGTGGGTCACGGCACTGAAAAATTTGTAATACCCTGGACTACTTGGCTATCATCATATTGTAATTGTTGCATTTTCCCTTTTTTTGTCTGTAACTAAAGGTGAAACCTGAATATGTGCCCAAGCAGTTTGAGGATAAAATGCTATCCAAAATGTTGGGTTTTCTGTTTCAGGCCAATCAGGTTTTACAGACTAGGTTTGGTTTATTTAAGAAGAAAACCTTGTCTGTTTTTAGGGTGACAGTAAAGTACAACAGTTTGAGACCTTGGCTGTTGAATTTGGCAACAAAATGACTAAAATCCACAATCTAACTGAACAGCACAGCTAAACCTCTCTGTATGAAAAAGGCAAGCTTCAGTTCACAGAATTTAATGAAGAAATGTACCCCTGTTCCTCTATCCTTCCCCAAACAAGTGGCATGATTGTGAATCCAAGCATATGAAAATCATTTTGCATGCTCTATTTCTATGTTTCTGACCCTGAAAACCCTGCAAAGTTGGTACAGAGAGGCCCAATTTGCACTGCATGGTACATAAAGTATCTAAGAAACAGCATGCAGTAGTCTTCATTGATACCAACCAGGCTGTCAGTGGCAGTAAGGCTTCAGCAGACCCAGACTCAGCCAGGAAAAAAGGTAGAAAAAAGAAAGGAACAGGAAAAGACAGAGAGAGAGAGAGAGTAGAAAAGAGAGGACAGACGGTGCTGATCTGGGTCTACTTGTGAGTCCTCACTAACACACTGAAGAGGCTCTCCTCTTGTGCTAGCAGGTTAGGACCCGATTCATTTTCCACCAAGATCCCTGAAGAGAAGACCAACACCTGCTCGGCGTCCAAGATAGAGGACACACGGTGCTGAAGGCAGGACGGAGGACAGAAAGCAGGACAAAGAGGGAAGAGAGGAAATAGGCAAAGAAAGAAAAGGAGGGAAGGGTAAAGGAAAGGAAGAAAGACAAGACAAAGAGAAAGCATGTGGAGGAGGAGATAGAAAGCACAAAGGAAGTATAGAAGAAAGACCGAAATGAAAACACAAAAGGAGGGAGGGTTAGTAAGAAAGTAGAAAGAGGGTTAGAAAGAAAGTAAAGAACAAACACAGGACGAGACAGAACCACAGAGACACAAAGTCAGAAACAGAGAGCAGATAAGTGAAGGAAATACTGAGGAGGGCTGACTTCACACTGAAAACACGGAGTGCATTTGGAATATCAGGTGTATGAGTAACTGTGAGGAAAAGCAGTGGGTTTGGAAAGAGGAAAAGCTGCAGGTAAAGGATAAAAAAGTCTGATGCATCCTTAAAGGGGATTTAATGCAATAGATGAACATGAAGCCAAAAGAGAAACAGAAATCTGCATCTATCAGCAGAGAACAAACCCTGATAAATCAGCTACCTGCAGGACTGGATTCAGTCGGTGGTCTGGTCTGAATAAATGTTTTTATTCGCTTTATTTTAGATAATAAAATCAACGGACTGATGAGGAAAACTTACAGCGATTGTAACGACTGTTCTGTCTGCAAACGCAGTCATCACCACTTTTTGTAAGATGTTTTCCTGCAAAGAAAAAAAAGAAAAGATATATTAAAAGTGTTTTTGGAGAGTGAAACAAGCGGAAATGAATCGAAAAAGTGTTGATGGGTCAGGTGTGTGTCTATAAATACAGACGCCTCTACATTCCTGACAACATGAATCCATTGAGGATAAACAACAAAGCTCTCCGATGTCTCAAACCCACCGTGGCCATGTCTATAGACGCTGTGGCCTCATCCATGATGAGGATGCTGCTCTTCCTGACGAAGGCTCGAGCCAAACAGAAGAGCTGCCTCTGACCCACGCTGAAGTTTTCTCCTCCTTCTGTCACCACCGCGTCTGAACACAAACAAACACTTTGACTGAACTCCTCCCCTCCTCATTTTGGTTGTGGCATGTTTGACATGTCATATAAACACTCCTGCTAAGACGCCCATCTCCATTCATGCTTAGAATTTACTATCGTTGCCATGGCTGCATTTATTGAGCTTCTTTTTAAGTCAGCTCGCTTTCTGATTGGTTATCACGTCGGGACATAAATATGGCTTGATATTAGATGTTTAATGGTGTGTTTAAACTAATTTCTTGTGAACACATTATGAGCTGTTAAGCCTCAGTACTTGTGAAATATCAGTTTATCATTGCAAAGACAAAATCAATCAAATCATTTAAAATACGTCCTCAGTTGCAGAATTAGTACCTAGTCCTCCAGGCAGAGTTTTCACCATGTTCTTCAGCTGAGCGATCTCCAGCGCCTCCCAGAGTCGATCATCGGTGCAGGTTTTCTCTGGGTCCAGATTGAACCTGCAACAAGACGACACAATTTACACCTCAGCTCTTCTGCGAAGGTCTGCAGATTTTTTGAGATCACCGCCATAACTAATTCTCTGATTTACTGCGCTGGTAAGATAAGAACAAGATGAGCTTAAGTCTCGAACCAGAGGTCCATTGTCTTTATCAGCTTGCACAGATTTTCTTTCAAACACACTGAATCTCACAAATCCTCGGGCGGCAGCATCATGTGTTTTTCGCAGTTAGATCTTCATTTGCGGTAAGAGTTAAGAACGCCGGGGCTAAAAATGCCAGAAAAGAAGCCAGTGTTTGGTCGAGATCTCAGATGCAAAGAAGTAAACAAGGAGGAATGTGTGTCCGAGTTAAGTGAACAGTTTACTATATCAGGCTTAGTTCTGTAAAAGAAGCTTTTTGTACGAGCAAATCCCCCTGGATAAGACATTAAATGGTGTGATTAACATATCTGACACTTTAAAGTGAAAGAAAACAGTGAGACCCGCAAGTTTTCTTCTTATGGGAATTCTCTGATTCTGCTGCTTAAATGAGATTTTTAGAGAAGAGTGCGTGAAGTGAGAAATTTGAGTTATAGTGTAACCAAATCTGTGTGTTTTCCAGTCAAACTGTGCTATAATATAACAGCAACATCTAAGATAACAGCGAGAAACAGTCACTGTCGACCATTCACCTCAGGCTGACGTCCACATAAACAAGAGCTGTTTTAAAATGCCAACACACACACTCTCCTGCTCTTACTCTCTCACACACGCACATGCAGACACACTCATTATCGAGAGCGGCGTATCTGTCCAAACAAACAGCACATGCTCTTTGTCTTTTATAACAAACACAGAGTCACTGTCTCTTTTCCTAACACAAACACACAGATGCTGTGTGTGTGAGTGTGTGTGAACGACAGAAAGCGACCTCCTCAGCCCATGACGTCTGTGACTAAAGTCAGATTAGGTCCCAGTCAGAGTTCCCACTGAGTTTTAAACCACTAACCCCACAGCTGGGACTGAGTGTCGTCATGTGATCAGCCGGTCTCAGGACAGATTTCTGTTCTCTCACATATTTATTCTCCTGTTGAAAGACTTTGGTTTCGGCTCGTTTAGAGGTTTACTTTTTTTAACCGTCCTGTTCATCTTTAAGTCTGTTGTTTCAACATTGAAACGGCCAACTATGAGTCTGCAAAGTCACTGTGGTATCAGAATTAGTTGTAATATTATGACAATTAATTCATAGTGGAGTCATATTATTAGAAGTCACATGTTGGGAAAATAAACTTAAAGCCTAAGATTATAAGAATAAGGACTTAACGGCATGTGATAATGATACAGGATTAAGCTGCAGTTTTGGAGATCCTGTGGCCGCCCGGGCCAAAACAAAAAATCTAACTGTCATATGCACAACAGGGGACCAGCTGCTGATCTGGTTTCCTTCACAACACCAATCGTTAGCTTAGCTTTGCCTGTGTGTGTGTTCTTGTACCTGATCGATCCGCTAAATAAGACAGGATCCTGCTGGATGATGGACATCCTCGACCTGAGCGTCTGCAGAGGAAGCTTGCAGATGTCGATGCCATCAATGACGATCTTTCCTGTGAGTGAAGAAAAAACAAAAAAACATCATGAGACTTTAAAGTTTTCCGGGGGGCAAATTAAACCTAAAGGGATATTCCGGCGTAAAATTAATTTAGGGTCTAACACACTGTAACACCGAGTTAGACACCCCCTCGAGAGATGAATGTTGCAGTAACGACCGCACAATAGCAATACACAGCGGTCTGAGGAGCCATAAACAAACCTCAACCTAAACGCCACTCTATAGCCACAAATCATGTTCAGAACAGCACCTAACTTCATCAACAGTACATATAGGGTAGCTAGCCACAAAACATCTTTATAACTTTTCCTGATTTCTTTAGCAAAGAGTTTTGTTTGTAGCAAGACCTCAGGCCAGTCTATTACAGACTACAGTGGGGTGACACAGCTCAAGGAAGAACATTTATGATCATTACTTTATCATTTCCTTGAAGTAATAATCACCATAATAATCATTTTGCACTGCAGACGCTGTAGTTCTTCTGCCTTCACGTCTCGGTCTGATTGAGTTTCCATGAAGAAATGATCAACAATAATCAACAAGCTGCACTTAACTGACGTTTGATTGCTTCCACTGATGAAAATGCAAATGATAGACAAACCCCACAAACAGAATCTGGACAGATTTTTGCAAAATATCTAGAAAAAAAGGTCGACTCTTGGCCTTTCAGCATCAAAATCTCCCTTTGAATTTAACTTGTACCTCTAAAAAAAAAAATCTCATTTCACTCCTTGAACATGATATTTCATTTCTCAGGCTGTAAAATCCAGGATATTCTCTGTACAGCTCAGTGAGAAGAGCCATCATCAGGACTCAGCCCTGGTTTTATTTTACTGCTTTATAAGGACATGCTGCTGACACTCTTCTTAATTTACTGTTAAATGAAAGACCCGTCCAGCTGTGTGTACACTAAGTGTGTGAGTGTATGGAAAAAGTGACTGTGTAATCTCATCTCTGTCCGAGTAATCGGTCTGGGAGCTGTCATCTTCATCCAGACTGAAAGCAGAATGATACCATTACGCTTTGAAAAAGCGATAAATAAAAGACGACAGGTTTAAGGCTTTTATAACTGCTGCCTGTAAAGAAATATGAACCAGAGCCTGGAAATGACCGCGAGGAAGTGGGACATGTCTCTCAGTCAGTATGTTGTTATTTTCACCCTCTGATACAAGAGTCCACTTCAGGTCCTCTTGTGGGGAATTTACAAGTAAAACAGCTCACCTTTAAGATTCTTACTCAGAGACCTACAGGGGAGTTTGAAAAGAGCTGAAATATAAAGAGAGGCGGTAGAATAAATATTTCTCTAACATAAACACACACTGCTATTACAAAGAGGAGTTTTAAAGATCACAGGGGAGATCTTTAGAAGGTAATCTAGATGACTGAGTGGCTGCCAGCAGTGCTTCAGAGCCAAACAGAGTCTCTGTTTATTCTGATCTTTGGGTTTTCTCACTGTCACAAATTAGTCTGAAAATTTGAATTTCTTCTTGCATTTCAGATTATTGGTTTTCATTAAAATCATTAAAAGATGAGGCTGGGGCTACAGAGGATTTGTCGTTATGATATACAAAGAGGTTCCTGTCTTAGTCTAGATTAAAAAACTCAGTGCTGCATGTGGATTTTTCAGATCATCAGACAAATAACTCAATTTGAATGAAATAAAGAGTTTAAATTAATTTTTGTTTTGTTTCTGTGGGTTAAATGACGCTTTCACTTCAGAGTTATTTGAGGTAAAAACCTTAAGGGAACTCCGTCTGTGTTATCCTCAAACCCACTGGAGATTACCTTGAGAGTCACTCACTTAAATGAAACTTAAACAAACTCAAACAGTGAAAGACAAAGAGAGATGAGAGAAGGCAGGAATAGAAACCAAAGATGAAAGTCGTGGAAACTGTGTGTGTGTGTAAAACAGTGTGATGGGACACAGGCCCACCTTCAAATATGTCCACCATGTTGAAAAAAGCCAAAGACAGAGACGACTTCCCGCTGCCCGTACGTCCGCAGATTCCCACCTAACAGGAAGAGGAGAAAATGGAGTGACACCCGAACGTGACTTTAGACACTTCAGTGATAACAGATTGTCGGGTACATGCTGAGTGTGGATGGTGTTTGGTCATCAGGTGTCAACTCGCAGTTTAATGGAGGCACCTGGCTGTGAGTTTAAAGGAAAAGACCACATTTAAACAGAAACTGCAGCTTTTTACAAGCTACTGAAATTCCAAACCGTGCATGTTAAGTTCAGTGACGTTCACTGTAGAACAACGTCAGACTGCAGACCACTACAAAACTGATACGTACATCTAACATTCATATTTACAACTGTCTAAAGCTGGAATAATTCTGAACAAACTCTTCACCACAAGAGGAATTTGATAACAAAAAGACAAAAATTGATGGAAAATTTTCTAAATAGTATTTTTGATAAACATATTGAACTGTAAACAGGACCTAGAGAAGATGAAGCCAGATTTCTGAAGAATCAGAGCAGTCAAAGATGATCCAAATATCTATTACTTGAAAGGAAGTGTAGGTAGAAGAGACTGGAAAAAAGAACCTGCAATTGTTTACAGGAAGAGACAGACAGGACTGTTTGCAGCCTTAGTTCTCCAATTCATGCATCAAACTCTTTACCTACAAGTCACACTGCTTTTATAGTACGTTTAGACCTAGAGTGAAGTGACCTGGTTTTAATTTGGGGGAAATTCCCATCAACTATTATTTGCCCAGAACAGCCAGTGGGATTATATCTTTCACATGCATCTTTCTGTCGTAATAATCAAACTTTCAGTTTCATCAAATAACAGGTAACTCCTCCCAAACGATTCTCTGAGCTGCTTCCTCACTTGGCTCTAACCCTGTTGAAGGTTTTGGGATATTTATCAACATGAAGACATGATCTAACTAATGCATAACCAGCACAGTGAAAAAAAGTAGCTATAGAATATCCCTAACACAAAACTCAACATCCCTGAGCTCCAATTCTCCTGTTAGTCCTCTGTTATGAACGACACACGTGTTTGTCTCTTCCTGTATTGAACATTCCCCTCTGCCTATAGATGTGCCACCTCTCTGTGATTTCAGTGTGATGTGAGATCCTTGTGTTCCCGACAACAGAGTGTGAATGACATAACATTATATAGCTGCATCAGTACATTGATAAATACCGTGCTTGAAAGACATTTACCTTCGCAGGAATTTTTGTGTAATTGGTGGCTTACCAACCTAATAAGTCGCACGTGTGCACATACTAAATGATGACCAAATGTCAATAAACAAGTACAATTCATACATTTAGACCCTCACCTGATAAGCAATAATTTAATTTGTCCCTGTAATGAAAATATTAATAACTGATTTTGTTGAATCGATGAGAAAAATTCTGATGAACTGATGAAAAAAATGGTGCGAATAAATGCTGGAAATATGTCATGGGGAAGATTACTGACAGTACTAACAGCCATGATAAAAATAAAATACTGTTCATTATCTCTTTTTACATTTTCAAAGTCAAATTCTACTTTATTTATCCTCCCTGATCAGTCGATCTCTGCTCTGTTCCCTTCACAGCTCTGTGTAAATTACCTTCTGTCCAGGTTCGACGTACGCATTGACGTGTTTGAGCACAGGTTTGAGCATGGGGTCGTAACGCACACACAGGTCCTGGATCTTAATCTCACCACTCTGAGGCCAGTTCTCGGGCACCTGAGAGGTGTCTGCAGGGAGAGAAACAGAACGGTTTATTCCACGTTAGATCAGACAACAGCAGAGGACAGACATGTGTGTAGTTCATAGACCATACCATATAAAGCAGAACACTAACTATCTGCCAACTGTGTGCGCTTCAGTCCTGGTTCATGTAAACGGGAACGTATAGACCATAAAGACAAAGTCATAACAAAGTAGAAATATAAACCAGCTGTAACATTAAAGGCTGCTTTGATCCAACACTGCCAATGCAAACTTATGGTCATGATACCACTGAAGCAAAAGAGCATGAAGTGAAATCTAAAGTTTCTGCAGCCCAGTGGTTTGTTAACCAGCTTCATTGGTCAGCTAACTCACCTGATTTATCAAGACAAAGACAGGAAACACCTGACTAAGATACAGTCGAGCTAAAGGTTCCTATCAGTGTAATCTGTGCTTCGAAAACACCTCAGGAGACCTGCATGCTACTGGCCTCCATGTCGTTTAGCAGTGATGCAGTGATTCTTCATTAAGACGGCACCAAACCAATGTAAATGAGTGAACATACTTATCAGACGTTTCATATTTCTGTATCTTAAAGGGATATTCCAGCGTAAAATTAAGTTAGGGTCAAACACTGTAACACCAAGTTAGACACCTGAAATAAATGCAATAAATGCAGTGGCTAGTGCTGTGGCTGGGACCCTATATGATGGAGTTAGGTGATGTTCTGAGCATTATTTGTGGCTATAGAGTGGCTTTTTGGTCGAGGTTTGTTTATGGCTCCTCAGACCGCTGTGTATTGCTATCGTGCGGTCGTTATTTAAGTTGGTATAACTAGAGAAGTAAGCGGTTGGCAACATTCATCTCTAGACGGGGTGTCTGACTCGGTATTATGGTGTGTTTGACCCTAAAAATTCCCTTTAAATCCTCCATTTTCTTGTTTCATGAGCCAAAATTTTTAGAAAGGGTTTGAAATATTTCACTCCACAAACAACAAAAACAAAAATATCAAACCTCAAAATAAAATTTAAAAAAACATTAAAAAATAATCCATTTTTTTCTCGGTTGCAGGCAATGACAGAAAATTCGAAAAGATCTGGGGACCATTTCTAGACCACATTCAGAAACTCTCATCATTTTGAATTAGCACTCTCCTCTTCTAGTTGTTTTCTTTATGAAATATATTTCTGTGATGTTTAAATTCAGTTTAAACTAAGTTAAAGTTTAAATAAAGTTTAAATTCTTCTCTTTTATGGACTATTTCAGTTTTCAGCGACTTGTCTACATTTGTACTTTTCCTAACATACAGTAGTTCATTTAACTTATTCTCTTTTTACTTTTTATTCCTCAACATCTTTAGCTCCAGAATTTGTTATTTAAGCACAGTAACAGGAATATCCAGCAGTAGACGCGGTTTTCAGGGAAAGGGGATGTTTGTTAGATGACCCTTGTGTTTGTCTGTTTATTCATCATATAATGTTTAATCCTACAATAATCCTCTTCTTGCTCATCCTAGCAGCTGACTGCAGTTCACTAGATTTTGATAAATTGATGAAAAAAAATCCCTGTGAAAATTTTCAAAGCACCCTCCCCCGCCTCTAAATCAGATAACACACGACTGTTGCAGGCTGAAGAAATCCCTGCGTTGTACAAACTCTGTGGTCTACGTGCTGCAATATTACTACAAAGGAAAGATAAGCTCATCATAGCTCTGCTGCTGGCTCGGTTTAGTTTGTTCCTCCCTCGGTTTGAAGAAAGTTTATCAGTCCTCTGGAAGCTTCCATGATGTCAGAGAGGAGGAATCTTTCTGTTCTCAGTCACTCAGGAGGTTTTTGGTTTGTTTTATGGTTTCACTGGTTACTGTAAACTTCAAGGTTAGGACGAGTCAGACAAATGATCCTCAATGAACTTAAATGTCCTCTTTTCGTATTTTAGTATGGGGATTTGTCTTCTTCTTTTCTTCTTCTCAATTATCCTTTTCCAGAAATAGCCGCGCTGTCCTGGTGGCGGATTCTCTGGCAGAGTTTCCCTTTTTTGTGCGAACACTTGGTCGAGTCAGATTAGCTTTGTCCTTCATAAACAACAGTAATCTTTGTTACAAAAAAAAACTGGTCGAAGCTAAAATATTTAGCAGTGTGCCTTGCCAGAACGAGACGCAAGCTGAGTTTGTATTTCACCACAGCAACAGCACATCCCATAAACTTAAAACACAGCTCGTGGGCTCCAAAACAAAAGATAAAGCTGCACACATACAAACCTGTTCACTTCTCACAAAAACATGCACATGCACTGACCCCGTGTTTTGCTGGTTTATGATCTGAGCAGGTTATTCTGTTCTGTTCAACAAATCTGGACTCATCCTCATCTCTTTGAACTTAAAAGTCAAATCCGTTTATCACTGGTTAAATGTTTTTCTGACTCCACATAAGGGGGCTTGTTGGCATAGAGGTCTATGAGAAAATGAGCCCACTTCTCCGTTGACTTGTTCTCATAGTAAGCATTTTCCTGATAAGTGTCGGGTCTTGATCTTTAGTTTCGAGTCCTCTTTGAAGGCACTGTGAAGAGTTTTGAAGTTGCGTTCATTCTGGTGGTCCCTTTCGACAAAAACAGCAATGTTTTTCTAAGATGAAGACTGCATTTCCCACGAGCACCATCACTCACTGTGGAGAAGACATGACTGAGATGCTTCTCATCTATATCTAGTACCCAGTGTGGTTAAAACCAGTCAGATCACTAAAGCTCTCGTAAATGAAAGACTCAGTTACCCATGGATCCTTCGTAGTTCTCGGACTCAGTGCTGAGGAAGCTGTTGACCTTCTTCACAGCTGCCATCTGGACCTCCAGGTCTGCCAGGTTCCTCACGACCCAGTTCAGGTAGTTGGTGACCTACATTATCACGCACAAATGGACCATGTCAGGGTCTCACTTTTAAGGTAGTATTGATATCTTCAGTGTTAATCATGGTGATAATGACCCACAAAGAGACTCTGGGGTTAATGTGAACGAGGTGACTGAACTCTTTCACCATGGATTAAAATGAAGATGTTCATAATGTTCAGCATTAATAGAGTCATTACAGATGTGAAAGCTACCCATGCCATGGAAAACTCATGATCCTCATACCAGGGATGCTGGATTTGCTGAAAACAAGCTGGGTGGTCCCTATCCTCTGGAGTGGAGGATGATCAGTCAGTTCTTCTCAAACTGACTTTGGTCCGGAGAGGTCGCTGCTGTTAAGTGCCTCTCTCTAACTACTTCTCTTTTTATAATCAAGTGTGAGCTGACCCAGACTCCACTACACATTACACAGTCTTGAATTAAAACCCTCAACAAACCCAGTCTCAGGTCCTATGAAAACTAAACCCCGCAGAGGAAACTCACAGTGAGGGCATAGGTGAGTCCGAGGCCCACCAGGCCGTTGACGGAGTTTGGACTTGAACTATATATGGAGGCGACTGCTGCTGTCAGCACAATCACCGCTCCCAGATAGTCCTGAACAGAGAGAGGTGAGCCATTTCATTTGCGATCTTTTCTTTCCCACATACAGTTTTTATTCTTGTAATGAGCATCTGAATGATCTGCTGCATGCATTCAGTTTTACTGTAAGATGGTATAATAAAATAGTTTCTCACCGTTCGGACCTCCAGCCAGCGGTTAGCAGCGGACAGAAACAGGTAGGCTGTGTTGTTGGTGTCCGTGAGCTCCAGCATGCGTTGCTTAAAACGAGCTTCATGTCTGAAACAAAAACACAACTACACATTAAATCCCAAAGGTCGTCAAAATAACTCCATGGGCCCTTCTTTCCCTTTTTTATGTTGTTTGATCCTTTTTTTAAACTCTTTTTATCTTGTTTTTTCTCAATTTATTTTCTTACTTCATCTGAGTTTTTAAATCTTGATCTTTTTAACCTCAAGCATCCTGTTTGGACCCAAAAGGGAGTGATAATTAAACAAACTGAGATAAGTGCAAGCAAGATGTAAAATGTAAAAAATAACAACAACAACAAAAAGTAAATAATTATTCTAAAGGATGAAAAAACCCACTTTCCTTATTTACTTTCTGAACAAGACCATGTTTCCACGGAGACCAGCTGATAATGAAAACGTGCAACAAACCACATCACTGCTCATATTCCCTGTATCTGCGTGTGTGTGTGTCTGTGTGTGCTTGTGAGTCCATCAGTGTTGTATATATTTGTGTGTGGAGACAAAGAAGCCCGGAGGGAGAAGACGAGAAAAAATAGCATGAGAGCGGTTTAATGTTGGATTACAGCAGCGATGGGAAAGAGGGTGAAGGCACAGGGCAATGCTGCTGCTCCTGTTCTATTTTAACAGCCACAAGGTGACAAAAACAAGTCGGTGTGTTATACTGTGAGTGTGCGAGTCTGTACCTGAAGGCTCGAATTGTCGTGAGACCTTCAGCCGTCTCAGAGAAGTGGCAGAGCAGAGGGAGCTGAGTGGAGTCATCCAGGTCTTGCAAGTCTCTGAGAATGAGGAGATGTGTATCATTTATAGAGTACACACTGTTGCTTATGCTTATTTTTTCACATATGTCATATACACAATCAGTATCTTTGTTATTCAAAGATACAGCAGAAGAATTCAACACTGTAAGAGGAGTCTACTAGCTTTAAATCACTTCAAATGAATTAGTTTGCCTCCTGTTCCTTCTTCTCTGCATCTTCCTACATTCCCAGATTTACCTGAGTACAAAAAGTAAACGTAATGGAGTCTAACTACAAGAATGTTCCTGCTGTCTCACCTTGACGCCACCCTGAAGTACTTCTGGATGAAGTAGAAAGTGACTGCCAGAGGAACCAGAGCGATGAGGAAAGCTGGTGTGATGGAGGAGATGACCCCGATGGCCGACAAACAGAGCAACGTGGATCTGGTCAAAGACTCGAGTGTTGGAGGAATGTGCTAAAGAAGAAGAGAAGAAAGAGGCAAAGTGTGTTAATTTATTCTTACATCTAGAAATACATGAAACACTCACTTAAAAATAATCATGAAATAGTTACAATTTCTCAGTGTGTCTAAGGAGAAATAAAAAAAAGTGTACATACTTGGTCAATGATGTTGGTATCAGCTGAAAATCTGTTGAGGATCTGACCCAGTGGGGTGATGTCAAAGAACCTAAAAGACAAAAAAAGTTAATTTATCTTATAGCAAACTGCAGTGGTGATTAGTCCTGTTAATAACTTACAAACACAAAAAGAAAAAAAAAAATCAAAAAAACAAATCAGGCAACTGGGGACATGGGAAGCGTACAGAAAGTGAATCTTGTATTTGTAGCCGATAAACAAAGCGTTATAGCTGTACTGAATTTCTTCCTAAGTCCTGTCCTGTCCTGGGCTTTCGATACAATACGATACAATACGATACAATACGATACGAAACAATACGATACGAAACAATACGATACGATACGATACGATACGATACGGTACGGTACGGTACGGTACGATACGATACGATACGATACGATACGATACGATACGATACGATACAATACAATACGATACGATACGATACGATACAATACGATACGATACAATACGGTACGGTACGGTACGGTACGATTCGATACGATACAGTACGATACGATACGATAAAATACGATAACACAAGATAATACAAGATAAGAACATATATGATACTATATACAAAACAACAGAAAACAATATGATGTGATATAACATGAAATGAGCTTCCTGAAAGTACAATTTATGGTACAGTTGTTGTACTGGATTGCCTTAGATTGCACAAGTGTACCCAATGTGTGGCAGATACAGTACATTACTGCATAAAGCACAACATATAAAACACTTATTTAATTAATACTTTTGTAGTGCCTTTCAAGATAATATAGGAGTTGAACAAAAACACAAACGTAAGGAAATAGAGAACTTTAAAACTTCAAGAGTGGACCTTTGCTTCTTAGTTTGGGTGTGTACCTGATAGGAGCGTGGATGATCTTGTTGAGCAGATTGTGGTGCAGGTTAGTTGCTGCAGAAAGACCCAGAAACTCCACAGTGAGGGAAGTAATGAGGCACAAAGTGATACCAGCCGAACACAAGATGATGAATACAGGAACGTAGTAGGATTCTTTCTGTAGGTGTAAAACACCCACACACACACACACACACACACACACACACACACACACACACACACACACACACACATACAGTCAAACTTGCAATTCAGCACCCTTTGAAAATCTGTACAAACAATGTCTGACAGTACCTCTGGGTCAGTTGTTGTGCTGTTGTTGTAGGAAGTCCACATGGCCAACCAAAAGTCGATAGCGACTATGACAGAGTGTTTGAGAAGTTTACAGAAGACCATGAGGAACACCATGAAGAACCCACCAGAGGACATGTAACACCAGCACACCTGAAGGGGTCAGGTTGACATTTGCATAAAAAAAAGCAAATGAAAGGAAAGTTGATTGATTTAAAGAGGAATAACAAAAAAAACATTATCCAAAAACTTGTGATTGATCCTGAAGGATTTTTGATTACCCTCCATGGGATCTTGGATCTTCTGTTGGTGGTTGTTGACATGTTATCATCCTCTTCCTCCTCCTCTTCCTCCTCTGGTGAAATAAAACAAGGAATAAACTATAATCCACGCCAACCTAATACAAAATACAGCCTGTGCTAAAAGGGAGGCCACAATTTGAACAATTAGACAGTGACAAAGCCTTGGCTCCAACTGAAAGACTGATTTGCACATACCGTGGAATAATATGACTTAATGTAAGTATCCATTTTAGGATTAGCCTCATAATATGACTTTGAATGTGCAGAATCTGCTACCTTCATCTTCGTCGTCCATCTGGTTCTTGGCTTCTCTGGAGTAAAAAGCTCTCCTCAGAGTTTTCCTCTCTAAGGTGGTTTGGCTGTCCTGCTGAATGTCCTACAAACAGCACACACACATACACACACACACACACACACACACACACACACACACACACACACACACACACACACACACACACACACACACAAACATGAAAAAATAACCTGGGAAACGTCAAATGATTTCACTTGCACAGAAAACTCTTTCGGCGTTGTCAACAATCACAAGTTATGTGATGTTAACCTTCTCCAGCTCCTGGTCTTGTCTGTTCATCAGGGTCTTCCAGTGATCATAAAGCTCCACATCATGAGTCTGAATGTCCTTCAGAGTCCCCTCCCTCAGCACAGAGCCGTCCTTCATCGCAATGATCTGGACAAAAATAGAAAGGTGTCCTGAAACAGCCTCAGAGATTTTAAGGTAAAGCATGGACTGCATATTAAGACTGATGCTACAAAATATCCAGAGCTCCCCCTACTGACTGGCTGCAGTATAACTCATAAGCCCCGTCTTCCTTGTGTTAACAAGTAGGACACAAGAAAAACCATAAATTATTCTAAGAGATGGTTTCAGACATTACAGTGGGTCCTTTTCATATTAATTTTTGCTCAAATGTTAACTTTTCTGCCAAATTTAGTTTTAATAATTTATTTGATTCTAAAAAGAAGAGTGATAGACAGCTTTTGTCTTCACTTTTTGGGAGCTGCCATGTCATCCATCTCTTTCTACAGTCTACTGTGAAAAGTTTGAGATTCTCACCCAGTCTGCGTGTATGAGGTACTGAAGTTTATGGGTAACCAGGACCACAGTTCGTTTGTCATCCTGCAGGAACTTGAGGATTCCCTCCTGCATCAAGTGATCGCTCAGGTGGATATCCAGAGCTGAGAAGGGATCGTCCTACAGAGTGTAAGTTAAAGAAGTTATTACACACAGTCCTCAGTGTAAAATAAAGAAGAAATACAAGGAACACATACAGCCTCTTAAACATATTCAAACATGGCTACACAGGGAGCTAAGTGGGTGCTAACGCCTAGCTTCAGATGAACTGTGTAAAAAGTAACACCCACAAGCTGGGTCCAAATTCAAATACTGGAAAAAGCAGCCAAAATGAAATGCTTTCCGCAGAGGCTGAATGGTGTTTTTAACGATGGCACTACAGGACAAATTTAGATTTTTTGGGCTTCAAGTCATGCAAAGTTGCTCTATTGGTGTCCCAGACTTACATAATGAAAGGTGAAAACAACTGGCTCTACCTTTTAAAAACTTCTCTGACTTGTTGTTACTGTAGTGCTCTCTCTGTCCTGTGCCCTGGGGGTCTTTGCTGCTGCTTTTCACATGCACACAAAAGTTGAAACACAATCTCTAAACCAGTTTTTAAAAAACAACCTAAATGTGCAAGTTTCACCTGATGAGCCTCTCCTCTTCTTAAGTTATTCCCCGGAAACATTGATTGTCTGTAACATCCTCATATGAAATTGATTTTCTGAGGATGGCTTACCAATGAACACTTAACCCTCTGCCTATTCCCATTAATGTCTCTATTGCTGAGCGCGTCGATGTTAAAGCATGAGCTATAATGTGCTAATGGGGCTCTGGCAATGATTAATTGATGTATTTTATGATGAGCGTGTAAGATGATGAGATAAAATACAATCTTGTGACGAGATATAAGGGCCTGAGCATCCGCACTTCCCAATGAATTAAATCTAACAAAGAAAACATCCCATCCTTATTATACAGCACGATTCCCTCTTTTTTACTGCTTCAGACATTACAGAGTGTGATGAATGTATAAAGGAATGTCATTGACAGCTTTTAAAGTGAATAAATGCTTGATAACCAATTAGAGATTGTGGTTTCAAGAGGAAATTAGGTGATGACTTAGGAAGAAAAACACATGACGGCAAGGCAGAGAGAGGAGTGAAAAAGAGACGGGCACCTCCTCATCCCAAAAGTCAACAAGTTTTATCTGTTTTATCATAAAGAAACAAGAAGGAGTTCACTCTAATCCAGTAAAGAAAGGGTGTTACTTAATCTAATTCTGATTTTCATACAAAAACATTGTATAGACACTCCCTTTATGACTGAGGAGTTATCTCAAACATGTAGTGCATGTGTAAAGCTCACCAAGAAGACAATGTTGGTATTCTGGTAGAGAGCTCTGGCCACACAGATTCTCTGTCTTTGACCTCCGCTTAGATTGATGCCCTGATTTTAAAAAACACAAGGAATAGAGCATTTTTAGAATTTTGAAAAGCTATATTGCATTACTCTGTCAATCAAGCCAAAAGTTTAACATCTCCATACCCTCTCTCCGATCTCAGTCTGGTCTCCAAAAGGCAGCAGGTCGATGTCAGGCTGCAGAGAGCAGGCGTCAATCACTGCTTTGTACCTGAAAAACATAACATTATCATCAGAAAAAGAGGTAAAGCTCAAGTCGTTTTCATCATATCATAGATCTCAGTGACCTCCACAGTCTGCAAATTAACAAGAAATAAATGCAGAGTGAGATGTTCGCATATGAACCTATGATGAATGAGATTAGAAGTGATTAAAGCATCAACACAAGAATGGATGAAGTGTATTCGTACTCCTCGACTTTGTAAATAGCTACTCCCTGTGGAGTTCATACCTCTGCTTATTGAAGGGGCTTCCAAAGGTGATGTTTTCCTCCACTGTAGCGTTAAGCAGCCAAGACTTCTGGGTCGCATAGGCCACAGAGTTTCTGTTCTTGCTGGGTGCATTATGGGAAACAGAGGCAAAAAAAAACAGGCAAAGTAAGAACTACTAGTTGTGCATTCATAAAGCTCTAGAGCGCAGGACTACTGATCTGTTTGTAAGAGTGTAAAGCCTTGAATCTTATTTTTTTTAATATAAAAGCTCATTTTAAAACTGCGTTCAGAGATAAAACTACACTATCTTTTAAATATATATAAAAAAACTTTAATTTAAGTTAATATATCATCGTTTTTTTAGATACTATATCTAATTATTTGGCAAATTTGTCACTTGGATCACTGAATCACTTTTAAGAATTATTTCATCTTTCAGCGTTTTTGTTAATCGACTTGAACCTGATCAGTATCCCTGTCCTGACAGCTTTATGAATGACACCCAAACATAGAAAAGAGGACGAAAGGGAGGATTACGACTTTGAAGCTGTCAAACTGCACTGCAAAAATGAAAAATACTGAGAATGAAATACGGACCATGGATCATGGATCAGGTTAAGGATGAGCTGCAAATCATCACAATGGCAGCAACGACGTCAACGACAGCACCATGTACAGCAACACAAGCATCAATAAAACATTGAGGCAACAACAACAACAACAGCAGCACACTGCTGGGAGTCTGATTTAGGGAAGTTGTATCTTTGTGCAAACACGATAAATACTTCAAAAGAATAAATAGTAATCTGTGAAAACGTTGTCTTAAGATTTTAAAAACATACTTAAGAAAAAATTAAACAAGCTCAAATCTTGTAACATCAAACGAAAGTTTTTCTGTTACCATCTTGTTTTCACGAAAAGAATTTCCAAAAGGTCATGAGTGAGAAAGTGCTACAAGGGGGGCATTTAGGCTTTTCAAAGAAAGCTATTATCTTTTGGAAAGGAATGAGTATCTTGCAGAGAAAAATCACAATCTTGTGCACACAAGACAATTACCTTGGTCAAAAACTGATCTTGTGCAAAAAACTGATCTTGTGTGAGTACTTCATCCTTAGAGGATAACAATTACTTTACAGAAGTTTGCACAAGATAATAATTCACTAACAAAAGATAACTATCTTGTTCCCACAACAAAAAAGGCTTTTCACACAATATCCTGCACGCACTTTTCCCCCAAATATAACAGTTATTCTTTAGATTTCTTTAAGGCACCAAGTTCTGTCTCTCCAGCAAAAGTTCTCACACTGTTGGAAAAAAAGAGTATCTTGTGGGAGCATGTTACAATTGTGCATAAACAAGAAATACTTTTTGTGCATAAAACAGTCATCTTGTGCAAGTAGGTGATCTTTGAGGAATAGTTATAAAATTGCTTAGTCACCCACAGAAGGTATTGATTTATACAAGAAAACTATCTTGCGCCAACACAATTTTCTTGTTCACACAGGATTACTGATTTCCAAAAAAAAGTTTTTATGTCAAACTAAATAAAGACATCATTTTATCCCTGAAGACAAAAGTTATCATCCTGGAGGAGCAAGTGATAATCTAGAGAAAACAAGATAATTATTTTGTGCAAAAAAGTTCAGACATGCAACTTGTTTATACAAGATAAATATCTTGTTTACATGGGACAGTAATCTTGATTTTACAAGTCAACAAACTTGCTAATGCAGATTAAAGCTTTCACTTTTTTTAGACTATTAATTGTCCTTCCAGGCAAATCAAAGTAAATTACCTGTGATTTTTTATAAACTGACCATACGCAAATGTTTCCATTTAATTTTTCTGTCTGTTTGCCTTTTTAAATTAAAGTTTGACTCCCAGCATTTAAAGCACAACTTTCTACACAAAACCACTGATGAACTGAAGAGGAGGGGAGCAGCAGCAGGAGGAGGAAGAGGAGCAGGTAGCACTCTGAAGGCTGAAGCTGTTGTTCCTGGACACACATGTTAACATGATGCTGCTGCAATAGAATGGCTGCAGAAGCAGGATTTGGCCTTGGATGCTTAGAGTATAACTGTGTATATATTTATATCTTTTAATACAGGAGAAATCTTTACTGTGTGATCGCTGAGAAATGTACTTTCATATTAAAACCACAAATGTTGTTTTCAAACTGTACATGGTCATCAAAATACTGGATTTCTTTCTGTTGTATGATGCCAATACAAAATAGCTTCATGAAAAAAATATGTGGATATATACACTTTTTGATTTTTGTACCTCCACAGTTGTTTCAATGTTGTCTCTTTTCTTTTTTTGTTAAAGCTGCATTAATAACTCACACAGTCACATTTCACATAAGAAGTTTATACTCAGTTTTAAAGAAATCACTATTTACAAGAAAAACAAACTAGGAATTAAAAATAGCAGACTGATGCACCAAATGCAGCCGCTTTGTTTGTGTACATGAACAACAGCCTAAAATACACTACTTGGAAACAGCACTTGCTCCTTGGAGAGGTAAAGATGAAAATTAGAGTTTAATCAAAATGCGAGTCAGGGGAGGAGAAATGAATGAGGGGTCATTTGGGATTACTTCACATCCAAAAAGAGGGTGGGAGACGGGAAGAAGAGGGTATACCTCCTGAGGTCTTCGTCAGTCTCCTCAGGCTCTGACCAACTGTCAAAGTTACGTCAGTGTGTTAAAATAATCCTGAATAAAACTGTGTGTTCATTTGTGTGTGTTTGTGCTGGTAGAAATAGATGACACAGACACAAACAGAGACGGACAGAGAGAGCGACAAACGTCTTTTCTGCTGACAGAGACAGAACACCAACAAGGAGGGAGACACAGAAAGATGTCGGAGACAAACAGGAGAATGTTTTCATGCTCTGATAATGAGACTATAAGGTTAGTTTGCTAACTGAGTTAACTTTCCCACCCAAAAAGGGGGAGCCATGTAAAAGACATGATGCAGTCACTGTCTGTCTGTGATAATTAAGTTTGGTGGCTTCTTTGACGATGTCTCAAGTTCTTTGAGCATCTCGGGTGAAAATAATGACTGAAAAAACATCTGCAATAAAAGTCTAAATGGAGCTGGATGGCTCTAGGAAAAAAAAAGGTATACTGTAGTTTTGATTAATTTTTTAAAAATCTGTGAAACCCAATGAGGAAAATTTCCTGGCACAGTAAAAATAAATTATAAGAAAAAATGGTCAAAGTATTAAGGAAACATATTTCCTGCAAAAAAGTTATATGATAAAAAAAAAGTTGTGAAAGTGGTCAAAAAAGTTTGTAACACGGTTAAAATGTGAAGTGGTTATATTTTAGAGATAAATATGATGTAGTATTAAGAGGATAAAGTGAGAAAACAAACTGAGTCTATTCATAAAGTCAGTCTATGAGAGGACCTTGAAGTATTTGGCTTTTACTTAAACATAACATAAAACATTACACAACATTATTCTTGCAGTGTTTTTATCGAATCCTCTAAATCTATGATTTTATTCATGTCTTCTGTGCAGTAATAAAACTCTTATTTTTCTTTAGTTTTCTGTTCTGAGATGCATTTTTCCAACTACAATGAAGGAAATTATAGCTACTTAAATTTAACATAAACAATGTTAAATAGAGGAATCAGTCAATGGCTTAGATGTAAATGTGATGGTTTAGAGTCTGTATGAGAGGTGATGATTCAAAGAAGAAGAGACCAGAGAGAAAGTACCTGATGTTCCACTCGTGGACCATCTCATAATCAGGCAGCCTGATGTGGTAAGAAGGCAGGAGGTGAAGAAGTAGAAAACCAAATACACATTCACACAAACATAGTGAGTTTCTCACGCACATACAGATCAGCACACACTCACTGCTAACGTCACTGTGCAGCCCTGCAGGTTATGGATACTCATATGACAAAGATGTGGATTTATAATCCTCAGGTATTGTGATATAAGATTTTTAAAGCATGGGATAAAAGCACTGTATAAAGCAGACATGATGATGGACACACAAACTTCCTGTAACAAAGAAGAGAACAAAAACTGGAACAAAATCTTTCCAAAGGTCGTAATCAAGAGGTCTCAGAGATGAGATAAAGAGGACTAAGAACTAAGAAAAAACTGAGAACTGATTTTAAACCCCGAGGCAGAGTGTTAGAAAAAGTTTGACAACAACAACCTTAGCGGAGGTACTACATTTCTCATTAGTGCTGCTGCTAATTCACCAAAACTTGCAGAAAAAGTTTCAAAAGATGCTTCATTGTCTTGGTCAAGATTTCTGACTTTCTCAAAGAAAACTGAGTCACAGCAAAAAGCATCAAAGAAATCCATAAATGGTAAGAAAAAATGTGAAAAAGGTCACTCATGACGTGAACACTTCTGACCTATTTCACTTAAGAAAGAAGTACAGCGGTATTACTTGGCTAATGAGCCCGAAGCCCACCAACAGATCCAGTTTAATAATACAGGAAGGACTCTAATCTCATTCACTGTTACAGCGGCCATCTTAGACAGCTCATTATTCTCTATTGTCAGATACTACATCTCATCAAGTCCATATTAATCTGGAGACTCTAATAAGCCCTTGTTTTTGCTGTTGTGCGTACTCCACCACCCTGTATGCCTGTTGCCACGGTAACAGACACATCCAGCGACAAACAGACAATAATACTGCTAATATCAGTGTCACTTCATAATGAAAGCCTCTTTTGAATAATTGAATATCCTCATATAGTCTTCCATTAAACAGAGAACATATTCACTGACAGTGTCATGATGATGAAGTTAACACAGAAGATTATCTCACCACTAATTTAATAAAACCTTCAGAGAGGGATTGAAAGTACTTTGATGATGATCTACAAAATTACTCGACCCACAGCTTTGGTGGCAGAAAAACAGCTTCAAAAATCTGATCTACTTAACTACAAACAAGCAGACCTTCATTCAGAATATTAAACTTTGCTTTAAAAACAACGTGGTTGCTGTGTCTTACTTGCTCCAGTGGACTCTTCCATCGATGGTCTGCATCTCCCCGAGCATGGCAAGCAACAGGGACGATTTCCCACAACCCACCTGGCCCACTATCATCGTCAGCTGACCTGAAGAGACAAATATGGGCGAGTATTTATGTCTGCTTCTGATGCAATATTTATTTGTCTTTTACAGATTCGATTAACTTGGTGTGAAACGTTTACATTACGATCTCTGATGATCCAAACCCAGTATACCAGTATACTGTGTGTTGCAGTTCGATTGTACCAACCCGGCCCTCCTGTGTGGGGTCTTTGAGGAGCTTTGGGCTGTACCTGACTAAGAAGGAGTTAAACGTGAGGAAGAGGTTCTGGGGTGGACTGTGACACAGAATCACTTTAGACTGAGGCGTGATCAGGAAGTGAATCTGTGTGTCATGATGGGACTCTGTAGTCAAGGACTTCAAAGAATTAAGACACTGACAGGCATGAAGACTGATTTATAAATCAGTAATCTTCAAATTTGAGGATTTTCAAATGTTTTTTATCTATTTATTTCTTATTTCTGCCTGATGCCCTCTGTCTTTTTTGCTCATGTATGAACATATTTTTAATTCAGCGCTTAAGTTTGCCTCATGCCATATTTCTTTAACTCCACTGATGTTATCTTGTTTTGTTTTTAAACTCTGGAAAGCACTTTGCATTGCTTTATGTATGAACAGTGCTCCGTGAATAAACTTGCCTTGCCTTGCCTAGATTTAATCCGAAGTTCAGGAATTCACTCAAACAAACATGTACATTTTTGTCTGAATCTTACTAGCTGCCGCCCACAAATATAAGCCACATGCTCTTGTAAAAACATGCTATTCTTAATTCACAGTTTTCAACGGGGTCATGAGAATTGTATGACCTCCACGGTGGGGTCAAAGGTCAGAAAAGGCTCAGTTACAGAGCTATAGACTGAAGCTGTACAACAAAACAACTATTTAATACTCGATCAGAAGCTGTAAGACATGTGTACATCCTTTAATTCCTCTGCTCCGGTGACTTCACTCCCTCCTCCTGCCCTAAATTTATCTTTCAGTCCTGCAAACCTCCATTCAACCTGAAGTTACTCACTGTGACTCCAAACTTAAGCTTTATCATTTCAAAGTCCCACTGACAACATGATTCACACACAAGTTCAGAAAAAACTCAACAACACCAAACCGGCAGCGCTCCTGTTTGTGTTGTAGTAACATAACTGGGACAGCAAACAAGTCACTTCTCAGAGGATGAAACCTCTGTGTGTGTCAGCGAGTGTGATATACTACACGGTCCATCTGTTAGCAGGCTGCACTCTGGCTTGGTCCCCTGACACCTAATATTTTAGTAACATTACTGCAGCATTGCTTTAAGGCTCTCACGCAGTGATCTTACAGCATGAGCACGAACTCGACTTTTCCCCCACAGGCAGAGGAGGAAAAAAAAGCCTCACTGACTCTTTGCCGTAACATAATCCTCCCACCTGTTGGGATACGGATGTTGATATCAGACAGCGTGGACAGGTTACTCCCCCAAGTGAAGAATCCATTAGTTACCTAAACGAAAACAAAAACAGAAACAGAGTTATAAACTGGTTTACATTTAATAACTTACTGTAAATTGAACTTGTGCGACTCGTGTCTACGTGTTGTTTTCTTCTTTTGTGTGGGCCCAGTGACGGAGAAAAGCACATGACTGACTTTATGACCTGACCTTGAGTTCAAGAAACCCAAACTTTGAGTTCACTGGTGTGAAAACTGAATGACAGACTCACGCTGAGCTAATGGTGTCCAGAGCTGATTAAAAAAAGTAAAAAAAAGACAGATTTTAGGAAGTACAACAGCCTAGGGTGTCTAAATGAGTTTTTCCACTCAGGCTTGTTTATTTGTGGAAACTGAACTTGTGTCCTTGTTTTTGTAACATTTATTTACCACACAGGCAGAGTGAGATTTCAAAGATGAAGTTAAAAATCCCACCACACCTAAAATGAACTCGTTTGGTCATTTACTGTCAAACAGCAGAGAAACATGTTTGACTCCTTCTTATCTAATCCTCATCTGTAACCCTGCTTCCTGTTATAACTCTGTTGACATTCCTCCCATCAGTTTAATTTATTTGTTTATTTTAATGTTTATTTTTGAGACCTCGCTCCACAAACACGTCCTCCCTGTGGCACAGCTCCCAAAAGACATCCAGGAGATAGAGATATCTACCTGTTATAAATCTGGTAGTTCTGGTTTGATGATAATGTTGTCATCAGGTTTCAAAATCAGACTAAAATTAAAAGCAGAGGTTAGATGATTATATTTAAAGAAAAAGGGTAAGAAAGATCAGATAAGTGCAGAAATAAGGATGGAAAATCAAGATGGGGAGTGCATGGTAAAAATGAGGACATTTGGGGTTAGACGTTATAAAGCAAAGTATAGCGGGTAAACAATGAACAGAAGCTGTCGCAAAAAATCATGTTTAACTAGATGAGCACAAAATAAAAAACACTCCCTGTGAATTTCTCTCTTGGAAAACATCAAAAAAACTTTTTTCAAAGTTTTACAAAACAGACTTTTCTGCCATGGAGCAACAACCACAATTACCTGTGTGACATAAAGTATCTTTGAGGCACGAAAATGTTATAAATGACCGTTTTGTAGTGTTGGACGTAAGAACCTGGAGGGTTGACTTATTATGACAATAGAACAAAGAAAAAGCTGTTATCTCAACTTCTTAGACGCAAGACTTACCACATGACAAGAGAGACATTTACTATGAAATAAACTTGTGTCCTGACGTCATAAAACCTGCCCACGAGTATGAAAAAAAAAAAAAAAAAAAAAAAAAAAAGCTTTTCAGGATTTGGGTTAATATCACCAACACTCAAAATTAATGATCTGAGTTAAGTAGCCCCAGACTGCATTAAACATGAACACCAGAGGGTGCAGCTCAGTTTGGAAAGTAGACGCCTCATGTTCAAGGGCTACATCCCTCGCCACACCTCGTTAAGTTCTGGTCTTATCTGGTGGACGTTGTTTCCTGCTTTTCCCCACATTTTCTGTCCCTTCAGTTGTCACAAACCAAAGGCAAAAAGCTCAAAGAAAAAAAAAATGTAGTCTCTACAATGTCACCTATAAGTTGCCTTATTGGAAATGGCAATTCAACCTTTGATTATTCTAGAAACAGGTAGTATTAGGTGGACCCGAAGCCAATTTGCAAGCAGTAGTAAAAATATATCCACCAGTATGTCAGATAAGCCCCGCCCTTTTTCATGCCTCCATATATTCGAAACAGGTGCATTATTTAAATACTCATTCACAGTTTTTACACACAAACATTTGAGCCGATGAGACCAAAACAGTTTTTGAGCCAGACTACAAACATGAGAAGTTTCACCAGGGGACCAAATGTGGATGCCTTGGCTTTTTCACTTTGCCCCAAGTGGACGCTAAAGGAGCTGCAGTTCTCCCAAATTGGCTTCACTCCAATAGCAGAGGCTGCAGCTTGATTATAACCCCAAAATCAAACTCCTGCATCCATTCAACACTTTCACTGAGGAAAATCTTGTACTCATGCAATGTTCAGAGAAAAAAAAAAAAAAAGTGAAAGCTTTTATGAATGAAAATCTAAAAAGACAAATCCCAGAAGCCTACGTGTCGTCCGACTTCTTTCTCTTTCTCTCCCTCTAATTAACAGACCTCAGTCTGGTCAGTCGAGTCGCTCCGCAGGGATGAAGCAGGAAGAGCGGCCTTCACAGAGGGGCCACAGGGCTCTTTAAGGGGCAACAAATTCTCGTGTGAATCCTACACTTCCTGAGAGGACAGAGACTACACACGCACAAATACACGTCACATGTATGATTCCCCGCACCCGCAGATGACCCACGGATGTACAAACAGCGAAGATATGAAACAGCTGTTGATGGAGTTAAATAAATGATGGTATTAGGGAGCAGCTCCTACGTGACGATGTGTGAGTGCTCACGACCTCCTCCTATTATCGAAACATTTGATGTAAGAAGATGTTAGTAATATAACAAATGATCTTTACAGTGAAGTCAGTCCATGTTGCCTGATGATTCTTTGGTCTCTATTTCATAATAATTGATTCAGATCTGACAAAGGGATTCTCCTCTTGCTCTTCTCACCTCTCCTGTGTCTGAGTGTTTTGACTTATTTGCACCAAAGTAAATTCTCTTGATCCAAAAGTGTTTGATAATATTGTAGGGTTGATATTTCCAAAACTTTCAAATTGCATTTTCAAAACTAAGTAGATGGATAAGTGATGTTTTAATGCAGCTTTTTCTGTTCTGGGAAGAAGTCTCAGAGATGATGATACTCAAGGTTTTCACATTGCTATTTTAAAGGGATCTTAAATCTATCATCTTTAACAACATCCATATCTTACTTAAAACATTGTCGTATTTCTCTTCTGCCTATACCACCCTCTCCTATCTCCAGTCCTTTAAATCTAGCAACCCATGCCTCTGTACCTAAAATGGTCTTTTCCCAAAGGTCTACTTTGATTTTATCTCATGGAGTGGGCCGTCAAAGTGCCATGAAGCAGTTTAAGAGGCTGCGTTCATCAGTTTCAAATCTGCTGAATTTACAGTTTCCTCTCTCAAATACAGAAAAGCCTTAAATTTGTCTGACAGTAAGATCAAATATTCCATAACCAAGAATTTTATGAAACAATCAGTATTTTTTCTTGACTATACATCTTCATAATCAAAAATATAAAATCTTTATCCATCAAACTAACCTTGTAGTGTTTTTTTCATTTGTCTCTGTTCTCACCCCCTTCATACATTCCCCAACGAGTGAACTTTGACCCTGACCTTCACAGCCACATCCTCCGTCTCAGTGGGTCTCATCTGTCGGCGTGTCGGCTGCTCGTAGTTGTCCATCTGGTAGCGCATGGGCTTCTTCCGGTTGATGGCTTTAGTCTATGAAAAGATAACAAGAAAGAGTTTTGACAAATTAGCTCCTGCTGGATTCACGAGCACGCCACTACCAGCCACCACCAGTTAACCCCTGGGGTTCCTCAGGGATCTGTCCTGGGTCCTCTTTTTTTGTTGTCAACCTCCTCCGTCAAGGTCATATTTTCAGAAAATTTGGTGGTCATTTCCATTGCTACACCGATGACACCCATTTCTATCTGTCCTACAAAAAAAATGCCGTCCTTCTACCATTTTACCTTACAAAACATGTAAATGAAGTTAAATGCATGTTCGCTTGAAACTTTCTCAGATTTAGAAATGATAAAATCGAGAAACAGAGCAACAAAACTACAGATCAGAACCCTCCCAAGAAACCACCAGAGTTCCTCGGGGAACTTTTCTAGGTCCCCTTGAGGTCACTGTCTACTTCAAACCTTTAGGTCCTATTTTCAGAAAATCAGGGGTCGTTTCATTGCTGCACTGTTGACACCAATTTCTATCTGTCCTCTGAGCCAAATTCAACCCCTCCACCATCTTGGCTCACAGATGTCCTGGTTCACTTGTTTAATTTGTCAAAATTGATAGCATTAATATAGGTATTAGTTTTGTTAATTTCAAATCCACTCGAACCAAAACTAACATTTTCACACTTTACATAAACAACTCTTTCCTCTGCCACATGCTGGACTACAAACAGCATCATTTTTTCTTGCCAATGCTAAAGTTGCCTCCCAAGTGGCACCTCTCTAGTTTCTTTCACAACTTTCCACATAATCCTCAGCTGGTCCAAAACTCAGCTGCCTTGGTCATAATCAGAACCTAATCTTCACAACAGTTTATAGCTCCTGCATCCGCTTCACTCCCTAGAGAGAAGAAGTAGTGGAGGGGTTCCCTTTGAGACTTGGGAATGCTGCCCGTGAGATTTTAACCAAACAGCTAGCACGACGTCCTGTTCTATTTACTTGGACCCAATATAAAAAATATACCGCATCTTAGTATACGTCTACACAACTCATATCAAGTCATATTGTGTTTGTGCATCCCACTACAGAATACTAACAATAAAGGTAATGCAAAGTATTTTTCTGAGGACGCACGCAGAGTGGAGAAGCAGCAATAATAACTACTTTTCCAGGGGCATTGATGTATGCTTATGTTGAAAAATAGGGCAGTGGAGCATCATGACGAGGACTCTGCCCTTTGATGCATTATGTGGTTTTGTAATGAATACAATAATAGCAACCTACGCTTTGATTCTTGCTGAGTGGCCACTCAAGAGGCTGCTGTTACATAACACATGGTGGGTGGCATAAACAGCATGCCGATGACTTTAACATGGCTTATTATGAATCTAAACATTAGGCTCAGCTGAGGAGCAGTAATATTCTTGGATTTTTGAGACATTATTTTCATATTTGATGCGTTTGTGTAAAATAAACTAATGTGAGAAAGATTGTGGATTAAAGCTATAAAGAACTATGACTGTATTTTCGACAATTAATCCACATCTTTTTTTTACTATTTCCCTCTCCTTTTTTCTTACACTTCTAACCAGTAAAACATGGGAGGTAGAGTGTACAACCAAACTCGGTGGGGGTAATCCCGAACCCAAACAAGCAACTAACTTCTTTTCTCCCCTCTATATCTCTCTGTTCTTGAAAAAGCCTTGTGTGTAAAGGTCATTTAGAAACCAAAAAGTAGTTCCCTTTGCTGTACTAGTGGATGAATGAGTTTGCAAAAAGACCTGACGACTGAGCAGAGAATCCATTTTGTTTCTAAACTAAAACAGAAATAAGTAAAGTCTCATTACTTGCTGTACTTTTTGATTGATTTAGCAATTTCATAGAAAGTACATTCTCGTAAAAGCCCAGCACTGGCTACTTAGATCTCATGTGCACTGTTTGAAATCTTAAAAATTAGATTCTTTCAGTCAGCACTTTAACACTTTAGTTTGGTAATAGGTTTATAGAAGCCAACTAATGCAGTTGCTTTAAAATGACCCCAAAAAGGGCATTTTCGAGAGGCATCGAAGCACAGAATAATGACGTAAAAGATTGGAGAAAATCACTTCTGCTCACTATAACGGTTTTCTGATTCAAGTAGCTCGCATTGCTCTGACACCAACACTTAGGAGTAAAGTCACTGTGTACATAATTAGAGGGGTGTGTTTCAGCACTATGGCTCACATTCTTAATTGCAAGCCAATAGAACTCTAAATAGTTAAATGAGTCACTCTGCCTGTAGTCTGAGTGTCTATTTCCGACACAAACAGTGTTAATCCCAATTCAACATAACGAACAGTGTGTGACTCAGTCGCCTGAAACGTCAGACAGACAGAAGATTAAAGTCTTTGCTGCAGCTCACGGGGGGGGGGTTTAAGGACCCTCGACACTTGACAAAAATAACATCAGTCTTGGAGATTCAGCATGACCTATAAATTAAGTACAGCAACATTCAATCGCTGTATCACAACATGCTCACAACCCCAGGACTACAAAGGAGGTATGCAGCCGGTAGAAATCCAATCTCAGTTCATTCGATACAGAGCAACAGATCCCTGCATTCAGCTATGTTTATATGAGTTGATGCTCTAAATCTAAAATAGATCTGAATTGAACTCTTGGTTTTTAGTTACAGTAGCTGTGCATTATCAATTGGGATCATTGTTTGAATATATGAATATCCTTTGGCCACATTTGCTCATTGCTAAGTACTACCCTGCTCCAATAACCTGTCTATTTTGGAAACCTACCTGGAGGAACATGGAAAGAATGTGTGCTGGTTGATCTGGAACACCTCACTGACCTGAACTTTGTCCATGGAGCTAAGAACACCAGAGAGATTTCTTGGCAGCTGCAGCATGCTGCGTCAGAGTCAACTTTTGTAAAGGCAGAACTCTCTTTCTAGAAAATGAAATGGTCTTTGTTATCAAGAAGTATGAGGCTTATTCTCGCTGTGTTTTAGCACTTTTAGAGGTTTTTGATTTTGCATCATTCATGTATTTTCTGTGCATATACCAATTGCTCTTGCAGCATGCTTCTTTATCAGCAAATGACATTTTTTTGCGCTGCTGCAGATCCTCCGTCCTTGCTTACAATTGTAATTTCAGCCCAAGTAAATACATTAGACACTGTTTTCAAAAGACTAATCTCATTTTTTCTATACTGAATGCATCCTTTTAAGACAATTACAGCTCCTTGCCCCACTCCGCAGATCGGGCCATAAAATAGTATGATACATTTTCCTTGTCCGTGCCTTATTTAAATGATTGATCAGTGCCACAGACACTCACCCCCCCAAGATGTTTCTTTCCAGCCTCTATTGAAGTGCACATGTCTCCGTTTCTCCAGCTGTCGTCTCCAATTTCGTCACTCTGAAGGAACTCACCAAGCTTCTGGACGCTGTGATCACATGCGCACAAACACCAAGATACACACATATACAGTGCGTGAGCGTAATTGTAATGATACCAAAAGCAGTAATCTCTTAGGAGTCTTGAGTTTCCACTCACTGCTGTCAGGTTTCCTTGGTGTTCCTTAAATTAGATTTAATAGGAGGAACACAGCTTGGGTGTTATCTGTGTATAGACAAGTTCACACCCACTTCTGACCTGCCACAGCCAGTGTGACTTACTAACAACAGTCTCTCTCTTTGAAGGAGCATTTTCAGCTCACAAACACACACTCTCACCTGACCACGGCCTTGACGGCGAATCTGACGACTGTGGAGAGCAGAAAGAGGGGAGTGACCAGGATGTGGAATAAGGCCAAAGCAGCAAAAGCCTTCGCAGGACCGGGACAAGAGCCATATATGAAGTGATGCATCACAAATGTCTAGAAAACACAAATTTCAAATGTTATCATCCATTTTCATCAAAAGACGACACTGCAAATGTTGCAAAAAAAAGATTACACTTAATCAAAGTTGAGCGTTTGGGTGAGAGCCTCTCAAAATTAGCTAAATTACATGGCAGGGTTGGCAATGTATGCAGAAAACTGTAGCTTAGCAGTTTCTCATTAAAGGAGCAGCATTGATCACCATCCTTTGAGACCAATACGCTTACTAGATACATGTATCATAAAATTGTTAAATGGAGCAGAACTGAGAGATTTCTTTTGTGGCATAAACAATAAATGGAGTTTCCACATCAAACACAAAAAAATCCCTTAAATAACTCAATAAAAGTGTGTTTTAGGGTCTCTGCAGGTTTCACCAAGTCAAATTTAAGACTCTAAGAATTTTTTTTAAGATCGTAATGAATACAATTTAAGACCCATTTTACATTCACACTGGCAAAAAAAGTACAAAAACTTTCAAAATCATATTTAAGAAATTTTATGAAGTTTTAAGAGAACTTTAGACATTTAAAGGCCTTAAATTCAAATTATTAGATTTTAGACGTTTTAAGACTCTAGAGAGGAGGGAGGACATGCAGCAAATGGTCGGGTCTGGACTCGAACCCGCACCGCTGCCAAGACTTTAGTCCCTAGATGTGGGGCGCACTAACCCACAAAGTAAGACTTTTCAAGACTTTTTTTAAGACCGTAATGAAAAGGATTTAAGACCCATTTTACATCCGTACCAGCAAAAAAATGCAAAAGACATGAAGGGAAATCTGAATATTTTACATGACTTCAAATCAATCAATTTTTAAGAATTTTCAAAATCATATTGAAGACATTTTATGAGATTTTAAGAGAACTTAAGACATTTTTAGGCCTTCATTCAAATTTAAATTATTGGATTTTAGAAGTTTTAAGATGTTTTAGGACCCCACAGATACCCTGTGTTAAAATAATCTTACCGCAAGAATAGCAGCAATGGGGATGGCAGCATTCATGAAAACTGCAAAGAAAGAAAGAAATAGTGTTATGATGTGCATCATGTAAATGAACCCAAAAAACAGCTCACGAGTTCAGACGTAAAGGACCATTTTTTGTAACTGCTGAACTGATTAAGTCCTGTCTTTATCCAACTGTGAATCACTCAGATGTTTAGAAATAATTCAAACCAACATTCACAGGTTCTGGTTTGATCTTACTGGACATGGATGTGTAGAAAGCGAAGGTCCTGAGGCTGGTGAGCTCTTTGCCTCTCGTCTCTTCCACGCTGTCACAGAAGATGTTCTCCCAGGCGTACAGCTTCAGCAGCTTGATGCCCTTTAAGATCTCTGTGGTCTTTTTTAGACGGTCAGTCGAGTGTTCCTGTAAATCAAAATACAGGACTGAAATGGCTCCAACGTTAACTTCAAGATAAACAGTGCTTGAGTCATGACCCTGATTAAAAATGTCACAAAATGACACAAAACAGATACAAAACAAAAGTGAGCTGCTTACTAGTGTGCTTTTTTGTGTGTCTGCCAACTTTGTAGCTATGAGGTATTGAACCGGAGCCAGCAGAACTATGACAGACGCTCCAACTAAAGCACTGGGGCCTAACAAATAGTAGAGCAGGATCACTCCCATCACAATCTGCAAAGAAAAAGAAATAAAACTTTACTAAATTAGATTAAATCAAGATAAATTTGGGTGACAATGTGTGGAAGATCAGTTCTGATTACCTGCACAGGCATGGCCCACAGGTTCGGGCAGAGGAAGAGGAACCACATAAGCTGGTTTGTCTCTATTGCAACCAGATTGTTGATCTGCCCCAATGTCATCTCCCCCATCGACATGTTGGAGGTGGACAGGCGAAGGATTTTGTTGTAAATCATGGCCTAAAAAATGAACATGAATGATCATAAATAAGCGGCTGTGGTTCTGCTTTCAAGTAAAGTCGGCAGAAGTATGTTTGTGTTTGCAGAACTTGAAGAAATCAGAGTGAACCCTCTTATTAGTTAATCCGAGTTTCTTGTTGTCTTTAAGTAAAATGACCACAACCTAAGAAGGAATTGAATTTCACAGATGAAACAAACACACTAAGACTTCAAAAAGAAGTTGGAAAGCGGCCAACTTTACACTGAAGTGTTTTGAATTCCTCGACACATACTGAACTAAACCTGTATCTTTACTCTCCATACATAACACCAGTCCTCTTGTGTATACACAGCAGATATAAACTCATGCATTCCCTCCCTAACTCACTAATAAACTCATGTAACTCTGCCAAGACTTCTACCTCCCTCTTTCTGTTTCTTCTTGGATTTTTTTATGCCTCGCTTTGATTTATTTTTCTTAAGTATTGCACTTTATGCTAAAGTTAAGTGTAGTGGATACCATTATACTACAACCCCGATTCAGCTCTGTAAAGAAGAGGTTCACCACTTTGTAAGAGACTGTGTGAGCAAATAGTTCAACAATTTCAGAATAATGGGGAAATCTGTACAAAAGGGCCAAGGCTGAAAACCAATACTAAATGGCCGTGATCTGTGGAGTTTTTAATTAAGAAACACTGGCAACCTCTACATCATAAACAGGCAGTAGAATCAAACATAAAACAAGAAAACTTTCTTGGTTTTAACATTTCATATGTTGTTTGTGGAAATAAGAGATCTGCAAAACATCAAATTCTGTTTTTATTGACATTGTACCTATATTGCATTAAAAGCTAAGTTTCAGAAAAATTATCATATATGTTGGAAAAGAAGGACAACTACTAAAGCCACGGAGAGGCTAAGTGATGGAGCTTGGCATCGTTGACACGCTACACGCATGAATGAGCCATTTCTGTTGCTCGTCTCCTGTGATATATCAGCCCACAATACTTTCGAGTTCAGCCTCTGTTTCTTACATCATGGCAGCACCCGATACGCAACACCAAAACACCGCAACTGACCATGTGCAGCACGCAGCTCCAACAGCCAGTACATGCTGTCAGCTGAGCTACTGCTTTTGTTAGCACAGCTTTTTATAGCTAAGTAGTCATGATCACAAGAGTACTCAGTTATCTTAGCAGGTCTGCTCCTCTGAAACAAATAGTCTGGGTAACATAAATCACTAACAACACTAAAGAAATAAAGATTTCTCTGATGTTTTTCTGGGGCTACACCTCCAAGATTTCTGATGACAAACTGTCTGTTTTTGTAAGAACCAAAAGAGCTTAAAAGTGAAAAAGTTTCTGTCTGCAGATTTAGTAAAAAGAGTAATGGAGCAGGCTGTCAGATTTATAGTGAGTAAAAAGTGTCCAAAGACTTTCATCATTATCAACATAAATCAGATAAATTGGTAATAATTTCAAGATAACCTATGAAGATTCTTATCCTCAAGTTCTTAAACTGTCCTACTGAAATTATACTGACTTTGTGACACAGAGTGACACACCCCACATTTCTGTGGGTCGAAATGTTAAACCAGGTCCTACTGCTCCATTTGTGTTCAAAAAGTACCGAGACGTTCTGTTGGTCTCATATATCAATGTAGCTTTAAACCTGCCGTTTCCTCAGCTGTTTGTCTGAGGGTGAAGTAAAATCAATAAAACTTTCTTTAGGTAAATCAATCACAGAGACCTTTTAAAGCAACACCTCAACCTGGAATCAAAACATCGCAGCCTGGCTTCCTGTAATGTTTCACTCACCAGCAGTGCTCCCCGCAGGTTGATCCCCGTTTCTATGGTGACGTAGTAGGAGGCCTGCAGGAAGGTCCTCTGCAGGACTAGAGCCAGGAAGAGGAGCACAGCCAGGACTGAGGTATTCTGCAGCAGCTCAAAGGAGGACATGAAGTACACGCCAAACTCCCTCTTCTACAACAAAAGCGTGCACACACACACACACACACACAGAGATACAGCGAACTTTAACAAGATGTTCTGCTTCTTGAAAGTCTCCAACATTACAGATCAACCTGTTCATTTCCAGTTCAATCCTAGTACAAATCTAACAAAGCCACAAGCTGGAGAACCAGAAATATCTTCATTAAAACCATCAATATCACAATAACAATTTCAAGCCAGAGGTTAGAAGGAGATATTTTGGGATAGTTTAGCACAGAACTAATAAAACGGGGGGAAAAGAGTGAGATCACAACCGAGCCCGGACACATTTCACCCCCAGAGTGGTTCAGTACAATCACTCAAGATAGTAAAACCTGGTTATACAAAAATAAAGACTAGCTGTTCAGTTATTTCGTTCATTAACAAGTTTTAAATGATAAATTTGCATACACACACACACACACACATACGAAGGCATTGATCTGTGAGCCAACTCTAAGCACTATGAATGAATAAGCCAGAACTTTTTACACATGCATAGCACACCTATAAATAAACTGGATTAAATCCAACATTAACACACACACACACACTCATATTGTGTAATACAAAAAGCTCAGCCTGATGCTCCACAGACTTTCCCTCTGTATGAAACTGAGTGTGAGGTGAGTGGGAAATTTTCCATGTCAGTCAGAAATGCAGCGCTGCTCTGCTCTCTATCTCTGCTGCCCATTATACCCACTTTAACAAGCAGGCACAGCCCGACAACAGCTCACGCCGGACATTAACCAGAGGAAACATCCAGCCAAACGGACTGAATGAAAATATACATCTGTCAACACACAAGCACCTGCTCTGCTTCTCCTTCAAGCTCCGTGAACAGTGAGACCTTTTGGAGGAGGCTGGCATGGATTTAAGAGGAGTCAATGTTCCTGATCAGATCGGCCACGCTGCACTTCTCCCTGCGCCAAAAAGATCATCTGCTCTTTCTCTGTCTGCTACATCTGCTTCATTATGCTATAAAGGCTGATGTTTATTAAAGTCCTGTAGGAGAAAAGCTCAACCATATGATGCTAAATAATCAAGAAGGATCAAAAGTTTTCTGGGATGAAAAAGTGAAAAAATACAGACTAACTAATCATCTTTTTTGCTGATTTGTAGGTATACTAATTTTACAGCAATGTGCAAACTGCACTTCATTGTACCTCTTCAGAAACCTACGAATGATCACAGTGAGAGACCACTTTTAAGTTTAATAAAGTGTATAGTGACTTACATAAGCAAACAATAACAATATCAAAGACAACTTAAATTGCATTGAGTGTAAAAACCATTTCAGCTCTAGAGTTTTTTTGGCCTTTTTAGATATTTCTAGTTGTAAACAGCAGCACGAGGTCAAAGTATATCTTTTTGGTTAAATCCAGATTAAGAGGCTTCAGTTTTGAAGCAGGCGATCTGGGTTTGAGTCCAACCCCTGGCTCTTTACTCCTTGTCCCTCCCCACTCCCTCTTTCCTGTTTCCTCAATTAACTCTCCATTCTCAAAAAAAAAAAGTCTGACAATCATAAATATAAAAAAAAAAAAAAAAAAAAACATTGGCCTTACTCTCACTCTTAGACATGCAGTCACACAGACTCACACCTACTGGTGGTGACGCATTGACTGTAACCAACGCCTGGATGAAATTACACAAGTATTGAGTCACAAATTTTCTGTATTTACCAAACACCCAGTGACACACTTTCTCTAATCTTCACATTAGTAAAATAATTATATGAAGACACCATCATTTGGTCTTCTCTCTTACATAACCAAAACTCATCAATACAAAGATAACAGAATCTAACATAAAAACATCATACAGGTGAACTCTACCTATGTACCCACCCCTATTTGAGTTGCATTGGTCTCATTTTTCATATTGTCCACAATTCCAGAGATGCAGAGCGGTCCAGCGAAGCTCAGCAGGTCAGCCAGGTAGCGGAAGGTGCTGCTGAGGAGGATGGGACGGCCAAACGCTCGATACATGGAGCGCCAGATCGAAGGACTGCGATCCGGATCATCAGGTGTCTACATCGAAAGACCCAGAACATGCATGCAGACTGTAAAAGCAAAAACTTGGAACATTTTAACTGTGTTTAATCAGACACTCTGCCCACCTTCTGGTCCTCATAGGCGTCTTTGAGCCGGAGGTAGTTGGTGAGGGCTCTCATGGCGATGGGCAGCTTGCCGATCTTCTTCAGCTCGATGGGCCTCTTATGGGCTCCCATGATGAGCGGATTCATCCACCAATATGTCGCCTGAATATGTGCCAAGAAATAGTGTAATCATCTTCTATTTCTGTTCTATTCAAGGCCTGTTTTACACATTTTGTCTCATTTTTATTCAAGATATTTCAGATGGGTTTGACTCTTAAAAAACATTGTGTTCGTTTCTACCTTGGAGAGCAGGTTGACAAATGGTTGCAGAAACCGGACACCCAAATCCTGCAGATCTTCAGGTGGTTTTACCTTTTGTGGGTTGGCAAAAAACATGTACTTCTACAAGGAAAGAGAAGGACAAAACCGTAAACTTTGAAGACAGATATGCATGTTATTTCAACAGAGCAAAAAATTCCTCTTAGACATGTGAAAAAAAGAGAAATAATGATTAAATATGCAGCAGAATTCCACAAAAAAAGTAGCATGCACTTATAATACCTTTATCTGACACTCTTGAGGTGTTTTAATCATCAGCGGTGGAAGGAACATGATAGCTCACCCTGACTCTGATGACGTTGATCTCCACAGCCATCAGCAGCCCGTACAATATAACTAATAAAGCTGTGATGCAGAACCTCAATTCTTGCAGGCCAATGGACTTATTTGCAAACATCCACAGCTTAATGGACTTTGTGATGAATGCCAACACCCAGTAGATGAAAAGCACTGTGTAAAAATAGAGAAAAGGATTCAGTGCAATAATCAAGATTTGTCTTGTGTTGCAACTACAGCTGACACGGTTTCACAAATAACTTTAGAGCAGAAATAAATATATTTAAAGCCTTGAATAAAACACACTTTTCTGCACTCTTCTTTATGTTAACTGTCTATCACGCATCCAGCAATGTAATTCTGGTGAGTCTTACCGAGCAGTAGTTTGGGGAAGTTGGATGTCTCTATGTTGTGGTAGTAAACCACTGATGTTGTACCTGCTATGAAACCCATGAAGGCCGGCACAAAGAGATGGAGGTGGTCTGTGTTCATCTCTCTACAGCACGAAACAAACGAAAAATAAGGTTAAAATGGAAAATCAAAAACTCAGGTAACTTTTAATTTGCATAAACCGTGATTTCTGGGGGTCTGACTTGTTGGAGACGATGCCCTCTGCGAATTCGCAGATGTGGACAAACAGCAGCAAGAAGGTGAGGATCCATCTCAAGTTGTGGCCAGGAAAATGGAGCCATGTGTTGTGATGTATCTGGACCTTTGAGCTTTGGCTGCCCCAACCTGACAAACACATGGAAAAAAAAATTCACAGACATGATTCTGGCATCCTGATTTTCCTGATTTCAAGCCTGTAATCACTTTTAATAATCACTGATGAGATTAAGTTGTTTTCTCAAATTCATTTCGGCATTAGAAAATCCTTTATTTCCAAAAATATGTGTCCAGAAGTCCTGAACAGTAAAATAAAATCCATAATGAAAGTCACTAACTATTAACTCTCTCTAACTTTGTTCAGCTGATCAGTAAAAATGGTGCTCAGTACCACAGCGGTTTTATTCAGGCAGACAGTGAGTCTATTAGCTTTGTCTCTGCTCTTAACTAAATGGACCTCAGGCATGTTGGAGGCTCCAGGGAAAGACAGCATGAAAAAGTAAAACCAGGAAGTATCAATTAGTGAGTCCTGAGGGAGCAGACCAAGGGCTTCTGGTCAGAACTATTCCCATAAACTACTGTGCACACACACACACACACACAAACCCACACATGCTCTAAACATATAACCAATCATGCTGTGTTATTCTCTGCAGAGTAACACAGTAATGAAAGCAGAAGCACCACAATACCACATTAATTAAAACAAACTGCCCTCCAGATTCATATCTATCCTTCTATTTGACTCCATCCACATTTACACTCTTACTTAATATCATTCAGTCGTATTTTCAGTATTTTCCTGGATTGTTTTAGTTTAGTTTCAAGTGTTTCTTCTTCATTATTTCCTCCAGAGGCAGCCCAGTCACCACTGGATCGCCCAACTAATCCCATCTTAACTTAAAGCTGCTTAATGTTCACACTACCAACGAGAAAGTGTCTCAACATATGAGAGCGGGTGTGTGATTATTTGTGTGTGTGTGGTGGGGGGTTTGATATCTCAATCACATCTGCTCTTCCCCCCAGATGACATGTAGTGACCCTGGAGTAACAGATGACTCTAAGAAAGCAGGTCCTCTGAGGGCACGAGGTCAAGAAAACTACAAGAGAGTATCCTGGTTATAAGTGCAGGTTTCAGTTAGATAGAATGTGATCAAACATGTATACTTTATTCTGAATAACACCATGCTAACATTTGTACTACATCATACTATTTTTCTACTTCCATGCAGCTGACATCTGAAATGCATAGAAGTATTTCAGTCTAATAATAAACTGAGCCCTATGCTTGTTTTTCAATGCAATGCACAATTCTGAACCTGCAGTATAAGTTTTTCTTTAGAGTATACATTTGTGTGTATCTGAGAAATGTACATTTTTATAGTACAAGTTACATTTTTCACCATGGAGTCACCTTGATAAATATGAAACATACAGTTTTCACTGCGCAATAATCTTCTGTGCAACATCATTTGTTTTTATATGAAATATGTTTAGTGCAACATTAATATAATCTATGCAAAGTACATATATTACTGTGCAATAAACAGTTTTTAAATAGTGAAATTTTAATTGTCTACTGTGTTGTGTACATTTCTTGCAGCAAAACACTTGTTTATTTTGTAATGCACACTTTTTTGACTGCAATGTTGAATATCACTGTATAATGTACATATTTAACAACAGCTCACTGTTTAATTTTTTCAGCATTGTCCTTTTTCCTGCACAGTGGTAACATTTTAAAGTGCAAAAACCCTTTTTATTTTACTGTGAAATTTACATTTCTTTAATTTGCAATGTTTTTTTTTTTTTTCCAAGAAAATCAATTTTTCTACCCTGGAGTATATACAGTATATTGTTCACTGAGCACTATGCTTGTTTTTTACAGGGCTTTTCCAGGCACAGATAAACGTGGGAGTTGGTCAAAAAGATTCAATCAAAAGCCATGACAAAAACAGCTGACCCAAGATGACCGTATCTTGGCGAACATTCGGCATGTTTATGAATAAGGGAGGGAGAGAGGGAGGGAGCTGTGGCCTTCTGCCTGACATGGATGAAGAGGATTACGTAGATAAATAAGCAGCTGATCCAAACAACCATCAGGGCTTTCAAGGTATCATGTCTTTAATCACTGAAATAATACAGGATTGAAATTTGGAAGCAGTTTTTTGTGTCACTCAAATTTTTTCTAATGTAAAATCACTCAGAACAGCCACAGTCGCAGAGGGCAAAACTAGAGGCTGCATTTAAGAATGCATTCAAATGTCAACCCTCCACTCTGAATTTTTCAGCCGGGATGCCTCCAGGTAGATCAGATGTTGAAAACAAAACACTATGTTGTTGTACGTCTGAATGTGAACAAAGATTAAGCAGAGTGTCTGTCCCTGCTCCGATAATCCTGATAGGATTATTTCTGTCCTGACAGCCGCAGTGATTTCTGAGACTTTCCAGCAGAAACAGTGAAGTTTTAAGAGGATGAAGCAGGAAACAGGTAAAGTGTGTCAGAGGAAAGCACAAAAAAACAGAACAACCTGTGATTTTCTCTGCACAGACACCAGAAATCTTAAGCGTCTCTCACTAAAACACTTCTGTTCAAAATTTCCAAGCCAACCTCAAATGCAGCTGAAGTTCATATTTGTGTTTTGACATAACAAAAATTACCGCACTCATTCGGAATTGCAGCATGATTTTTAGGTAAGGATAGACCACCAAGGGATTAAAAGTGGGTTACTAGGTCATTCGTTTGCAAATGGAGCAATCATCTCATACAGGGAAATACCATCCCAATTTCAAAAAGCTTGGACTCTGAATCTCTCTGAAGAAAAGATGGGAAAAGGTCTACTACTCAGTGACCCTGTGTGTGAGCAAATAGTTCAACAATTTCCCAATAATTTTCCTCAACATTATTCATCAGTACAGTACATAATATCATTAAAAGATTTGGAGCGTCTGGGAAATCCCTGCACACAAGGGACAAAGCTGATAACTGAAATCGGATGGCTGTGATCTTCAGGCCCTCAGCACTGCGTTGAAAATAGCCATGACTCTGTAGCGGAAATCACTGTATGGGCTCCAAATCATCTCTTACATCTACTGTCTGTGAACACAGTTAAGCACTGCATCCACAAATGCAGGTTAAAACTGTGCTATACAAAGAGGAAAATAGATACTGACACATGACATGTTGCATGTTTTACAACAGAATGGCTCGGTAGTAGAAGAGTCCAGGTGCTAAACAGAGCTGCCTACAGTCCTAAATTGTCATAAAATTGAAATGAGCTGGTGTATCATGACACAAAAATGATGAAGGTGACTTTTTACATACATTTGACTTTCAAATCTCCAAAAATGGGTCTCTATTAGGGCCCGAGCAATTTATCGGTGAAATGATTAAATCTGCCAGTTTTAGCCCGTTTGAGACGTATCAGTAATCGTCCAAAACTCCCCGATTTTCGCTGATATTTTCAGAAATAAAATGCGGAGAATAAGATTCGGTTTCACTTTGAAAATGTTCCGCCATCTGAAAAGTTCCCCAACTTATCCTGCAGATGGCGCAGCAACCTCATGACAATCTTCCTCCACTAACTACCTCACAGCACAGCAGAGTGACGGATCTGAAGCAGGCAGCTCAGGGACGCACGGAGGAGAGTGGTCCGCCTCAACGATAAATAAACCAGTTTGAGAGGTAGACAATAAGTCAACAAGTTTCAGTTCAACCCACTTCACGATGTTCCCAGCTGTGCTGGCCTCGGTCACGCCGAGTTAACGGTGAAGCACCATGTAATATGCAAGTTAGAGTTAGCCATCTGCTATTAGCCTTGCTACACTGTTAGCCGTGCCAGTAATAGTAGAATAAACAACAGTACACATTACGTGATCGAGCTACTTCTCTTACAGAGGCAGCTGCATGTCTCCAGATCAGACCGGACCGGAAATGAGTAACGTGAGTTAAGACGCGGAGGCACCTGCCTGTCAGTGTGAGGAGCAGTAACCTACAGTATATCTACAGTTTATAGTATACTGTAGATATCTACAGTATATTACATTTTTTATAACTTCATAAAAAATTTTAAAAATTGGCCGATTTATCAGTAATCAGATCTTTTCCCCCTTATTAATCGCTATTGGCATCGGCCCCAAAAAATCCATATTGGTCGGGCCCTAGTCTCTATGGTTCCCAAACCTTTACACTGTTGTTAAAGAAGAGGTGACACAAACATGGCCCTGTCCCAACTGAAACCTGTTGCTGTCATCAAATTCAAAATAGCTATAGATTTTTTTTTCAAATGATAACATTTGCAGTTTCAACATTGGGTATGTTGTCTTTGTCATTTTTTCTACTAAATATAGCTTTCATGTATTTGCAAACTGTCCATTTTTTTATCCTAAACATCACCACAACTTTGAAAGTCATCTAAGCTCTAAACCTTATGAGGAAAAGTTTCATCACCTGTTTATCATCACAGGCTAATTAATAATTCAAAACTAAAGTGGAGTGCTTCATTAATACAGCACTACCTACCAATGAAGAGGATAGGAAAGGTGATGAAGAGCAGGAAGACATGAGGAACCAGGTTGAGCGCATCCACGAAGCAGACATTGGTGAATACGCCCGCTGACACGTTGTAGGCGCTGGTACCATCATCACTGCCGCAAAACGACAAGGCCATGCCACCACCACACACACCTCAATCTGTGAAAACAAGGGACACACATTTAAAAAAAACTAAGATCATAACAAGTTCATGAAACACCAAAATGAGTGGCCTTCCACTGTGTGTTACTAAATCTTGTCTTTTTCCAGTCTATTGCCTGCTGGACCTTGTCTTGAACTCTAGAGACCCGGTCAGTTACTTCTGTGGCATGTCACACTTGCTCTCACAGGGGCTGCAGGCCAGTGTCAAGCCCGGGAGCTATTTCAGGGCCAGTGTCCAGCTGCATACTCCTTGGCTAATGGTGCATTAATATTAAATGAATCTAAGGTAACTAATTCTGTATGTCTGTATGGGTGTCATGAGGCTATGACTTATGTTTCAAGAGACACTGTTTGTTTATTTATTCACCATTCAAAGCTGGATGTCAGTATTATGTGAACAGCCCTGAGCCAGGAGGTCCTGATTTCAATTTTTTATAGTGACAGATAATGATAAGTATAACACACTTCTGACAAAATAACTTAGAGCCGTCCTTATGTCTCAAAACCCTCTTTGAATAATCATTTCGACAAATAAGTCAGTCAGGCAACAAGTCAAGACACAAAACCAACTAGAGTTTGGCTATTAAAGACAGCTGTTTTGGTCAAACCAACAAAACACAAAATTCCCCCATAGGATCTTAAAAATATATCAGAGGAAAATACATTCTCGCTTGTTTTTGCCAAAATGCCTACAAGTAAACTTTATGAAAAATAGAGACAGAGAACGGATGTCTAAGCATGCCAGACCAGCAGGTGGCAATAATGTAAAATCAGTCCTTCATGTCAAACAACCCAGAGGAGCACAGTGCATAATAGCTCACTGGGTGTCTTAATGCACAAGTGGCAAATAAGAACAGTCAAAAATGCCAAACTCAAAAAAGATAAGATCTATATATTTTGGCATTTAAAATTTTGGACTGCTGTAACATAAAAGTAAATTATGTTAACAAGTTATGGCATGGTATATAAATATGATCATTTAATTGGAACTCATCCACACAGACAGAAGACTAGATACACCAGCACGCAGTAGCAGTACACGGTAGCAGCACGCAATAGCAGCACGCAGTAGCAGCACGTTAAGCGACGGCATCCATCTTGCATTTTTGTGCTGTTAATTTTATTTTCAACGCCAAAACATGTGCTATCTGTTCAGAACGTTTTATTTAACTTTTTTTTTAAAGAAATGTCCTTAATTAATAAGACATGTTTTGGCAATAAAATGAAGCAAACCACATGAAAATCACTTTAAAAATTAGCGCATTATGATTAACATTCAATGTACATGCTTTGCCTTTCAAAAAAAAGTCAGCTTAAACACTATTTTCGTACCAATTAGCATTTAACTTTGATTAAAATGTCGTATTATTGTAAACTTGAGTGCTAAACAGAAAGCACCAAAGACACCGTAGCTAATGTAATGTGCAAAAACCCAACTAAAACTCATTTGAAGACGTTTAACTGACCATAACAAAATATTTAAAAACATTTTTCGTAACTTCTACTTCTTGTCTCATTCAAACGCTTACCTGAGCACACTATTTAGGGAAGCGTTTAAAATTTACAGTTTTAACTCACAAACTGACAATAATAGTCGCCACCTGTAAATCTGGCGGCCATCTTTGTTATGGGAAAAAAAATGAATTTTGGCGCCTCATTCTGAAGAAACCCTCACTGTTAAGGCCTAATCTTACTGCTTTTAACGTTGACGTCTTTTTTTCCAAGTACTATTCTCGTGTTTCATTTTTTACGAGTTTCTATTAAAATCCAGATGATATGTCGACCATTTAGCAACATGAACCGCTATTGCTGCTGTTTTTCAGGCTTGCTATCTGGACGTCTAAGTGACTGCGGCTCATGTTAGCAGCAGGGAGAGCAGTGAAACTGTCTCTGCAATATAAAAACTCTGTCCGGTATGAAAATGACACTTAATCCAGCTAGTCTAAATAGTTACCAGTCAAACAGTCCTGAAATATCAAGGTGCAACTGATAAAGTCTCCAGTTTGTTACCACCAAACACCTGTGATTTACTACAGAGCTTAACACAAAATAAATGTATACGCACATCATAGAGCTCTTACACGCAAAAGGTGATTACGATAAATCAAGACATCAGGTTAAACAGGCAGATAAAATGACACTTAAAAGTCTTGTACTTGCCTCAGAGAAAAGTAATCTGCCTCACTGACACCAAGTCATTCCTGAAGTCCGGGTTGAAAGAATTTTTTAAAAGGAAAACATACAGGTAAGAGGAAAAAAGAGGGAAAAAAACCGTGAGAGTTGGAACGAAAAAAGTTGATTATTTTTAGCACGCAAGAGCATCAGCTGCTCCGCATACTGCTGCCCGTCTCTGCCAGAGGCATCAAAACACACAGAGTGGGACTGATCACTTCCGGTGACTCCTTTCAAAATAAGACGTATCAAGTCTACGGAAGAGAAAACACGAAAATAATATGCAATGTTTTGGACCAAATCATCGAATATTTATTGACAAAATCACGTATATAAATTGAAGCGATTGAAGTACCATAAAAATGTCATGTATTTGTAATCTTATCGTAAAATCTACTCACTATGGAGTAGTTTTGTGGGCCAGTTCTCCATTATTTGACTTACAGTACAACTTTTAGATGAATTTTGTTTGAAAAACTTCCCATGAACAAATTTAATGTTTTTTGTTTGGTTGGTTGGTTGTTTATTATTATTATCATTATTAGTAGTAGTAGTATTAGTAGTAGTAGTAGTATCTATTTTGTTTGTTTGGTTGTTTTTTGTGTGTGGGGGGGGTGAGGGGAGTCTTTAAGATTAATTTTATGTCTTTTAAAATGTCAGTCATCTTTGACTTTCCCATTCAAAGTAGGTAACTGCTCATTTTACAAAGCCAGTAGTTTTTGAATTGCTGATTTACACCTGAGTTGTACATATGACCACTCTTTAATAAATGACATCTATCCATGCTGTATTTGATCACTGTTTTGTACTTTTTACGTTTTACTGTCTGCATATTTTTTTCTTTTGTTACATAGAATTACAAGAATTTTAATCCTAAGGGTAAAGGGGGACTTATTATTGTTGTATGACTGTTTTAAAGTAATAAATTCTGCAAATCCAGAGGAAATTACTCTAATCAAGGGAGAGACGATTCTTTTTATTTTGAAGGCCAATCATACGCGAGTTGCCATGTCATTGTTCATAACATCAGAAAACTTGACACCGGGCTCCCCATATCAGATTTCCAAACTTGAACCACTTTGGTGGAGAGGAGGTTTATTATGGGCTCTTCATCAGCCAACTAACATGTCAGTAACAAACACAGACATGCAACAGGCCCAACATTACCTCATAGGATTATCGTCCAGCCTATTGTGATATCATGACCAAAAGTCGATATTTACAACTTTTTTACTTGTGTTGATAACAACAAAACCATCACAGATGCTGAGATTTATTTGTAACTCCAGGATTTATTTTTTAAATGTGTCAAAATTTAAATAACCGAGAAATTAAAAAAATCCAACCTTCTGGCTGATTGTTAATATTTCAAAAAGCACTGGGGTAAGCTCTTAAATGTTTTAAAAGCCGCAAATTTAGTACAGAACAAATTTAGAAACTAAACTCTCTGCATCCAGAGAAAAACAAGAATATACGGAGTTGCAGCCAGATAAAGACGTGAATTTGACATTTATGTGCATAAAGATTATGTTCTTTTATTGATTATTGATCTGATTCTGTCTTAGTGCATGTGCCGCAGCTCCAAACCTCTGTGAATCTGAGGCAGGATGCAGGATACATACACGTGAACCCTTTTGCTTGTTTGGTATTAAAAACTAAGGCGACACAGAAGACCTTGGATCCGGGTCAGTGAGGCGTACACAATCCCAGCTAGCCTAGTATCGACTGAAATGTCACATATCAATGTACACTGCTGAATTCAGAACGACAGTATCACAACCCTGCACGATATGGACATGAAAACAAAATGAAGCAAAAATAATCCTATCTGGTATCTTCAATATAACATGCAGGATGACCCAGAGTGAGAGGCTGTATTAAGACCACCAAACCTTAAAGGGGAATTTAACTATTCATGGTTTTACGTCCAGTGACAAATGTAAGGAGCACAACAATACAGTACAATGTGATTTTCTTCATTATTTAAGTTAGTTCTTTGATTCGGCATAAAAAATAAGAGTACAAGACGATGTGTTGTCAGACAAAACTTTGAACACTGCAAACAATCCCGCCTGATATCCATTGGCTCCATTCACAAAAAGAACCCGAATCCCTGCGCAGCAGTGTGGACAATATTAACGTTTTGACCATAAATTCAACACGTTTACTTGCTTATACTGATGCCGAATCTAGCACTGACCCTTGAGTGACTCATACACTTCATTAATTTACAAAGTATTTGGACCCTCTATCGTTAAATCCGGATGACGTAAATTTGCGTATTTTTAAAATGGAGTCAGGTACACGATCCTTCACATTACCAGAAGGATCTCTTACACCACGCTAAAGATGCAGTCGACTGGTTGTGAACGGCAGAAGGATAAAAATGGAAAGCCTTGCCTCAACACTCACCCGGTCTCTGACGCAGGTTTGGGCTCCCAGTGGGGTCGCAGCGTCCTTTCCAGGATTCTGAATCCTGCGTGAGGCGTCTTGTGATATGGTGGGTTTACACTGAGGGCACGAGGGACAGGGGGATGCCGATCATTTACTGTCGCCTCAGCTTAGATACGGTATTACGGCACTCAAACACACTAACCCACAGACACACACACTCAGATGTGGAGGCTGCTTTTTCTCATAATGCATGACAACATCGTGGGCAAATGTAGGTCAAATTAAAGCCGAATAAACACAACTGAACTGAGACTGCTTTCTGATATTAAAAAATAGTATTTTTAAGCTGCTCTTATTGTGAAAAGGACATTCAATAAATTTAACACAGCGTCACTAAGGTCAGGTAAGGGTATAGCATGATCTTTGACAGATTTTGGATATAATAAAGACAGTTCACTGAAATGTTTTGATGAAATAGATTTCAAGAATAAAGGAAACCATATGTTATGAAAAGAACTTTGAAAAGGGGGACTGTTTTGTGCATCTACATCTCAGGGGATCTTAAATTTTTAACATTAATGATGAGGTAGTAATAGTGAAATATACAAATATTAACATAAGTTTTGTAGTAAGGCAGAGACATCCAGATCAGGTGACATCTTGAACGATCTCTGCTCACCTAAATGCATTTACCTTCAAATGAAACACATTCCTTCACTTCATACACCAGGCAGAGGGCGCTGTTTACTCCAAAGCATTTTCAATGAGCATGTTGGGTGCAGTTTATGATACATTTATGTTAAGGAAGAGCTGGCATTAATAATTTCACTTATTGGTGAGTTCTCTGATAATTATAGAAAGCAGTAAAAACATTTAACCCTCAGAACTCTTAGGACATTTTTGTCCATTTTTGGTGACTTTTTACCTTTCATTTGTGGATCATTTTGGTTGTGTCAATGCAAATAGGATTATTTTTTTTAGGTTTTTTTTTTCTTTCCAAATTTTAAAACGTTAACACCCATTATAATATCAGGTCAATATTCACTGCATGACAAAAACACTATACATTTAGGTCCTTAGATGGAAAAAAATGTCCATCTCCTAAAAATGCTATAAAAATAATGTACATTAATATTTTTTCAACTTTTTTTTCTTAAATCTTTTAATCAACTTCATTCCTGATCATATCTATAAAATATTAATTCATTTTCAGAATTTTAACTTTTTTAAATGCCAGTTTGACTGTATGATGTCACTATTATTTTAGATGGAAAAAAAAAGAGTTATTTTTCATATATTAGATGCCGGGCAGGAATTTCTTTGTTTTTATTTTTTATCAAGGTCTATGATGTGTCAGTAATCAACAACAATATTAATTCTGATGCATTATTATATTTGATGTATTGTCCTATTTCTAAAAAAGTTACGTTTACGTCCTTAGATGGACAAAAATGTCCTTCTCCTAAAAAAGCAATCAAAGTATTATACATCAATGTTTTTTCCCTTTTTTTTGCCTAAATATTTTAATCAACTTCAGTCCTAATCATAACTACCAAATTATTATTGATTTTCAGAATCTTAACCCTTTAAATGCCAGTGTGATTACATGACGTCACTGTTATTTTTAATGGAAAAAAAAGGAATTTAGAGGGTTTATTTTGAATATATTAGATGTATTATAGGATATAATAAAATTTTATTTGAGTGGGACAGTTCCAAGAGACAAATCTTCGAATATATATAGTTTTGTTTTGTTTTTTACTTAAAAGCCTGCCATCAAAACTCCCAAACAGCAGCAAAGATTTCACCACAAAGATGGGTTTATGTTAAAGGCAGTTGCAGGAACAGTCAATGTTGACTTTAAAAAAAAGTTCTGAGGACATTTTTGGGAATGAAATTTTGCTAACTGGGAAGTTGTGACCCTATCAGAGGGGGCCCCAAAACTCAAGTTCAGGACTTCTTAGTTCAAAGACTGTCTCTGCTGGGTCTTGTTGACTAAAGGTTACAGAGCCTGGATTTGGGGCCTGGGACTCTGCTGCCACCTCCCAGCTCAGAGGCCTGAGTCTAAAGCAGTAGGACCAAAAAGGGTGTGTGTGTGGGTGTGTGTTCATGTAAGTTTCCAGAAGATGAAGTGTGTGGGAGGACATCAAGAGCCTTCATGACCATTTGTGTGCTTGTGTGTGTTTTCACATCACAGTGAGGGACAGTGTGAGGAGATTCCCATCAACAAGTGTTTCTCAAGAAACTGTCAGGGGAAGAAGCTGACCTCTGACCCCTGGGCACGCACACACAAAGTGCTGTTAAAATCCCCCAGAGTCTGATACATACTCCCACTCACCCTCTCTTCCTCTGATTTTTCATGTACACACACAGTAGGAAAACCAGACAGCTGTTCAACTTTGACTTCTGACCTTAGTGTCACGAGCAGAGGAAGTTGCACTCCCGACCGGTCGTCACAGGAAGACCCTCAGTGACACCCAGGATGAAGGATGACGGAGGGGAAATGGAAATTAAATTATTTCTTGGAGTAAATAAACAATAAGACCTCACAGTTCAAAGACAACAGAGAAGAGCGAAAATTAACCATAACAGCCGAACTGACACATCAACCCTTCTGATATTTGATGTGCTTAAACTCTAGGCTTTGATAGTTAGTTTCATTATTTTGTTTATATTTCCTACATTCGTCAGATGTGAGTGCTTTCTTTGCGATATACTCTACAGCGTGAGAAAGCTCTCTCCGGAGGGGAGTGTTTAACCAACACGTCGCCCCCGAACAGGAAGTGATGACCAGTCTCCTTTCTGGAAGACATTCATATTTGTATGTGCACTCTGGTGAGGACTCCCACTGCTTCCAGTTCTGCACAGTGGTGTGCTCAGAGGAGGAGGGTCACAGGGTGCAATCACTAGTGCCCTCTTGTCTGAAAAATCCCATGAGTGCCCTCTTGAACGGCATTAGATAGGAACAGATATTTTAAATGCCCTTACAGTGGATAAAAAGTGCAAAAGTTGTCCTTGTAGATGCCCTTCCAGTACATGTTACAGTAACAGGGTGCTCTCTGGATGCCCTCCATAGACTGTATATAGATACTGGCGGAAGGCGGAACCAAGTTGTCCATATGTATATATAGTCTATGATACCCTCCCAGTGGATATATAAAGGAAGTGCGTTCTAAATGACCCTCCTGTGCAAACGAGCCCACTTGATACCCTCCCAGGGGTATAATGTGAAGAAAGCGCCCTCTAGATACCCTTCCAGTGGATGAATTGTGATCAAAGTGCCTTTGATGCCCCTGAGAGTAAAAAAGTGAACAAAGTGCTCTCTTGTTACACTGTCTGATGGAGACAAAGTGCACCATGTTTGCTCTTGTGGTGTATGAAATTTTATAAAAGTGCCCTCTAAATGCCCTCCCATAAGTTAAAAAGGAAACAAACTCCCCCCTGGATGCTCTTCCAGTGGATCAAATTTAACTAACAGGTTTTCCAAATGCCCTCCCAGTTGAATGTAAAGAAAGTGCTTTTTGGTGGCCGATTCAGTGGTCTAATGTGAACAAATAGTACCCTGGATGCCCTTCCAGTCGGTGAAATGTTTTTAATGTGCCCCCAAATACTATCAACTCACTTAAAAACAGAGTCCCAGTTATCGTTAAAATTCCAAATCACTTCCCAACATTATCCCAAATGTCCACATGACTTCATTTTCCATCATCGTTTTGAGTTTGCGAAACATCTTGGCCTCCCACAAATGCCCTCACTTTCCATAAATGTCCTCAGCTGGCCAAATACTCCCACTTTCTGATAAAAAATATTGTATTTAACAGTGTATGAAAATGATTAAATTGTGGAAAGTGTCAAATCTTTTTAAAAGTGAATACACTCCCAAAAGTAATGAAGGAATATACTTGATTCTCATCCTCTCAATTAATCCACACCCCAAACATTACAGATTTCTTAACTATGATCTTAGTTTTACATATTTTTGCTTTCCAAACCCCTTCCATGCTGTAAGTCTTTATTCTTTGATGTCTGTCTTATTTTCTTGGTAGGTTCTCCCTGTGCAAAAGAAAAGTCATGTCCTCATAAAGATAGAAATAAAAGATCCCAATACAAACACTCACACACACTGGTCTGTTACTGCCACCTTTTGGGGACTTTGACTACAAATAGTTGGGGACCCCCTGCAGTAACAAGCAATAAATCAAAATTAAGATCAAAACTTTAATGAACAAAGATGTAAAATTTGATTATAATCCAATAATGTTTCCAAATTCCCCCATCAGACAAGAGATTATGCTGTATTTTCAATTTTCTTTGACATTTGAAGGTTATTAGAAAGACAGCAGAGAAGCAGGAGGCAGGAAACATTTAATAAACACTGAAAACTTTTTTTATTGGATTGTTCTGCTCAGTGAAGCCTGTTATTCGACAGAAGTCTGTCGCTGATGAAAGGACGCCAATCTGAGCACGACATGATTCCTGTGGATTAAAGGAAATTAGTTCCATTTTTAATCATTATCTCAAACAGATGAGACACGGGCAGGTTTAATTAGGAGGAGGAGTGGAGGAAAACAAAGAATCTGAGAGCTACAATGCTGCCTGGGATACAGCCCACAAATCTTGTCGAAACTGTCTAAAACATCAGGAATGAAGTACACCTGAATTTTATGCACCTACTCTTTTTAAAAGTGAAGGTTACCACCTTTTCTGTCACACACTGCTGGAAATTAGTCCTGACAGATCAGCATGACTGACATCATAATACTTAAATGGACTTAATTAAAGCTGTCCTGAGGTATTTGTATTTGTATCACAGCTGAGGTTATTTTTCCTGTGGTGTCACTCCGTCTTTGCACAGCATGATTACACAGTTACATGCATGAAGAGTCACAGATTTGAAATGCTTCAATCACAATTTATAACAGTTGTCAGAACTTGTTGACATCAAACAAGAGTTGTTTCCTGTTTGTGCATGTTTTAGCAAACTTCTAATCATTTTGCAGCATTTTCAGCTCATGTCGTCTGTCTTTTTTCTCTACATACAGCCTTTACCATGTCCATTATTGTAGACTCGAGTATGCTTTTAGGCGACACCTATTCTTCACTATGTAAGCTAAAGGACATTTTAAACTATGAAACAGCACATACTTCAAAATACTTGATAATAGCAAGAACGATGAAAATCATGGTAAATTTAAAGTTTTT